ACAAATTTAATAACATAATATATTGTATAATCAAGTGATATATAATATAGTAAATCTAATAACATAATAGCTTCATATTTTTCCAAATATAATCAATAATTAAGGCTCCGTTTGGTTCACATTTTTACGTTTTTGGGAAAAGTTTTTTTGAAAAAAGTTAAAAAAAAGTTGAATTAGGCGGGTATTACGATGTAGGATTTACAAATTAATAAAATACCCCTTATGTTTGTTTTTTTACAAAACACCCCTATAATAAAACATTAAAAGTTAACAAAAACACCCCTAACCCACACATCAAATACGGACAGCCGGCCACCACCGCCGGAGGGTGGCCGGAGTCGTCGTATCGGTGCATGACCGGCTGGATCTTACCGGTCGTGCGCCGATATGGCCTTTGCCGGCCAGATCTACGGCTAGATCTGGCCATTGACGGTAAGATCTGACCGCATTTGCTCGTCAACGATGGCCAAAGATACGGTCGTCGTTGACGTCTGGTTACAGCCAAAGATCTGGCCGTCAACGGCTAGATCTTTGGCCTTAGATTTGGCCTTTTTCGGCCAGATCCACTGTGGATCTGGCCGAAAAAGGCTAGATCAGCACACTACCAGCAAGATCCAGCCTGTAGTGTGCGATCCTACCAGATTCCGGCCAACTTCCAATAGTGGTGGCCGGAATCTGGTATAATGTGGGTTTAGGGGTGTTTTTACAATTTTAAAAAAAAATATTTAGGGGTATTTAATTAAATTAAAAAATTTAGGGGGTTTAAAAAAAGTTGAATAATATTGGATAATATTGTGAGTTTTTGGGCATTTTACTATTTAATTTTTTTGAGAATACTAAAAGTAGTATTCCCAAACTTGAGCCAAACGAAGCCTAAATATTATAAAATAGCATTTCAATTAACAAATAATAAATATAGTATGGTAAATTGATAAACAATAAATATTGTATAATCAAATGATGTATAGCATAACAAATTTAATAATATAATAGCTTAGTTAAATATAGTATGGTAAATTGATGAATATAACATATTGTATAATTAAGTGATATATAGCATGACAAATTTAATAATATAATAGTTTAATTAAATACAATATGACAAATTTATGAATATAACATATTGTATAATCAAGTGATATATAGCATAACAAATTTAATAACATAATAGCTTAATTAAATCTAAATTAATTACACATTTGTATTGATCATATATTACAATAAACCCTCATACCACTATGAATTTATAGGTCATGATACAAAATATATATGTAGACAGTAATGATAATATATATATATAACAAATTAATCACACATATGTATTGATCATATATTACAATAGATTTTTATTCAACTATAAATTTATGGGTGTTATACAAAATATATATGTAAACATTTAAAATATTTATGATAATTTATGTAATGATAATAAATATATGATAACCTATAATTTTGGTAATTTCATAATATATTTAACCTATGATTAATATATATATGATAATAATTTTGTATATACACAATTACACATTATATATAACAAATTAATTACACATATGTATTAATCATATATTATAATAGACTCTCATTCTACTATGAATTTATGGGTGTTGATACAGAATATATATGTAAACATCTAAAATATTTATGATAATTTATGTAATGATAATAAATATATAATAATATATAATTTTGGTAATTTCATAACATATTTAACCTATGATTAATATATGTATAATAATAATTTTGTATATACACAATTGCACATTATATATAACAAATTAATCACACATATGTATTGATCATATATTATAATAGACCATCATTCCACTATGAATTTATGGGTGTTGATACAAAATATATATGTAAATATTTAAAATATTTATGATAATTTATGTAATGATAACCTATAATTTTGGTAATTTCATAACATATTAAACATATTTAATTTGTGATTAATATATGTATAATAATAATTTTTTACATACACAATTATATATATATATATATATATATATTTTTTTTTGAAAATCCAAAGTCCAAACCCACATTTTCGAATGAGTTAGCCGAACGAATACGAACGGGCATTTTGTTAATCGAACGAACACAAACACGAACAGACATCATGTGTTCGTTCGAGTTCGAACACGAACTTGAACAATCGAACATGCTTATCGAACGTGTTTCGAACAGGCCTGTTTGTTCGTGTTCGGTTCGATTGCAGGCCTAGACTTGGGGCATTCTCGTACTCATCCCCAACTTCTGCCTCGACCCTACTCGAACCGCTCGATCTTGACCTAGACATTGAGCAATCTACCCACTCGCCCCAGGCGACCGACCTCTCCCAATTCAAAGCTTACCCCTTCTAAAGCCTTACTCGCCCCGCACCACCGATCGACTCCCTCTCCAAAACCTAGCACCGCATGATCCCTGCTCGACTTGAACAACCAACCGATTCCCTATCCAACACGCAACCACCTGATGCCCACTCGCCCTGAGTCATTGACTGCCCGATCCCCAAACACCAAATTTTGCAACTCTAAATCGACCTTTGACTCGGTCCGGATGACCAAGAATCAGCCTAGCAACTTCGACTACTCGGTCTGGAAAACCGGTCAATCCAAAAGACTATCAAACTTCAAAACCCAGCCGAACACTGCGCTCGACTCGGTCAAACAAACCGAGATGAGCCGAATGGGATACTTGTATCAATCCGCTCTATCTTCTAAAAATCCAAAAAAAACCCAGAAAAACCACCGTCGATCGTCGATAAAAAATTTCTGTCTACCTTTTTCGTTCGACCCAAAATTCAAACCTATTCTAAAAATAAAACACGGCACCTCCAAAAAATCTGGCAAAACCTTTCAAAAAGCCACCAAAACTTTCCAAACTTTCGCTCAATCTTTCCAAAAAACACCACAGAAACGAAGAAAACAAGAAACTAAACAGAAAGAGCATAAAGGAACAAGTTTTTACTGTAGAAATGGCCAAAATCCTGAAATCCTTCGAAGCTACGAAGAGAACCTAATTTCAAAGAAAAACGCGAAGTGAAAGAAAAGGAAGGGGGAAGATGAAACGAGTGGTCGCCCCTACATATTTATTAGCAAAAAGATGTCAGAGCTAACATGTGGCGTCCTACAATTGGTCATCGAGAACTGCATGATTTTGATTTTCCCGCCCGAATTCAGAAAACGCCTCGATTGTACACGTGTCGAGAGGTGGATTATCCAGCCGCACTTCATTCCCGAAAGGTAACCACTCGCTCGATTCACCCGACCGAGCGGGGTTACCATTGGATTTATTGACTGTCTAGCCTTAGTTCTCCAGCCTCATACCAAACATTGCTTAGCGAAACATGAACTCCACCCTTCGGTCATCCCGACCGAGTGAACAAGTTTCCCCGATTTGAAGCACATGTATACCCATCTGCTCGGATTCAACCAATCAACCTAAAGCACCACCACCCAATTGAGGCTAATGTACTCCGCTCGGCGGGAAGTACCGAGAGGGCATGCCTTCAAGGTATAGCTCACACGCCCACTCACCCAGCTCGTTATACCGAGACAGGTCACCTCCAAAGGACAACTCATATAGCCATCCGCCCCAGCGTACCGAACGAATGCACCGCCACGGGAGGATTCGCCCACCTTCTCGCTTGGGAGGGCAGACCGAGTGAGGGGATTTCGTATAGATTCTTTCATGCTCCCCCTCATCTTGGTACATCAGACAAGTGTGACATGGTCGACTCACCTTTTCACTCGGTCGGACGTATCGAACGTGTCCATGACTATGTTTCATCTCGCCTAGGTACACTGGCATACCAAATTCCCCGCCGACAACAAGAGCTTACACCTTTCGTTTCAGGGAACAGAGAAGCAGCACATTCATAAGTTCAACGGGTCGATCGCAAAGGCCTACCAAAGTCATCTCCAAGCAGTCTACTCTCTAAGCTAAGCACACGTTAACTCAGAGAGTGGGGGGCAAATTGTTAGGGGCAAAAAATGTCCTCGACCCAGACAAGCCCAAAGACGAAGACACCTTCAACAAAGTTGAAAAGCTCAGGCCCAATTCCGATGGGACCCAACTCAGAGTTCTGCAGATGAGACCTATCTGGTGTTCCTTCCCAGTTCCTTCCCATCTGGACCCAGGCATTCTAATCCTAGAACACCTTCTGGACTTATGATCAACTTGGAGCCCACAGTCGCCGACAAACTACAGTACTATTTGAACTCTACTAAGGAAGTCAATTATTATCCCAATTTGTCTAAGGTCTGTATCCTAGGCACGCTAGGACTCCCTTTCCTACTGAGATAAGGGAGCCAAAGGCTCCACTCTTTGGGAGGACCACCGCTGCAAGGACTCACAGTCCCACCAAGATTCGAAGACCATGCAATAACTATTTCAACAGAGACCAGTCCTCTCACAAGGGACAGAGACGTTACACCTTCAGACCTTGGAGTTCCCACTTGAGAACTTCGCATTACAGTCGTAGTCACAGACTCACAGTCCCCAACTAGACTCCCGGTAACCTTTCCTCTCCCTAACCCTCACTAAACTTGCTTCACTCAGCCTTGCTGACTTGAGCGTCGGAGCGCCTACGACAAACACCACCCCAGTGTTTTCCGTCTGCTTCACGCTTGTTTTTTTATGTGTGCAGGTGCAGTAGATCGTTAGTAGTCTCAACCTCACCGGATCTATCCATCTTTCCGCAAAGGTAGATTTTTCCTTCTACAAGTAAAATTTTTGTAGTTATCTTTATAATATTATAAAAGTAAAATGATTATAAAACAAATATTCTCAAATAAAAAAAACAAACTTGGGAACCCATTTTTAGGCTTTATTGGGCTTATTATCAAATATCAAGACCTTACCTTCATATTATAAAACAAATTATATTAAATAATTAAAAGAAAAGAGTAAACGAAGCAAGCAGCATGCTTATAGCGTTTTGTTACAACAAATGAAACTTATAATAGCAAAACTCAACTCTCTTGCCCACTATATCTTCACCTCCCAACCTCCAAAATATCGGTGGAGCCTGGGATTATTCCAATCCAACACTCATCAATTGAATTGAATTGAAATTATGGAGGGCTTTGTTTCTTTCACAACACCCACGCCCCGCCTTTCCTTTCCCTCCCTCAATCCCACACCCACTCACTTATTCCGACGTTCACTTCCCCATTCCAACTCTGTTCTTTTCTCTCCCATTCGATCTCAACTGGTAACAATTTCGATTGCATCGCTAACTTCATTCCAATTATCAGTTTTTTCAATTTTTTGCTTTTTTTTTTGTTTTTTTGTTTTTTTAATATAACGTATTTGGTTTGTTCTTTTTAGGGTGAGAGCGAGGATGGGTCGACTTCGATTTCTGCTGTGAAGGAGGATGCTGAAGTTGCTCTTAAAGTGAAAGAGTGGGAAGTGGGGATGTTCCACAATGAAGTTGCTGCCACCCAAGGTATCAGAATTAGGAGAAGGCCCCCCACTGGCCCTCCTTTGCACTACGTTGGACCCTTTGAGTTTCGGCTTCAGAATGAGGGCAATACTCCTCGCAACATTTTAGAGGAGATTGTATGGCACAAGGATGTTGAGGTTTCACAATTAAAAGAGAAAAAACCACTTGGTACACTAAAGAAAGCACTTGACAATGCTCCTCCTGCTAGAGATTTTATTGGAGCTCTTATAGCTGCCCATGAACGAACTGCTCTTCCCGCTTTGATTGCTGAAGTAAAGAAGGCTTCTCCTAGCAGAGGAATCCTCAGAGAGGATTTTGATCCGGTAACTATATCCGACACTCTCATAATTTTACATTTTAATTGTTTCACTTGGTTCTACTTATTTTCTATTCTTTTTGTTGTTCTATTAATTGTTATTTGTTTTGATGCTTTTCTTGATAGGTTGAGATTGCTAGAGCTTATGAGAAAGGTGGAGCAGCGTGCCTCAGTGTTTTGACTGATGAGAAGTATTTTAAGGTACACTTGCAATATACAGAGTTCATTCTGTATTTGAAGCTGAAGATGATTAATTATTTTTCATCTAACTTGTTTTTGATCTTATCACTAAAGGGAAGCTTTGAGAATATGGAGGCAATAAGGAGTGCTGGAGTAAAGGTTCGTAGTTTGACTTGCTTTTGCTTAGTTCATAATATTGCCTCGTCATAGTTCTAATGGTAGTCAATTTTGCAGTGCCCTCTACTGTGCAAAGAATTCATTATAGAAGCTTGGCAGATCTACTATGCCCGATCTAAGGGCGCAGACGCAATTCTTTTGATTGCTGCTGTTTTGCCAGATCTTGACATCAAATACATGACTAAGATCTGCAAGAGGCTTGGTTTGGCTGCGCTTGTGGAGGTTTGAATGCTGCTTTTCATTGTATCCCAATATCATTTCTGCTTCTAAAAGTGTTTGAGATGGGATATTTAATGCCAAATGGTGAAACATATGTGTCTATACGAGTTAGATACTTTTGAACAAATTTAATCCTGTGGTTAATGATGAATTATTCCAATATCATAGTCTAAAGTCTAAACTGTGGTTTAAAAAATTAGATGATTGAATGTTTTCATATGCTGTTGTTTAATCCTAGGTTCATGATGAGAAGGAAATGGATCGCGTTCTTGGCATAGAGGGGATTGAGCTTATTGGTATCAACAATCGTAATCTTGGTAAGATTTTCTGTTATTCTTAAATTTGTTTATTTATGAAACTTATAATCCTTGCACTATAATTTTGATCCTCTTAAATAACTCTTACAAATCGCCTTAGTATACAGATATAACCCAGTTATTTACCTGTCATTTTTGCTTGTCTACAGAAACATTTGAGGTTGATATTAGTAACACTAAGAAACTTCTTGAAGGAGAGCGTGGCCAAAAGATTCGTGAAAAAGACATAATCGTAAGTGGTCTTTTTACTAGTTTTATAACTATTCACTAAAAGAGATATGTTACAACTTGTGCAAATGTTTTTTTCGTGGTTAAAGGCAATTTTTGTTTTCATTCTCTTAGGTGATGTTATAACTAACTCATTTCTATTTCTTACTTTGGACTCTTCCAGGTAGTTGGTGAATCTGCTCTATTTACTCATGATGATATTGCATTTGTACAAGAAGCTGGTGCCAAAGCCGTAAGTTTCAAGTTTTACACTCCTAATTACAGAATCAAAATTTCTGGACATATTTTCCACTGAGAACAGGAATTATTTTATTTGAGTCTAAGATCTATGTTATTGCTGTCATACCGGTCTTGAATGCCTGACATATTACGTCATTGTCCCTTAATAAGGTTGCATTTTCTTTAATCAAATTGAACCTCCCCCGAATGTGTTCATTTGAATGACAGAAAAGTAGGAGCTAATATTAGATTCTGGGAGATGTTGTTGAAATGATTTCATGCTATCTGTTCTTTTAGTTTTATTTTTTTGATCTGGAAAAGTTTCATATGAAGATTATGTTGAGTGTGAAGCATGAAAACTACCTGAAATGGCTTTTTAAAGAAAAGTGAAAGCAGGTTAAATATAAATAAGTTGGGAAGTGTAAACATGGGTTTGTGGTTAAATCTGTAATGAACATGTTGTGTAGAGTAAAATTAAATTGTGTGACCTGGCAGGTTTTGGTTGGAGAGTCAATTGTGAAACAAAGTGACCCCGGGAAAGGAATCGCTGGACTTTTTGGCAAAGACATTTCTTTATGAGCTCATGGTAGAATGCTTATACAACCAGTATATTCTTTCAAGTTTTGGGATTGAAGATGGCTCAGACACCCTCCAATTCAATTTCTACCCGTACATTAACTTAATTCGGCATCCCTTTTCTTTTCTTCTTTGAATTTTCAATTTTGTACTGAATAATAATATATTGTATTTATAAATCAATACCCGTATGTTTCCCTTTTCTTTTCTTCTTTGAATTTTGTACTTCAGAGAATAATATTAGTGTATTTTATAGATCAATAGTTTGATGCAGAGTAATGCAAGATTTAAATGCCCAGCAAGATCAGAAAACAAAAATATAAATGAATATTGACCTACCTAAATTATAAAAATTAAATCTGACCTAAGCAAAAATTAAAGCCGTAACTTGAAAGTCAAAACCCACAAAACTCTTTGGTTGGATGAGGAATTCTAAATAAGTGATTTTGTAAAATACATGGATTTGATAAAATCATTCATTTGTTTTTAAAGAAAAAGTTGAAATACATGGATTTTGGAAAATCCACCACCCTCTAAAGTCCATTTTTTTTAGTCTTAAAATCTCACATACTTTGTCAAATCCGTCCGTTTTAATAGAACGAGAGATGTTATTAATAATTTAATTTATCAATACTATTCCCGTTAATAATTTAATATCTTAGTAATTATTTTTTACCCTAATTAAAGGAAATAAATATATTTATCATTCTCTCTTTTTGAGCTCTGTTTATCTACACAATCATTACACTTTTAATGTTTGAAATAAAAAGTTTATGTATATATATTCTCTTTAGCTACTTATTAATTATGAAGACAATATTTTATTGTCTTAATAATAATATTATATATATTTCTTTGATTGAACAGTCTCATCTTAATGCCCATGGACTTAGAAACAAACCATTTCCCTATTTTGACAAATTTGCTCGAGTATGAAATTATTCAACTATTGAAGGTATCGTGAATGAAGATTAATTGATAATATATTATATTAATTTGGAATTCCTTTTTTTTTTTTTTTTCTTTTACCAAATCACCAAAAATCACTTATTATAATTGGATTTTTCTATCAAATATAATGTAACTTGTATTTAATTAAATGAAAATTGATTTTTTGTTGGTTTTGGATATTGAGGGTAAAATTAAAAATTATTTATCAAATCCATGGATTGTATTCATTTAACCAAATATGAGTATATGAAAATATGAATCAACAATCATGGATTTTATATAAAAAATTTAAAACCAAACAATAAAATTTATTAAATACATGGATTTTGAATCCATAGATTGTACAAAGTCCATAGATTTTAAAATCTCTCAATCCAAACAGACCTTTAGTCTAATATTGACCTGCCTATTAACAGTGCCCTACAATAAGGTTTTCTTATCTTCTGTAAGCTCTATGCTGTTTATCTCTAGAATTCATAACCTTCAAAAGGCCACTCACTCTAATTTTTATCGATTAAGCACAAGAACATAGTGATAAGATCATTGTAATTTCTAGTCAACTCTACCATAGTAAGTCAAAATTAAGGAGGAAAGACAAAGACACGTAAAATATATCGTGATTCATAATACTGATGAGTTTCTTTAATTGTAAAAGTGGAGAAAAAGACTTAAAACCCCCGAGGGTTCTCCAAGGCTGAAAGCAAGAGTTACAGATGAACATCTTGTTGCTTACAACACTCATTTAAAAAGCTTTCTGAAATTGTCAAAGAGTCTTAGAGCTCTTAGTTCGCCGCTCCTTATATCTCTCAGTCTCCTTCTGAGTATCTGCATCCAACACATAAACATAATTAAGCACAAGATCAGATGGGTCAGTAATTATTTTCCATTTTCTACGAAAGCTAAGAGATGTATCCTCACATATTGTGCACGAAACAGTATTCTCCGTTCACTAGTGCACAAGTCAACTGCTAGCTGTTTCAGAAACACTCTTCGGTTGAGTTGCTTTGGGGATGTTACATCCAAATCCATCGATCCACTTTCCTGAAAGTCAACAAATCCAGCATGCAATGTTTATGAAACAACTTTTAAAACATAAGTATAGACTCACAAGTTTAATAAGGAAGTTCTTTCACCTGTAAGAATTTAGAGTACTTAGATATGCTTGATTCACAACTGTCCAAGATGAATTGTAATGCTTCTTCCTCAATTTCAGGGTATTTTATATCCTTCTTGGAGGTTGTTTTATTTGATGCTGCAGCAGCCATCTGGTGGAAACATCTTTTAGATATCTCACATTATAATAAAATATTGAGAGTTTAACACAAAGCTAAACTTGTCAAACCTCTTGAAACTGCCCCCTCATACTTGGTGGGCTGACCACTAAATAAGAATATGCCATTAACTCTAATGGCCATCCAGTGATTTGTATGGGATAACACTCAGATCTGAGAAAAGAAATCATCTTGATCACCGGTTAAGAGTTCATAAAATGAATTAGCAAACTATTGTATAAATAGGGAAGCAAAGGTCATGAAATCATGTACAAAGTTATACCTTCACTTGGGATATTTACACAGGACAACCAGATATGATTTCATGGGTGATATCAGTTAATAAGGAGATTGAAAATGAACAAATTTATGCTTTCTGATTGACTCAAATAAGAATTTGATGACACACCATTATTCATGGTATCATGTGATATATGAAAAGTTCTGGGACAACTAAGAAACAGGGTATATCAAACAAAGATCTATCAGATACTCACGCTGACAATCCATGCTTCCTTAGAGCTTCTAACTTCTCCTCATAACATTTGTCTGATTTCTTAAGTGACAATGGCAACTCTACTGAATCACTAGGGTTGGTTCCCTCCTTTGGAACAAATCCATATGAAAGCAAAAGTTCTCCATTAGATTTCTTGCCATACGATATGAAAACCTGCATGATGTGATACATGAAAACTAGTCAATAGAATCTCTGTTAATGCACTCAACAAGCTCTTCCTTATACAAATTAATGCTGAATTTAAGAATCAACACAAGCCTAGGCAATTTCAGTGATACTTTGGAGTGTGAGAAGGGAGATGGGAATAGAGAGATAACGCATCATACTTCCTCCCGATTTGCAATATGCATGAAGGACATCAACATATATAAATCTATTAGAAGCCAACATTTTTTTAAGTTTTTCTAAAATTTTGGAATTGATTAAAGACATATACCAAAAGATAATCAGGTTCATATTTTTTGATGGTCAGTGCATTGTAATAGTTGGTTTATCTAGAATTTGTCCTATTGATCTGCAATAGAATTGTTAAAAAAATTTACTAAATCGGTTTACCTGCTCACCTGGCTGATACGGCTGATCAGTGGTAAACACAACTCCTTGAGATGATTTATCATAATCCAAAAATGTTTCCACCTAGACCGGCCAAATGCAAATGTAACCCAGTTAGAAAACGAAGCACATTCATTACAGAAGCTATTTTAAATGACAGATGTAGTACAAAGACAATACTATGAACCTCACAACTATGATTGAGCATATCTGCCCAAGGAACCAAGGCAACCCTTCCATCCATTGAGGGCAATCGAACCTGTATATAAAAGAAATAAGAAGTCAACATCATCCACTTTCTGTAATAACTTTTGATTTCTGTACTCATATGAAACCTCTAAGTTTAGTTCAATGAAATGAAATTTAATAAAGAAAAGATGCGAGTCAAAGACCGAAAAAGTTAAAGATATGCACAATACAGAGTACAACTAAAACACCTTGCAATTACCACTATTTATATCATTTTCCTGTTAAATTTAAGGTTCGCCTATCTGTATCCATATTAAGAATTTAGACCCACAATTATCAAATCTGGACGGTTTATTTCCTCAAAAGTTATTATTCAGGATTCCACATGTTTATATAAAACTAGTTCTTTTCAAACAACATTCTGGGGACAACTTCTTGTTAGATGAAAATTCTGCATATTCAAGGCTAAAAGAATCAACATCTTTTCCATGAAGCATGATATATAATGTGAACCAGGCAACAAAGTAATAATGACATCATACATAATTTTGCTTACCAAGCGTGAGAAAAGAATACCAAACGACCATTTGAATGTTTCTATATTGAATATCTGCAATTTAAAAGGGTGCAAAACCAAATAAGGGGCATTCACAGAATAACAGTAGTATATAAGTGTTTATGGAACTCCAGATACTTCCAGCACAGAGTGTCATATCATCCATCATAACTTTAAACTAAAAATTATATTTATTAAACCATGGTTTTTGATGTCTTGAGAAAAAAAAGGGTAAAAAGGTTGCCTGTAATAAGATAAGATGATTAGTATACCAATCAGCTTGGAAGGCACAACACTGATATGCAGATCATTGGAGCTGGTATTTCTAGTAACTAATTGATTCTTATCTTAAAAGGGATTCAGGTAATCAAGGAGAGAACATGAATTGTTAAGAAAATATGGAAGAAGTAATAGAAAATTCTATACTATCAATAGCAGGTTATCAGAATATATGCTTCAAATTTCAGTTCCAGAACAGGAGTCCAAAATATATATTATAAGTACCTCTTCAGGGAACAGATCAGGATACTTGGAAAATATCCTCAGCCTCAAATCATTGTATCTGCACACAGGATGAAATAGACATTCAATAATATATTACAATATTTTTATGAGAATACGAAATTGAAGCCAATGAAGGTGTATAAACAAACACCAAGCATTGAAGATGGTCAAAAAACAAAGCCATACGTTCCAATAACATTGGTAATCCTTTCAATTGCCCGTTCTCTAATCTGTGATGCTTCCAGATACCTATCTAGTTCAGCACGTGTCCTGAAATGATATAGAAAGGCTGTAGGGGGGAAAACTGAGAGTAGACCCTTTCTGTGGTATAGAAATAGCACTTTAAAATCTCCACAATAGAAACAAGAAGTAATAAAGAATGTATTCTTACCAGTATAGAAGCGAATATGGCTGTCGAGGCAAGGCTGAGATGTAATTGCTCCATCTTGAAGATCTTTGGAGACTTGCTTCACTAATCAAATAGGTAGCAAGCAAAGGCCAATCAGGTACAGAATACTGTTTCAACACTTCGCCAGCTTCTGGACAGCTCCATTCCTATCACCCAAAATTAAAAGAACATTCCTCACACTCTGAAAGAATAATTAGCACCCTATGAAGTTAATTACACCATATTATATAAATAAATCAATTTAAAGGGAAATTAGCAAAATCCCTTGAAGAAAAAAAAAAAAAAAATGACAACTTATACGGCCAGAACTAAAGCACTACGAGAAATAAAAAGAGTATGACAAGCAAATTCATAAGCTGCACTGAAATGTGCTTCACATGAGAACATAAATTCGAAGCTTCAACAGGCGATCTACCTCTAAGTCTTTCACAAGTCAACAACTAAAATATATCCAATAATCGCTAATGTACATGATTTATGATTACACAAACCAAAATTCTATTACACAAACAATTAATTCATTCTCTTTTGCTACAACAATATACGATACTTATAACTTATTACACAAACAATTAACTCATGGAAAGCCAATATTATAACTTATTAAGTAAGCACTGGACTCAGAAAGTTTCAAGTCACAAGAACAGTAGTATTATGCTATATAACAACTATAAATATCATTATTGAAACAAAGGAGCTTACCGAGTCGGCAGTGATAAAAAGAGAAGGTGGAACAAAGAGTAACTTCTCACCCTTCCTAATATTCTTCAAGGCGACTAAACCTCTCTCTCCCACCTCAACTTTTTGTATGCCCATTTTCTGAGGCGGGAGTCCCGACTCAGACAACCACTTTTGAAGATCCGAAGCGTTCTCCAATGAATCTATGTCACATCCCCATGGGATGACCTTCTGGGTCACTGTCGTTTTGGTAGTGGTGGTTTCGTTTGTCGCTGAGACTGAACACTGAAGTACATGTCTTTTGCGCGGGAAAGTTGTGAAGGAAGTGTGAGAATTTCGGTTGTTGTGGAGGTGAGAGAAGGCGGGAAGGAGAGTGGTGTGGAAGATTCTAGAAGCTTCGGCCATGGCTTCGCATAAAAAAAACAGTGAGAAAGCTTATCCCGCAGAAGATGAAGAGAACCTGTGAGGCTATGAAATGGATAATGGTAGTTTTTGACGGTTGCATTTGACCAATTTAAAACGCTGTCGTATATTTTATAAATTAATTATGAATAAAAGTATGTGCAGTTGTGCACTAACAAATGGTACTAATTCGAAGTACTAAAATTATGTTTGCAAATTACTCATTATTAGGGAGTGTTTGTCTAAGTTTATAAGTTGGTCAAACTTACTTATAAGTTCTAAAATTAAGCTGACCTGTTTATTTATAATTTTTTTGAGCTTATAAGTTGAGCTTATAAGCCAAAAAAAATAAGTTGGGGGGGAGGTACTTTTTTTTTTTGGCTTATAAGCACTTTGCTTATAAGCTAGTTTGACCAAGTATATTACCATATTATCCTTATTTAATTTTAAAATTTCATAGTATGACCTTGTTTAATGTAGTACCATTTTTAGTAATTTTATAATAAAATGTACTTATAAGCCACATTTTACCAAACACGTTAATTACTTATCAGTCACTTATAAGTACTTTAACCAAACACGTAATTGCTTAAAATTTTAAATGCTTATAAGTTAATTTTAGCTTATAAGCAATTGTTGCTTATAAGCTAATTTTCATAAGCTCAGACAAACACCTCCTTAGTAGAGCTTGTGTTTGCAAATTACAATATCTAATCTCATAATTAAAGTTACGATTGAAAAAAAGAGCAAATGACTTTTTCCCACCCAAGGTTTGCCTTAATAACATTTTCAACCCAAAAAGTTTCAAAATACCATTATTCTATCCAATGTTAATATTCTGTTATGACCCAAAACCGATTATGGTTGATTCCAACGACAAAAATTTTCTCTATCATCACTATTTGAATTTTCGATCTCCTTTCTATAAAACCCCTCTCATTCCAATACTTGATTTCTTGTCGCTTGTCGATCATTGTAAAGTTAGAGTCTTTTGTTCTTAGCTGATTTTTGATTGATTCTGACTGTGAATATTCAATCGGTCACCATTATTCGATCTACTTACCCCCTCTCTATAAAACCTCTTTTAGCATGGCTTCTAGTAACTTGCTGTCGCTGATTGAGAAAGTTAAGTGTATTTTTGGGTATTTTGAAACTTTTTTTTTTTTTTTTGGAAATCATTAAGGCAAAACCTAACAATCATTTAAAAGGAGTCAACCCACATTAAAAAATTTAATTAAAATAGAGATGAGTGTAATTAATCTTATCGGTGGTATAAACTCAACGTCACCCATTTGATGGGCAGAGATTTGGCTTCTTTATAAGAATCAAAGCTACGAGATTCTCTTATCTTGCTGCAAAAACATGTTAGCTAACACCTATCTCATCTCTTCCAACTTCACTTCGCTCCCACACACAACTCCAAAACTGAAACCTTCGCTCCAAGCTCACAACTTTAACAGCATTTCTTTTTCACTTCCCAAAACAAACACCACCTCAAGATTCCCACTATTCCTTAAACCCCACAACCTTAAAGCCTCAGTTTTCCCATTTCACAAACGGGTTCTTCTCCAAAGATGTCACAGCATCTTAGATTCTAAGAACTTAGATGAAGAAGAAAACCCAGTTTTAGATGATAAAAAGTCTTCAGTTTTGGAGAGCAAAGTTAATGTTCAAGAGGGAAGAGACTGGACAACCTCAATTTTGCTTTTTGTGTTGTGGGGTGGTCTTATGTACTATGTTTTCAATCTTTCTCCTAACCAAACCCCGGTACGGTTTATCTGTTGATAACTGCTCTATCTAGATCTGTTAATAACTGGAGTTCATTAATGTCTATATTGATTTGACTTTAGCTTTTATGTTATAGGTACTAGTTTCAATGGTTGTGTATTTTCTTACAATTGTTTTCACTATCTGAATTAAAACACTTTACAGTCAGTTAACTTAGTCATGAAAATGTTTACAATTTTACAAAACGTTAGAATCTCTGCTTCTGTTTTTCTTTTTTCATTTTGTTGCATTTCTCTTGGTTGAAAATTTGAAATGCTGCTGAAAAAGCTTGATCTAACTTCTTTAATCTGGAGTTCGGACTATAACTTGCAGTCAAGGGACATTTATTTCTTGAAGAAGCTTCTGAATTTGAAGGGAGATGATGGCTTTGTGATGAATGAAGTGCTTGTGTCTCTCTGGTACATCATGGGTTTGTGGCCTTTAGTATATAGTATGTTGCTGCTTCCAACAGGTAGAAGGTACCTTACTGCTCTTTATGTTTGTTCTTTGAATTATTTTTCAGCTTTTACATTTTTATTTGTTTGTTTAAAATACTAAAATTCATGAAATGGTGATTGTTTTGTGTGCATTCTTCTGAGAGTATATAATTAGGATTCATCATGATTCAGTTAAGCATTTGTATTTTGTTTTTTAATATGCTTTCACTTCCATGTTGAAGAAATGAATAAGAGCAGCAGAAAACCAGCAGATCTTGTTTCTAAAACAGGAATTTTTTTCTGTTGCGAGACTTCGTAGATTTATTGGTGATCACAAGCTTCACAAAATGGAATAAGCTTTAGCCTTTTCTCTATCCGTGTCAGAGAATCACAGACTGCTTTAGAAGCATTTTATAACTCATAGTTTCTGCTGTTACTGAACTAATGCATTAATCTTTGTGTCTGCAGCTCAAAAAGCAACATTCCTGTCTGGCCATTCCTTATACTTTCATGCTTTGGTGGTGCATATGCTCTTCTGCCCTATTTTGTTCTTTGGAATCCCCCACCTCCTCCGGTTGAGGAAACCGAGCTCAGCCGATGGCCTTTGAATTTTCTGGAATCCAAATTAATAGCTGGGGTAAGCCATTATTCATTTCTCCTCTATTGGAGGATTTCTCTTGTTAAAATGTGGAAGCATGATAAACTGATAAAAGAGTTTGTTTACTTCCTAAAATTGGCATAACTTAGAAATGCTAGCATGAAAATGTAGTATTATAAGTGGATCTTTATGGTTCCTGTATAAATAGCTGCCAACCACCATTAAAATAGCATAACAACATTAGTCATTCATCAAATTCATACAGAATCCACCTTTTTAGTCTGTCTCACAAGACAAAAATCCTCATCGTGGCCTTATAAGAAGACTCCTCAATTAAATAATTCTTTAAAAGAAGGCATTATTCAAATATAATGCTAGTGAATCTAGATAAAATTTCACATAAACCAATTTATGTCTTGTTTTTCTGATGTAATAAAGGGAGCATCTGTTGAACACACTGACCCTTTATATACAAGTGATTTTTTTCTATGCTTTTAGTGTAATACATCATCAAAGATCTCTTGGTGTGTTTACCTTGAAGAAGCTATATACCTTGATGAATATTTAAATGACGTTCTTGATCACTTGTTCTTCATTAAGTGCTATTCCTTCAAGAAAATAAACTTAAATACATGACTGATCCTAATACTTTTAAGTCTTTAAACTTTTTTGTGAAGAGCACCAGCTAATTCAGTTACATATCAGATATCATTTCTTGCAGGACTGGGGTTGATCATTTATGCCGGTTTAGCGAGTGGTGATGTCTGGACAGAGTTTGTCCAATACTTCAGGGAAAGCAAATTCGTAAGTACGGTTGAACTTTTTTGGGGGTGGGTGGATCGTGCAATGCCATAATCGGACTTATAGGTTAACATGCTTCAAGCTGGTCCAAAATTCATGCCAAAGGGAATCCTCAAAGTCTTTTGTTCAGTTCATAAATGATATGTAGGTTAAAGTTATGGTTAACTTTAAGATCATTATATGCATAGATGCATGCACTCCTCGTATAGTCGTATTGACTGAATTCTCTTGGTATAGCAATTTTGTTTAAATTGCACTTTGTTTGGTTGGTCGATTTTACAATTCAACAGAACATGTCACCAATGATTGAATCTCTTTGTTGCAGATTCACCTGACGTGCATTGATTTTACTCTACTTTCTACATTTGCTCCTTTTTGGGTATACAATGATATGACTGCCCGGAAATGGTGAGAATTTTTTTAGGTCTTTATGATCAGTTTCAAAACTCCTCGAAGGGGAATTATTTGGAATACAAAACATTCAAGTACTTGTTCTCTCTGCAGGTATGACAAAGGTTCTTGGCTTCTTCCTGTGTCATTGGTACCATTTTTAGGTCCGGCATTGTATCTTTTCTTACGGCCATCACTCTCAGAAATGCCTGTTTCACTGGGCAAAGCCTCATCAGAGCAAGAGTAAATTTTGAATTCTCCATTTTGCTTTATATCAAAACCTAAAAGGAAATGGTCACAGTTGACAACGACATATATAAGATGAGAAGACCACAGCTCATGTATATACACAGATAGTTTTGAGAACACTCAGAAACGCTAGGAAGCTCATTTCGTCTTGCTCAAGAACTAAGATCAGAAACTCTCCACAGATCTTTCTGGTCAACATCCTCGTATTTCTTGGATTCTTCATTTCTCTTGGTTACTTGAGTATCCACTGTTTACTGAAAGAGAGATGTAGAAAATACCAGTTCCATGGATGTGACAATGTTCATACTTAGAGAACTTGATTTGTACGACTCGTTAAATTATGATTTGATAAATTAATAAACCTTCTGATTGTTGATGAAGAGAAGAAATAAAGAGAAATGAAAAGTGAAAGCCACATCAGATGTCTGTTTCTTCGACCTAGGACCAGAAATTAAAATACAGTAAAAAGCTAACATAACTCGTGGCTCCTATTTAAATATATTCTTCTCCATTACAAAATTATGTCTTGAATAAGCATTTGCTAACTCATCTGGAATCATTATTATACAAATCACTGTCAAGGGTAACTCCAGTGATTTAGGCATGCATGTTGACAGAGCAATAATCAAGAAGAAGATTTGACCCTATCAACAAGCGTAACACTCGTTTTGCAAATAGAAGCAACGGCACAAATTGTTAGAAAACCATATTGCTGGAAAATCTGAAAGATTTCAGGGTAGCAGACATATGTGCCACGAATAACATAATGCTACGAAGGGAAGAATGTTACTACATTCTTCACGCATATAATTTTTGGAGGTCTTCTTTAAACTTAGCCTTCAGTTGTTCCCTCTTTATCTTGAGTGCAGCAGTAACTAATCCAGACTCAGGTGTCCATGGATCTGGCAGCAACTTAACTTTTGCAGGAATCTCAAATTTGTCCAGTTTTGCGCCTTTTCCTACCTGCGGAACATTAAATGCTCTCAAATATTTATGGAAGACTTAGTTTTTCTTTGAATCAATGAGTTGCAACAAAATATTTTGTCTCCACTCCTCCCCAATTCAGCGCATGCATAAAACTGTAAGCCTTCTTTAACAAAATGAAAATATCAATCTCTAAAGTCAGTGAAAAACTGTTTACTCCCGATAGAATTTACATCACACTGAATGATGCACTAGATCAAAATGCTAGATTGTATAACAAAATCCTATTCACAATGCAGAGCAATTAAATGTCTTATGCACTTGTAACATATCAAATATTCCCAAGAAACCTTTTCTGCGGCTAAAGAAAAGTAACCAAACCTTGGAAAGAGATTGTTGAACCTCATTGATAGCTTCAGCTTTGTCACACAGCTCCGAAATATTTTGGTACTTGATGCCAGCTTCTTGGGCCCACCTTTCCAGAACCTTGTGTGATGGAACAACAAGAGCAACACAATAGCTGTGGAAGGGATCCGCATATACCATGATATTATCCACATAATTACTTGATGTCAATGCAGCCTCGACCTGTAATCAGACCATTAGAAAAGATAATGAGCACTGTAGCAAAATTTAGACTGACATTGTTGCTCAACGATGTTCCACGCAAACAAATTCAATGCACCTTTCCTAACGAGATATATTCTCCATGTTGAAGTTTGACAATATCTTTCTTCCTATCAATAATCTCAAGGCATCCATCAGGGTGAAATTGTCCAATGTCACCAGTATAAAACCAGCGCATGCCCATAGCATCAACCTGCAGCATGTAATAGATCAGGACGGCCAGTATTTATAGGCTATGAGATCAGTTACAACTTAAAAGTTGCAAAATGCTCTATCAGATAATTGCACTAGTATTGAGATGTGTGGCACACATGCACATAGATTTACCTTGTACACCTCATTAGTTTTTTCTGGATTGTTAAAGTAACCAGAAGTTACACTGAATCCCCCTACAACAATCTCTCCTCTGGGCATTGGTTTGTCAGAAGTCATATAACCACCTTCTTTCCAGGAAACAAGCTGCAATATCAAAGAGCAGAGTAGGCCAATATTAAATGGGGACCTTAATACATTTTATCACTGTTAATTCCTAATACGATATTGTAAAACATGTCTTATGAAGTGAAATCAGTAAAATCTTTTCTTTCAGTGGCTATGCCAAGCTCAGACAGGCTGACCATAACAGACAATATAACCCACAAAAGTCTCTTTTCATAAATGTGCATTCTAATTGTAAAGCTATAATGGTTTTCCTTGAAATATGTGGAAATTTGGCACACCTTAATGTAGCAACAAGGAAGAGGCGGCCCCACCCGGCCCACACTAGAGTCATCTGCCTCAGTAAATGCGGCCCCAGCACATGTTTCAGTTAAGCCATATCCTTGACCAATGGGAGCCCTGATAAGGAACATTGTATACATAAAAATCAACTTAAAAGTATGTATTTGACTAAAAATATACTTTAAAGGCCTGCATGCTTTATGTCATTTATGCAATTATTAACATATAAACATATAAGAGGCTGCTTCCTTGAATGTTTATTTCCGCTGGATGCCACCTTCAATTATCTGATATTTATATTCTTATCAAGGAAAGGAGTAAGTTTTTCCCCTATGTTATCGTGGTATAGCAAGATGAGAAGTCATTACCCTATGCAAATATTGATAAAACGCTGGGAATCCCTAGATAAAGGAGCTCCACCACAGAGCATAAATCGGATGTGACCCCCAAGTACAGCTCGTACTTTTTTGAAGACAATGGCATCCCACAGCATTCTCTCCGGTCCCCAAGCACCAAACCAGCTTCCTTCTACAGCAGCCAGCCGACGCTTACATCCAATGTTGAAAAGATTCTTTGCAAACCCTCCCTTTTCCTCGACCTGGATGACGTCATTTTAATAAGTGGGGGGCAAAAGAAATTAATCTACCTAATATTCTCAAAATACACATATGCATCAATCACAACTGCCATAAAACCAGTCCATATAGAAGCATTCAATAGTGTCAATATGGGTTTACACCTTTTTCACAACTCCTTCTCGGACGCGATCTAAAATAGCTGGAACTGCTGCCATTAGAGTTGGTTTTAACGCAGAAGCATCTCCCTTGGTTCCTTTCTTAATTTTACTGGCAGTGTCTGTTAAAGTCAATGCTGAACCATAGCCAATAGCACAACCTGCAGTCAACATCACAGACTGGACAACCACAAAAATTTTAAAAACACTATTGCATCTAGTGTACACAAGAAAAAAGCAGATATGTAGGTACCTCAGCTGCCAGTTCAAAAACATGGGCTAGGGGCAAGTATGCAAGGTATACATCATTCTGTCCCAATTCTGGAACCACCGTCTTAACCGCTGCAGCAGTGGCTACAATGTTCCCATGAGTAATCATGACTCCCTATATTGTTTCACATTGCAACATGTTAGAGTAAAGGAAATCTACTACTTATGCAATGAGGAAATGATGACACAGGTTTAATCACCAAAAAAGCTCATACATCAAGAATTATAAATCAAATCTTCAAATTAGAAGGTCTTCATCCAAGTATTGGAAATCAGGGCATGCAAGCACATAATAAAATCGTAGCATTAGGGAAAAAAAAAAAAATTGTTTTTACTAACTTTAGTATTTTGATATATTAATTATACCAAGATACACTTAGACATCTGCACCAGAAATATAAAAAGGAAAGAAAAAAATTTCCAGTTCATTTGCCTCTTCGGCGAGGCGAACTAGTTCTTGGTTTGCCCTGTTGCTAGAGTGTGCATCTATTAAAAAATATAAAAGACAAGGAACAAACCTTTGGTAGGCCTGTACTGCCACTTGTATACATTATAACCGCCATTCCATTCTTGGAAGGTAAGTTTGGAAGAACAGGACTTCTTTTCCCAAGTTTCTCAACTTCAGAAAATGAGGAAATTGTCCATTTGCTACTACTTCCAGAGAAGTCAGAATCATTGGCAGTTCCATCATCTTCAAAGTAAATGACATTCTTGATAGTGTTTAGGCTTGAGCTTATAGCAGACAACTTCTTTAATTGCTTGGAGTCGCAGATCAGGGTTGTCACTTGTGTCTGTAAACATTTTAAGGCTCTAAGTAAGAACTATCTGTTATCTGTGTTATAATGGATCAATATAGTGTGATCTGCAAGCAATAAATCATCCATATCATAGCTAATACATAAATAGCTAAGCAGAGATTTCCTACCTCATTCAGTGAGTGGATGAGAGCATCCTCACCTAGAGAAGCATAAATAGTAACAATAGTAATATCTTGCCTAAAGCAGCCCTGAAACCAAAAAATAACTAATTTAGTATTGCTGTTGCATCCACAACTTGTTCAAAAGAATTCAAAAAATAGATGATATTGAAGTATCCCAGAAACACCTGAAAGGCAATTAACCACTCTGCCCGAGTTTCAGCAAAAAGGGCAGCTCGTGTATCCACATTATGACCTAAATTAACAAGCCCAGATGCAAAGTGGCAAGCACGATCAAAAACCTCTCCATAAGTTTGCCACTCATAATCACCCAAGTGTAACTTCTCAAACTTTCTGCCGTCACTAGCTGTAACAAACTCCTTGTCGATTACCTTTCTTGTTCCAAGAAATCGGTCTCGTGAATGCTTTTTACAAGACTGTTCAAAGAGCGCAGCCATGGTTGAAGCCCCTTTCCACGGAACTTCAACCAACTCAGATACTTGTTTATTACGGATTGCATAACCTGCCTCACCGCCAACTTCTACTGGAACTCCTCTTTGTTTTTCCTTCTTCTTGCCCATTAACATCTTAGACAGCAAAACCGGTACAAGTATAGCAACAACAGCAGCACCAATAATCCCATACATTCCAATGCCTTTCACAGCTGATAAATCATCAGTGGTGCCTAAGTTTTCTACCCTTGGTGTGTCATATGAACTTCCTTTAGAATCCTCCATTGTAAATGCTGTATATCAATACACGGCACTCCTTTCCGGAATAAACCAAATAATGACCTGAAATTGATGACAGGAATTAGCAACATAATCCATCATTTGACTAAAACCCAATACGTTATCTAATGTTTCTAAACATGGATGTGAAAACTACAACAGAATCAAATGTACAACATTAGTAAAGTTCCATACAGTGCAAAAATGTCCAAAAGGCACTACCGATAATGATAAGATACTATGACAAATTATAAGGCTACTGAAGTCTTCTCCAGTGCCTAGAAATCCTACAAACATTGATCAGAAATGCATCAGATTTTACGTCTGAAGTTGAATACTAATATGTGGTGATGCACAAAAATACACTCCACGGCATTATTAATGTTTGGAACCCATTTTGATTTTTCCTAGCTTTCCCAAGAGAGAGAGAGAGAGAAGAGTGAAGCAGAGATAGAATTGCAACACTCTCCAAAGCAAAGCTGAAAAACTTATAAACAACTTTTAAACCATTTTGGGACTTAACTTCCTCATACATGCACTAAATTTTCACAGCAAGAATGATAAGTACACAAAACTCGTATTACAACAAATTGATTGATGTTTAAACAAATGACAAGACATAAAATAAAAACAAATAAAAATAAAAAAGCAGTTCTAAAATAATGATATCATCCTTATAGAAACAAATCGCTTCATACTTTTGCTTTTCTTTTCTCAACCAATGAAAAAAAATGGAGTCTGCATATTAGTATGATCAGAACCATCCTTTCATGAATAATCCAGAAATAACATGATCAACCAACATCGAGATGCCAAGAACACAATACACATCATGATCAGGATTTTCGCTCTGGTACATAAAACATAAAGCTCATTTCTTTCTCAAGGACAAAAACAGACTCAAAATCAAACTATCATAAGCTGCAAAATTCAAACTACCTCAAACAAAGATGATCAAGATCATAGGAAAAAAAATGCAACCAGAACCCACAATTTACTATAAAACAAAAATAAAAATACACCTTAAAAAGAACCCAATTCTCTCAAAAAGAAACCAAAATCATCAATCATCGTTAAGAATGATCACCACAACATGGTTCTTCAATAAAAAAACCAAAAAAAAAAAAAAAAAAACTCAACTTTACCTTTTAAAACGAAGCCAAAGCTCAAAGGTTTCCCTTCAGTGTTTATATTATTGATAATATAATAAGAATAGACGTATGAAGAAAGTTCAAGAAGCAATTAGGAAAGTGCAGAACAGAGACTCCAACACCATCACTGTGTTCATGATCCGTTAAAATACTAAAGTTGATATGAAATAAAGTTGCTGGAAAAAATGACAAGAATTTGCCCCTTAAATGGTGATAAGGACTAAAGACTAATGAATTTTAATGGGCTGTGGGATGCTGGCCCAAGACTGTCAGGGGTAGTTTGGAGAGGAGATAATTGTTTCCACCATCCGTTGTTTTAACGTCCTATGTCAACTTTCGGACGACGTGTAGGCATATGAAAGCCTCTGCGTGATGATAAGGTACAAGTCACGTGAGTAGAAAGACACGTGGCCTAATGGTTTACGTCTTGTGGTCTGGCACTTGTGTGAATTGCGTAGTCAATACGAAGTGAGGAGGAAAAATAACCTCTCTGGTTCGTTTTGGTTTCCAATTGTGTGATGAGATTCATTAATGCAATGGAGAAGTAAACGACGCCGTCTTTGTAATGCTCATTCAAATGCCCAATCAAGAGGCATGACTATGGAACCTCCCATAAGTTCAATGTTATCATGGCAGGTGATTGCGAATTTAAGGAGACAGACGACAAATGGCAGCTGGCCACGAGCTTAAAATCTTGGATTATATTATCTTCTAGAATGAAACAACTTTGATACGGAACTGAGACTCCAACAACCAGGTTATGCCATAGTAGGAATTATGTAATGAATATTGAATAATGCTAACTCAATTGTAAACATAGAATTATTCTTATGTAATTTCATAATGAATTCAAAATCCGATTAAGACGAAAGAAAAATCTCAGAAACCTTTAGGAATCTGTACCAAATAAAGATTAATGACAGAAAATTGTCAGTCATGGGTTTGTCAAAGTTCATAATTGATTGGTAGCTCAACTTATGGCTAACTTCATGTACTCAACAACTTAATAGTGGATTTATGAAGTGAGCTGAGAACCTGTAAAAGTTAAATGAGATCAGGTGCAAACTGGAGAGTTAGAACAAGGTGATAATAAATTCAGTGTAACTATATTGGATGATTCATTCTTTGCGTTGTTCATCCTTTGTTTTGGACTACCAAGTCAATATAACAACAGAACAGGAGCTGAATGAATATTCTTCTAGCAGATCAACAAAAAAATGCATATTACAGTTCCATGAAATAGATTTCATGTCAATACATCTATGATTATGCATATTACGCGAATCAATATCCTTAAGATTTCCTTGGTGCCGGTAAACTTATATTCAAAGAGGTGGAAGGATAGGGAAAAGTCTTCTTTGACTGATATCACTTCGAATTGCGTTTGGCACATTCTTCAGCCCGAGTTAATGCATCTGTGAGTACATCGATTGTCCAATCCTTCAAGTCATCCTGTAGATAACAGATGTACAAGCTTCAAACATAAGTTTTTGGATCTTTCGCTGCAAATCTTTTATGGAACAAGCATCTTGTTACTTCTTGAAAGCAGAATAAAAAGTAAGATCAAGTATTATAACAATGCAACAGACAGTCACTCTTCCAGAGGAATACAGTTCGTAGTTGTTTCCCACATTCTGGAGAAAAAATAAATTGTTACCAGAACTTTAACAGATCAACTAGTCCAAATAATTAAATTATGAAGCAAGAAATTCCAGTATCGAAACTACCATACAGCATTCCCCAAAAGAAGGGGTGAGTACAGAAAATGAGATTACTAAATTGATTACATATCCAGCACATCAGATTGTAATTAATGGTGAGTATAAACAGAGTCTTACAAATAAAGAGAAAACTGCATGAAATACAATATTTAAGGTATGGCAATCATAACTACGTAGCAAAATTTTGAGTTTTATACTGTCAACTCTCAAATAGAGAATCTTATAGGTACATGGTAATATATCAAAATGCTATTGATTCTGCAGTCAATTTATGGTGTGAGAAGAAAGGAAATCAGCTGATGATCAAATACCTAGAGAAAACCATCTCAGCAACCAATAAATATTCGTATTCCTGTAACTAGCATCTTGGCTCTATCCATTGGATACAATTATTCCTCAGAAAATCCAGCACAGTTCTATACCATCATTTCATGAGAGGTTAGAGGGCTGCAATTTTCTCAACATCAGAAATGATTAACTGATTTTTTCCTGGCTGTACGGAACACAGAATTTATGCATCACCATCATTAGTGCATTTAGTTTTAAGCAACCATTAGCAAGATTAGCACAAAACAAATTCACTGATTCACTTATCAAAGACAATCGAGCACTAAGAAGTTTGAGTGCCTAACCGTGCGCACTGGTTCTCCAGTTCTTATTCGTGCATTAGGACGAGCAAGTTTAGATTCAAAAGGAGTCCTTGGCCTCACTTCCCGAAATTCCTCCCACTCTTCACGAGTCAGCATCCTAACCGTGCCTTGGCCAGGAGGAGCATTTTTTATTTTGCGCTCAATCATTTCTTGGGATTTTGAGTCATCATACTGCAAGTGCACAACATAGCACCTAGTCAAATCACCACCTAATAAACTCAAACCCCATCAAAGTAAAAGTGAAATACCTTGTCAAATCGCACCTAATAAACTAAAAGCCCATCAAAGTAAAAGCAATGTAACACTAAAGACAAAATTGTTTTTTCCATAAAACAAACCATAAAAGCTCAACAACAAAATATCTAGTCTTTACAAGATCTCATTAAGTAAACAACTAAAGCACTGAAAAACTTAGAGCATTTGCATGAAGATATCTCATAATCAGGGCCCAACTCTTCTATACAAATTACCAATATTATTCATTCTTTCCTAGTTCGGGATGTACACAGCTTGCACATACACTTCCACAAAAATGCAAAGTAGTTTATTTGACAGTCTACTATAATGATGGACCAACTCTTGTATATAAATCATTCAGTTTCGTCATTTTCTTATATCCACATCCACACCACTCACACGTGCAGCTCAACAGAAGCAAAACTGTAAATCATAACACTTGATTAAATAAAGATGGGTGGAGATTACCATCATGAGCAACTTGGCAAAGAGTGCAATTGCAGCAACAGTGAGGACCATTGGCATAGTAGCCGTGTCCAGAAAAGATTTTGATTCCGGAACCTCGACAAACACCTGATTTTTCTTGACATTCTTCTTTTTCCTCATTTTCTCCAATTCAGCAATCCTTCCCTTCAAGCTTTCTGATGGGCCATCACGGGATAACATGTGCAACCTTCTGTGAACAAAAAACAACCTTTGTCTAATCGCATACATCAGTGACTAAACTAGAGTCACACTATTTGGGTTCTATAACGAAAATCCACCTGCACTCAGAGCAAGTAAACTTGTACTTAGATTTTGAGCTGAATTGACAATATATAGACTAAGATATCTCTTATCATAGTAACCAGTACTTCAAATTGAGAAAAATCTTTCCCCGAAATCTTAAAAAATTTCAACAACCCAATTACAGTTGCTAAAAATGAGTTTCTAATTCCAATATCAATCATTATTTTATTGCTTCTCAATACAAGTGCTCAGCTAAAATATTTTAAGAAGCAGTTTTCAAATACAGTATTAAAAATAGTATAACTCAGATTTTTGGATTATATTTAAACATTTGAAAAAAAAAAAAAAGGGGATCGAATGGACCAAACCTTATATACTTTACAAAGTGAGTAATTCACTGGAGCATTCTGACAAACATCATGTACGCATCAAATGCCGGATGGAGACGACGGAAAGAAAAATAACTGAAAATTACAACCAAAAAACGAGAATTGCTGAGTATTAGTTAAAATGATCGTGTCTAGTAGTGACACAAGACTGCATAGAAGTGATTGGTTAACAGATCAAGAGCTTTGTCTTGTGTTTCTTTTCTTGAATCATCTCAGATTTTGTGGTCTGGGCAGATTATGACCTATTTATCTGGGTTTATTTGCCGGGAGCAAAGGTCTAGTAAAGCCCGACGGGCCTATAGTCAAAAATCAGAGCCCAAATAAATCACAGCCGTAAATCGTAATGTTTATCAGATATTAAAATTACTAGAACCCATGATTTTTTTTTTTTTTTTTGGTTAAGTGTTACATTTGGGTTTATAATTTACAACTAGGTTTATAGTCTAATTTGGTAACCTTTTCTTACAATCTTTTACCTAATAGTTCTTACTTGATTATAATCTTTTAGGTAATAGTTTATAATTGGATAACTCACAAATAGACATAGGTTTTATATGTCTATTTATGAATTGAATTACCGATTACGAACTGTCTATAAAAACTTATGGGACTTGTCTATCTATCTGGGATTTAACCAATTAGAACTACTACATCAGATTTTGTCTAGCATTGCTGTATCACTCATTATATTGTTACCTTTTACTTCATTGCATTGCGTGTATTGTAACTGTGTCAGTGATAAGACACAACTTATTAGAAACATCACAGCTCTGTTAAGGATGTTTGCTCGCTCATTAAATACACGGAAAAAACAATGTCGTGGTCATCAGCTATTGTACTAGTTCCATTTTCATATATATTATATGCACATATTATTAATAAATTTAAAAACAATAATAATAATAAAAAGAGGGCCAACGACTTGCACATACCCAAGGTTTACCATAACAACCAATTGGTATTCAAAAGATTTTGAAATAATAAATAGGTACCTTCCGTCATGTGCTGTTAGTGATTTATGTTTGTTAACAGTGAAAAGACTAAAATGCACTTGAAAGTTTGATATTTTAGTTTTTTAATAAATTTCTAAAAAATCTCCTCGATTTGCTAATTTAATTAAACACCCCCATATATAAAAAGTTTGTTAAATGACAAAAACACTCACACCACCTACAGTACCAGATTCCAGCCAGGCGGCCACCACCGTCGGAATCTGGCCAAAAATTATGTTACGACACAGACCCCATTGGATCTGTGTCATAACGCGTCGATCTGGCCTTTTCTGGCCAGATCCGTGGCTGATCTGGCCATCGACGCCGCAGATGAAGTTTTGCTGCCACGAAGACGAGATCTGGCCTTTTCTGGCCAGATCAGCCATGGATTTGGCCGGAAAATGCTAGATCTGGCCGTCGAGATAGCAAAACTCCATCTGCTGCCTCGACGGCCAAATCGACATGTTACGACACAGATCCGATAGGTCTATGTCATAACGTAATTTCTCGGCCAGTTTTCAACGGTGGTGGCCGGAATCTGGCACTGCGGGTGGTAGGGGTGTTTAATTAAATTAACAAACTTTGGGGATTTTTTAGAAATTTTTAAATTTATAAAGAACTAAAATATCAAATTTTCAAAGGTATTTTAGTCTTTTCACTATGAACAAACAGAAATTACTAACAACACATGATGAAAGGTACCTGTTTGTTGTTTCAAGACCTTTTAAATATCAACTTGTTATTTTGACAAACCTTAGGTATACGTAAGTTATTCGGCCTAAATAAGGTCCTTAAATTCGTCAAACAATTAATTTTCATATAACTAACTGAAAATCAAAGTCAAAATTGTTTGGATTTTTGCTAAATCTAGTCATATTATGTATTTTTTTATACCGTAAATCCAAACAGCAGCCTCCAGTCCACTTGATAATTGCTAAACACCGTGTGTACTGTAATAATTATAGTACAACAACGACACGATTAATCAAGTTAAGATTACCCTAACTAATCATGTAGCTCCTAAAGTTAATCTCAAAAGGTTTAGCATTATTGGATCATTTAATTACCAGCTTTCACAACATGATTTTCAGCACGTTCAAAAATGTATTCGTGCATCAATTCAATGTAATAATGTATAGTAATTGTATTTTCTGAATACTTTATAAAAGTGTTTTTTTTTTTTTTTTTCTGGTTATCATTGAAATTTGATATTCAGAAAAAGATACCTTTTTAAAAATAAAATAAAAAAATAAAGATTTTTACTTTAAGGAAGGCAAAAAGGCAAAGTCAAAAACAAGATTTTAACTTTCTACAGGCGATCATGTTTCTTTGAATAATTAAAAGAATTACATTAATAATTTATTTATTTTAAAAGCGATTTTTTTTTAAATAATTGAAAGAATTACATTAATAATTTTAAAGGGCAGTTAACAATACTAAAGTGTTACTGTTTAAATAAATATGAATCTAAAAAGATAGAATGTCAAGACTGTACTGTTATTTGTGATGAATTAGAGAGATTAATAGCCATCCATTTGCATGCCCAAAATCAAGGTGATAACTTTATTAGGACAGGAAGGGGAAACAAAAATTGAAACTACTTTAATAAATCATGTCCTTTTTAATACAAACATGTGTTACATACATATGCATCTATCCGTGCGTGATTGGTTTTATTTATTTAATATTCGAATTTGAGAGAAGACTCACCCCATAATTGAAATATTTATTACATGTTTGGACATCTACTTCATTTATAAGTAACAACTTTGACATAAAAACATCACCCATATTCACTTGTTTGAGAAAGGATGATTTATTGAAAATTATATCTGAGCCTCTAAATTTTAATCTCGCCATGTCCTAATAATAGCAAAATTTGAAATTTATGATAGCTAAACGAAGAACGTAAGTGGTAGCTATCGGAATTCTTATCCGATCGATAGTTTCAGTGTCTTGAAATTCGATAGAGACTTTTGAGTTTGTTATTCAAGAGGTTTTGAATTCAAGTCCTTTCTCGATTACTAATAAGGATAATTTATGGAACTCTTACCCAATCGGTACTTCCAAAGTCCTGGAAACCCGAACACTCCGATCATAAAATAAAAAATAAAAAATGTAAGTGCTTTTTATATTATTATTATTTGTGTTGTATAGATATTAATCAACTCATATTGAAAGTTAAGTTTTAACCTTAAATTATGTTTTAAAAATAATTGGTAATAACTATTAAGACATGTAAAATCCAAAATCTGTTCGAAAAATAATCTTAAAACTTATTACAAAGTGGATCCTCAGTTAAAGAGGACATCGACTTTTGATAGGATAAAATTAGTTTAAACCATATCATTATTGTAGTTAAATTTTATAATTTAACAACTGAACTAATTAGTTAGTTTCGACGTTGCACTAATGAAAACATCATTGGACTTACACATATTATAAATAATAATTTTTCTTCCATACTTTGTTAACAATAATATAGATGATAACATTTGCATACCACTTGTAACATTAAATAATATAAATCAAAGTTTATAATATCAAACATAAGCAGATTTTTTTATTTTTTACTTTTTTTGTATCGATAATTATAATAAACGGTAATGGCTTGCATTTATGTATCACATGGAAGAAATCCAACAGACCCACACATTGATATGAATGATGAAAGAACCGTTTGATTTGATGATTTTGTAGACAAGTAATAACAGCGACCCAAAAACAACGGGGTGGATCATCTCTGGGCCCCATAAAACCCCACTCCCACTTTCAACACATGTCTAATTTGTACCAACTCACACTCCACTTCCTCACACCCAATCACCAATCAAAGCTCTGTAAAACCCCCCCACATAAACTAAAAATAAAACATAAATAGAGAAAGGTAAATTTCACTAACATCCTCAACTTTCATATTTCACCCTACGATTCTGAAATTATCAATGATCTCCCCATTAAACAATTTTAACGTTTTATTGTCAAATGTCATTATGTCAATTTAGGGGAAAATGAATAACTTTAAACTTATAGGTGGTGATAGGTCTAGTATGAAAGGTTAGGGAGCTTAGAAATTTACATCAAATACAAATTTAAAAAAATAAAAAAATAAAAAAAATAAGCCCTACACTCCAAAATCACACTACGTTTCGCTCTCTCTCTCTCTTTCTCTTCTTCTCTCAGCTTGATTGACATCGATAGATCAAATTCAAACAGAAGAAAAAAGCCCATCAATACACGACCAAAACCCATTTCACTTCTCTTCTCTTCTCAACTATTCTTTCATTTCTCTCTTTCTTTCGATTATCATTTCTTTACTATATACACAGAGAAGGAGGGAGACAGAGATATATTGTTTGTTTTGTTTTGTTTTGGGTATTGAGTTTGTGATTGTGGGTTGTGTTGAAGAGGGAGTGAAGATGAGCGGAGGTGGGTCTAGGGTTTCAATTCCTAGCAACATGAAGAAGATGATCCAGAACATAAAAGAGATCACGGGTAATCACAGTGAAGATGAGATTTATGCAATGCTCAAAGAATGCTCTATGGATCCCAATGAAACCGCTCAAAGGCTCCTCCTTCAGGGTATTTTTTCTTTTAATCTCTCTTTTAATTTTTTCTATGTCGGTTGATCTTGATTGGTTTTGATTTGTTCTGATCCATGTTTTCAGCTTTGTGTCTACTCATCTGGGTTTTCTTTTTATATTTTCTTAAATTTTTTCTTTAGGTTTGCTTTGATGGGTTTTTCACTGTCGATTGCTCACTGTTGTTAGGGCTTAACTTAGACTGTGACTCCTTTATTTTCCTGGAAGAAAATATTTATTTGTTTCTAATGTTTTGCTCAATTGAGATCAATTTTGAGAAATTTAGAGTGTTACTGGAAATGGGGTTCTTTTTCAATTTACAAATTCAGTGGCTTACACGTGAGTGCTTTGTTTTATTGGTGATTAGGGTTTTTCCCCTCTAGCTCACGCTTAGTTTTTTTGAAGCGGATTAGTTTGAATGAGGCTGCACATATGTAGTGAAATGAAATACATTTAAGTCTGTGATGTATTATATTAATTTTAAATGGGATGTTGATATGGATCAAAATATCTGGTGGAGAATCTCACACGATTTAGTCATGGTCATAGCATTCGTATGATGATACACGCAGTGATACTGAGGGATAGTTTTCGACTTAAAAGGTCTTTTTTTTTCCCAACCACTTTCATGTGTTTAGAGGAAGTTTGATATCGTGATGGGAATCTATTACAGACTCCACTTATCGGTTCAGAGGAGGTGCTGTTTGGTGATTTGTTTAGAATTCCATTGCAATTTGTTAGATTTTAGCACGGTTTCTGTGACATATAATGATGGTTTTCAAATTATTGGTTCTCAGACATTGTTACAGGAGCGTCAACTTGTTATCAAATATGAAATTGATATCGTATTAAGACTTATTTAGGTAATGAAAAATTGCTAATGATCCTCTGATGCAGCTCAAAGATTTCTTCCTCTTCTTATCAGTTATTGATAGGTGGCAAGCAATTTGTTGAGTATTTTTGAATTTTGTCATTCTTTTTCCTGTTTGATAGTTCGATTTTTTTTTTTTTTTTAAATTTTTTATGTTTTATATTGTTAATAGTCAGAAATTTTGTTTGAAGCAAATTGGTAATTTTTTAGTTTATTTGCAATCTCAAATCAATATAACAAAGTTTATGCATGATTTCGCAGATCCATTTCATGAGGTCAAAAGGAAACGTGACAAGAGGAAAGAGGTAAGAGAACTTTTTCAAAAGTATGATGATGGATTTTTAGATCTGTATAGTTCTGGCTATTAGGTATTTAGGGGTGATATATCTAGATTAAATGGTCAAATTGTCCCCATTTTTGTTTGGAACTTCTTTGTTGTTGTTTTAATGTCTATGATACTAAGATTAGGTGAGTGCAGGTAGTAAAATTTGAACTATTGTAGGGGGGTAAAGTGTTTTGATAACTTGTGGATATTGAAGGTTTAAATTACATGGGGGATATGATGAGTACTTGTTATTTTTCTTATTCAGATGTATAATTCAGCTTTAGTATTATTATGAATTTGGTCATTTTATTGTTGCAGAATGTGAACAGAGAGCCTGCGGAGTCTCGGTGGAGACCTGGCTCACAGGGCCGGGGAAGTAGGGGTGGCCGGGCGAATTTCTCATCTCGTTACACATCACATGGTAAACAAATGTCAGACAAACTGTTTAGAATTATAATGTTGGGATTGCACTCTGCTTTCTAACAGTAACAATTTTCATTTCGCTGCATTTACATGTGTTTGCTTCCTAACTTCATATACCTTGCTGTGACTTCAGTAGTAAAGGCCTGCAACTTATTTAGGAGCAGTTCAAACTGTACCACTTTGCTCAGTTTATTCCAAACAAATTTTCTGTGCAGTTATGTGACATTGCTGAGTTTTGTTTTAAACATGTTATTGACCTGTGGCCTTGTATGGTACTGAGTTGATTGTTGTTTTCATCATCTTTTTCTTGGCACTTATCTCAGTTAGGTTATTTGATCTTTTAAAGAAAGGATTGGCTACAGAACAAAGGGTTAGGATGTAGTTTATAGAACAAAGGGTTAGGATGTAGTTTATTGCCTTGTTGGGATCAATTTGATTACAAAGCTAATTGTCTCTTGTGTACTTCTTTCTAGATGCTGGTGGTGGCAAGAACTCTGGTACTGGAAGGGACAATGGAACCAGTCAAGCTGCGGACAAGGGTGTCGGCCCAACCCTTCCAACATCCCAGGAAGCAAAACATAAGGAAATGACTGCAGCAGCGAGGTGACTATTGTCTACAATTTGACTTTCTCTCATATGCAAGCAAATCTTTTGGACTTATAGGACAGTAGAGTTTACATTTTTAAGTATCTCTTGCAGCTCTGTGTCTGCCATGGCCAATGGTCCCAGTGTTGTAGCTTCTGGAGGCACAAATGTTCTGCACTCTGATTTACCAGCAGGAACTGGGGTAAATCAACCTGAAGTGAGTTCATCAGCTGCTGGCATCAATAAGTTGGGGAGCGCACCTTCTCCAGTTCATTCAAACAAAACTCCCACCATTGCATTTGGCACTGGGTCAACACAGGGGCAGCCTGCACCAATCTCCAGCTCATTGACTTCATCAACTGTCTGTTTCTCATCTTCGGATCCTGTGTTGGTGCCATCTAATGATTCATGGCTCCCTGGTGCAGTGGGTGCAATTAAGCGTGAAGTGGGGAGTCATAGAACTTCCAATGAACCAAATACTGCTGCAGAGAACAAGTCAAGTGCTGGTCAGGATTTTAACATACTTAATCAGTGTGACAATTTTTTTTTTCAAGTGACATGAACAACTCTGATTTTCCCCCCCTTGATTGACAGCACCTTCTGAGATTGGTAGCTCATTTATGCAAGGAAAGTTGCCAAGCAAATCCCAAGGTCCCATGAAGAATCAGCTTACTGAGTCTTCTCAAGCCACATCTATTCCAAACCATAGTTCCTCTTCAGTTAGTCGACCTCCATCTAATTACAATAACAGGTCACAAGAGATAATAGGCCAACAGAAAGGTATTGTTTTGGAATAAAACTGTATCCTATTTTGTAAAATTTGGAGGAATCGATTCTTGTAGGAATGCATTGGTACATTTGTTTGACCATAAAATACTTTGCCTATTTCTCAGCTGTTATTTGTAGCATATGTTTGATACTATACCATACAAGCTTGCTTTTGATAGGGATTGTAAATTTGTAAGTTAATTGTAGTGTGAATAATCAACATTAAGTTGGGACCTTTTGGTTTGCTTGAGAAATAGATTTTATTATCTACCAGTATGAATAAGCTTAGAAGTTTCTTCTCTAGGTTGCAGTATTGGAAATACAAGTTTGCTTGATATTGTACTCTCATATTCTAACTAAGAACTGATTGATGCTAGATTACCTTCCCTTGATTTATTTAGAAATTAATGATCTATCTCTCTATAACAGTTGGTTCTAATAAGGAGTGGAAGCCAAAGCCCACAAACCCTAGTACCACTCAAGGACCTGGAACGGCTGTCACATCTGAGGTTACTAGTGTTTTAGTTGAAGCTAGTGCCCGACCACAGTCTGTGTCAAGTGTTCTTGATTCAGAAGAAGCAACTTCAAAACTGCAGAAGGAGCTGGGGGAATTACATCTTCCACAACGTCAGCATGTTATAATTCCAAACCATATTCATGTCCCTGAATCTGAAAGAACCAAATTGAGCTTTGGCAGTTTTGACGCTAGTTTTGGGGTGACTTCTAATTATGTCAGTGCTCAGGAGAGTGAAAAGAGCTCCACACCTGTGTCTGAAACTTCTCAGGTTGTTGAAGAAACTGCAGAGGAACAGGCTGCAAGGTTTGTAACATGGAGTTTTTGTTTAGGTTTTGATGTAAAAAGTCTACTCTCCACCCTTCTCTCCCTTCTCTTAAATGTAGGAAGAATAACTTATTGGGGCCTGTCCTCTTATTAACTATATCTTTTGTGTTGGCTGTGATAATAATACTAGTTACTGCGATTCTTGAATCTGATCAGTCATGAAACAGTGGTATTGTTCACTGGGTTATTACGGAACTTTATGTGTCTATTGTAGATCATGAGGAAAGCTTCAATTTAACCTCATAATATTTTGGTCGTAGGCAGCCTTTTATTTTTGTGTAGATCACTGCACTCCTTAATTTTCTTGGGTTATAGAAGAATGGTTTTCACTCAGGTTAGTGAGGCATGTTTGTGCAACCATTATATTAATGGTTTTAATGGCTTCACATAAAGTTAAAAATTACATAAGGCTGTAATGAGTTCATTTTTTTTTTTCATGTTTGTTGGAATAAGCTGTTATAATTGACCATTTACAACTGTAAGAAACATTCTGATTCTTGGTATTTTTACTTTATATTTCTGTTGGGGTAAATATTTCTGCATATGAACCCAGCTACAGGGATCTTTGTTACTCTGCTTTGTGTTTTTTTGTTAAGATTTTTGATAAGTTGAAATTATTTGTTTGATTCAGCAATCAAAACACATTGGCAACTGCTGAAGTAGGAGATTATCCTGATCATTCCCAATCACCTAATCATGTACCCGAAAATTTGTCGGGTGATAGTGATGTATCAACCAGTGCTGTCCCAGAGTATAATGAATCAAAGCAGGAGACAATTTTGCTTTCTGGAGGCCAACAATACTCAGTGGTTCATACTAATCCCAACTACAGTTTTGGTTTTGTTCCTCCCATGTTAGGGAGTCAGTTTGCACCATTTGAAAACTCTGAGCCTCAAAATCGTGACGTTTCTCGGCTTCCAAGCTTTGTAGTGAGCATCCAAAATTGTTCTATTTAGTGATTTTTATGTTGATCTTGGTACATCTATAATATGCAAAATTTATATAGCTGCTATATGTTACCTCCTAGATAATTATTTTCCATGTTAAATAAAGTATGAAATATTTCTTGAATTTTGAATCTTGATGTGGTGCCTTGATATCATGAACTGATAGCATCAATTGTATCTTGTGCATCACCATTGATAGTTATTTGACTCTGTTTTTGCATTAAACCAACTACTGGTTTTCTCTTTATCTAGGTCCAACAACCGTTTGACCCAACAAATTATTATGCTCAGTTCTACCGATCAGGTGCTGATAGTGACGGTCGTGTTTCCCCATTTCCTTCACCAGGAGTTGCCGCAAAATACAATGGGAATCTTGCAGTGTTGCCACCACAGACTTCTCAGTCTCCTCAAGAGGTTTGTCCAATCATGGAGCCTTTGATTATTTTCAATTTAGAGACAATGTCGATGTAGTTTTTTCATTTATTTCCTAGATAAATATGATTTATTGAAGATTTTATACCGTGTGGGGTTTGTTTCTGGGGTTAAATCTTGAATATCTGCTCATCAGTTATCCATGCATGTCAAGTGTTAGTTAACAATTAGGATTGTTAAATATTTCGTGTGTTAGAATTTGCTATATGGATGTGGGTGTTTTGTTTTTTTGGCATGTACCTATACTTTGCAGTGAAGGCTATATCATTGGGGCTTTAACCTCTCCTGTCTTTAACTGTGCATTGAACTTCAAGTTGAGACCTGGTTGTTTGTTTTAGTCCTTTTGGGATGTTGAAAATGCATTCTACTTTTAAATCACGTTATTGTGTTACTAGATATTGGGTGTCTGATTACATTGATTTGAGATGCGCAGCTTGCTTGATATTTACATGTTTAAGTTCTGATGCTTATATGTTTCTGTATCTAGGGTGGGAATTCTTTAGTCCTGTCTACAGCAGGTCCGACTCCGCCGGCAACTCAGGCTGCTGGTCTCATGCAAAGTTCTATAGCTGTGACCCAGCAACCAGTTCCTGTTTTCCGTCCTCCAACTGGAGTGCATATATCTCATTATCCTCCAAACTACATTCCATATGGCCACTATTTCTCGCCGTTCTATGTACCACCTCCTACCATCCATCAATTTTTGAGCAATGGTGCATTTCCTCAGCAACCTCAAGCTGGCAGTGTGTATCCAGCTCCACAGGCAGCAGCTGCAACAGGTGCCAAATTTTCACTTCCGCAGTACAAACCTGGAACTAATACTGGTAACTCGAACCATATTGGAATGCCAAGTGGCTATGGACCATATGGGTCCTCCCCAGCTGGCTATACTCCTAGTTCTGCTGCAACAGCTGGCAACTCAACTCCTAATGAGGAGCTTGGTGCTTCCCAGTTCAAGGATAGCAATGTCTACATCACTGGACAACAGGTTTGCTTATTTTTCCTCTTTTCTTAATTAAATTGTTCTGTATTGATTGATTATCCAACTTGAATGCTCCTTTTTTCGCCACTCCTTTTACTGTTTAAGGGACATCGTTTTCGTACAGTGATGGATTTATTTCTTTTATGCAGAGTGAAGGTTCTGCCGTGTGGATTGCTGCACCTGGCCGAGAGATATCCAGCTTGCCAGGAAGTTCATTTTACAATCTTCCTCCTCAAGGTCAGCATGTAACTTTTGCTCCAACGCAGGCTGGTCATGGCACCTTTGCGGGTATCTATCACCCTGCACAAACAGTAACAGCAGCAACAGTACATCCACTTCTACAACAATCTCAGACAATGGCCGGAGCTGTTGAAATGGGGGGACCAGCGGCCAGTGTTTATCAGCAGCCACAGCATGCACAGATCAACTGGCCCAGTAACTACTGAAACAGGGATAGATTTTTTTTCTTTTTGTAAGCCGGGAAAACAAGAAATTAAAGTCCAATCTTGGAAATATTTTTGGGAACTCCAACGAGTTTGGATGGTGGAAAATGAAGAAGATATACAGTGGCTGGATTTGAGAGTGTAAATCTATGAAAGGAGGCTGGAAAAACATTTGCCAGTAGTATCTTCTGGTTGGTTGGGTTGAGGACATAAAAGATGCAGTTCGCCTGTAACTGATGTTGATCATTTTAAGTTAGTCAAGGTAGGCATGTGCAGGTTTCTTGCTGCTGCTCTGTGGTGTTACCAATTTTTCCATTTCATAGTTTCAGTCTTTTTTCGCCTCCTTTTTCTATAACTTTCTGAACTCTACTAGAAATTTACTGTTGAGTGGTGAGAATCTTTTCCATTCTTTTTTCCCTTTTATATTTGAGGTTTTATAGGGCTTTGGAAGGTAAGATATAGGTCGTTGGAGAAATTTTTCCATTCTTTTTTTCATGTCGTTATGCAGTCTTACCTGTAAAGTGAATTTTGATAGCATGAAAATGATGTACTGGACTCTTGTAATTGGTGAAGCCGAAGGGAACGTTGCAATTGTTTCAGTTAACTGATTAATAGTAAGTAAATGCTTTTCATAGGTATAGGATTGAGGGTGATAGTTAATTTATTAATGAGGGTTATCCTTTTTGGCCTTTTAGAAGTGATTCACTTGAAGTTTAAGTTGGTGGTTCCTCAGTTAGAAATGCCGTTACTGGATTTTGTTTGTTCCTTTTAAGTAATGATCTTGGAATATCCAGGTCACATGTTTTCCATATGTACGAGATTATAAATTATTTTACTGTTGATCAAATTCCTATTGTTGCATTTTGCAATTAACTAGTTATTCAGTATTTCCTGCTAATTACTAACTTATGTTTGAAGTTCCAGGGAAAATTTTGCTTAATTTTTTGTGCATCTTGGAGTCAATGTTAGGGTGATGGTACAAGGGCATCTCAAATCGTTCATATATTCCGTTTCAAGAGATAATATTATTTATTACATACAATTTGAAATGCGTGAAATTATTCATATTATTTTGGAATTTGGATGATTAATGTTAATCAATTATTGTGTAATGGAATATTACTTCTATCATTAGAGCAAGAACAGTAAGCTGAAGATGCACACCCCAAGACTTGTGTCCGCTCTGGGCTGTCTTTACGGTAATCATGTTGCTGGCTGATTTTGATACTGATTACACCCCAACATAAACTAAACAACAAACACAAGATCAGCCGCGGACCCCTCTTAGTAAACCTGCCTAAATCTTGTCCCTTACCCTTTGACTCAAGTCGGCCAACGGCATGTTTTTCTTGTGCCTCTTGGATTCATCGATGTTGCTGACTATATTTAACACTTGGTTCTTGCCAATGAGGCATGTTTGTGCAACCATTATATTAATGGTTTTGATGGCTTCACATAAAGTTAAAAATGACATAAGGCTGTAATGAGTTCATTTTTTTTTTTCATGTTTGTTGGAATAAGCTGTTATAATTGACCATTTACAACTGTAAGAAACATTCTGATTCTTGGTATTTTTACTTTATATTTCTGCATATGAACCCAGCTACAGGGATCTTTGTTACTCTGCTTTGTGTTTTTTTGTTAAGATTTTTGATAAGTTGAAATTATTTGTTTGATTCAGCAATCAAAACACATTGGCAACTGCTGAAGTAGGAGATTATCCTGATCATTCCCAATCACCTAATCATGTACCCGAAAATTTGTCGGGTGATAGTGATGTATCAACCAGTGCTGTCCCAGAGTATAATGAATCAAAGCAGGAGACAATTTTGCTTTCTGGAGGCCAACAATACTCAGTGGTTCATACTAATCCCAACTACAGTTTTGGTTTTGTTCCTCCCATGTTAGGGAGTCAGTTTGCACCATTTGAAAACTCTGAGCCTCAAAATCGTGACGTTTCTCGGCTTCCAAGCTTTGTAGTGAGCATCCAAAATTGTTCTATTTAGTGATTTTTATGTTGATCTTGGTACATCTATAATATGCAAAATTTATATAGCTGCTATATGTTACCTCCTAGATAATTATTTTCCATGTTAAATAAAGTATGAAATATTTCTTGAATTTTGAATCTTGATGTGGTGCCTTGATATCATGAACTGATAGCATCAATTGTATCTTGTGCATCACCATTGATAGTTATTTGACTCTGTTTTTGCATTAAACCAACTACTGGTTTTCTCTTTATCTAGGTCCAACAACCGTTTGACCCAACAAATTATTATGCTCAGTTCTACCGATCAGGTGCTGATAGTGACGGTCGTGTTTCCCCATTTCCTTCACCAGGAGTTGCCGCAAAATACAATGGGAATCTTGCAGTGTTGCCACCACAGACTTCTCAGTCTCCTCAAGAGGTTTGTCCAATCATGGAGCCTTTGATTATTTTCAATTTAGAGACAATGTCGATGTAGTTTTTTCATTTATTTCCTAGATAAATATGATTTATTGAAGATTTTATACCGTGTGGGGTTTGTTTCTGGGGTTAAATCTTGAATATCTGCTCATCAGTTATCCATGCATGTCAAGTGTTAGTTAACAATTAGGATTGTTAAATATTTCGTGTGTTAGAATTTGCTATATGGATGTGGGTGTTTTGTTTTTTTGGCATGTACCTATACTTTGCAGTGAAGGCTATATCATTGGGGCTTTAACCTCTCCTGTCTTTAACTGTGCATTGAACTTCAAGTTGAGACCTGGTTGTTTGTTTTAGTCCTTTTGGGATGTTGAAAATGCATTCTACTTTTAAATCACGTTATTGTGTTACTAGATATTGGGTGTCTGATTACATTGATTTGAGATGCGCAGCTTGCTTGATATTTACATGTTTAAGTTCTGATGCTTATATGTTTCTGTATCTAGGGTGGGAATTCTTTAGTCCTGTCTACAGCAGGTCCGACTCCGCCGGCAACTCAGGCTGCTGGTCTCATGCAAAGTTCTATAGCTGTGACCCAGCAACCAGTTCCTGTTTTCCGTCCTCCAACTGGAGTGCATATATCTCATTATCCTCCAAACTACATTCCATATGGCCACTATTTCTCGCCGTTCTATGTACCACCTCCTACCATCCATCAATTTTTGAGCAATGGTGCATTTCCTCAGCAACCTCAAGCTGGCAGTGTGTATCCAGCTCCACAGGCAGCAGCTGCAACAGGTGCCAAATTTTCACTTCCGCAGTACAAACCTGGAACTAATACTGGTAACTCGAACCATATTGGAATGCCAAGTGGCTATGGACCATATGGGTCCTCCCCAGCTGGCTATACTCCTAGTTCTGCTGCAACAGCTGGCAACTCAACTCCTAATGAGGAGCTTGGTGCTTCCCAGTTCAAGGATAGCAATGTCTACATCACTGGACAACAGGTTTGCTTATTTTTCCTCTTTTCTTAATTAAATTGTTCTGTATTGATTGATTATCCAACTTGAATGCTCCTTTTTTCGCCACTCCTTTTACTGTTTAAGGGACATCGTTTTCGTACAGTGATGGATTTATTTCTTTTATGCAGAGTGAAGGTTCTGCCGTGTGGATTGCTGCACCTGGCCGAGAGATATCCAGCTTGCCAGGAAGTTCATTTTACAATCTTCCTCCTCAAGGTCAGCATGTAACTTTTGCTCCAACGCAGGCTGGTCATGGCACCTTTGCGGGTATCTATCACCCTGCACAAACAGTAACAGCAGCAACAGTACATCCACTTCTACAACAATCTCAGACAATGGCCGGAGCTGTTGAAATGGGGGGACCAGCGGCCAGTGTTTATCAGCAGCCACAGCATGCACAGATCAACTGGCCCAGTAACTACTGAAACAGGGATAGATTTTTTTTCTTTTTGTAAGCCGGGAAAACAAGAAATTAAAGTCCAATCTTGGAAATATTTTTGGGAACTCCAACGAGTTTGGATGGTGGAAAATGAAGAAGATATACAGTGGCTGGATTTGAGAGTGTAAATCTATGAAAGGAGGCTGGAAAAACATTTGCCAGTAGTATCTTCTGGTTGGTTGGGTTGAGGACATAAAAGATGCAGTTCGCCTGTAACTGATGTTGATCATTTTAAGTTAGTCAAGGTAGGCATGTGCAGGTTTCTTGCTGCTGCTCTGTGGTGTTACCAATTTTTCCATTTCATAGTTTCAGTCTTTTTTCGCCTCCTTTTTCTATAACTTTCTGAACTCTACTAGAAATTTACTGTTGAGTGGTGAGAATCTTTTCCATTCTTTTTTCCCTTTTATATTTGAGGTTTTATAGGGCTTTGGAAGGTAAGATATAGGTCGTTGGAGAAATTTTTCCATTCTTTTTTTCATGTCGTTATGCAGTCTTACCTGTAAAGTGAATTTTGATAGCATGAAAATGATGTACTGGACTCTTGTAATTGGTGAAGCCGAAGGGAACGTTGCAATTGTTTCAGTTAACTGATTAATAGTAAGTAAATGCTTTTCATAGGTATAGGATTGAGGGTGATAGTTAATTTATTAATGAGGGTTATCCTTTTTGGCCTTTTAGAAGTGATTCACTTGAAGTTTAAGTTGGTGGTTCCTCAGTTAGAAATGCCGTTACTGGATTTTGTTTGTTCCTTTTAAGTAATGATCTTGGAATATCCAGGTCACATGTTTTCCATATGTACGAGATTATAAATTATTTTACTGTTGATCAAATTCCTATTGTTGCATTTTGCAATTAACTAGTTATTCAGTATTTCCTGCTAATTACTAACTTATGTTTGAAGTTCCAGGGAAAATTTTGCTTAATTTTTTGTGCATCTTGGAGTCAATGTTAGGGTGATGGTACAAGGGCATCTCAAATCGTTCATATATTCCGTTTCAAGAGATAATATTATTTATTACATACAATTTGAAATGCGTGAAATTATTCATATTATTTTGGAATTTGGATGATTAATGTTAATCAATTATTGTGTAATGGAATATTACTTCTATCGTTAGAGCAAGAACAGTAAGCTGAAGATGCACACCCCAAGACTTGTGTCCGCTCTGGGCTGTCTTTACGGTAATCATGTTGCTGGCTGATTTTGATACTGATTACACCCCAACATAAACTAAACAACAAACACAAGATCAGCCGCGGACCCCTCTTAGTAAACCTGCCTAAATCTTGTCCCTTACCCTTTGACTCAAGTCGGCCAACGGCATGTTTTTCTTGTACCTCTTGGATTCATCGATGTTGCTGACTATATTTAACACTTGGTTCTTGCCAATCCTACAAGCCGTCATAATTGCCACCCCAACCCAACATCAACATGCTCAACAAACTCCTCAAACGCAATGTGCCCTCCAAACCAGCAGCAGCAGCTTCTCAACCAAAGACTATCTCTTCTGTCTTGAAAATTGTCCATATAGGTGGAGTTGTTGAATGTTATTACATGGCAACACCTGCTTTTAGAATCATGGAGAAGTACCCATCTTTCATTCTAGCTAGACCTCAAGTTTTCAGGAGGCCATGGGATTCAGTCGTGAGGCCAGATGAAATTCTCATCCCAGGTGAGAAGTTCTATCTTGTCCCTCGTCAAACCGTCAAGAAACTGTGGCGACGAGTTAAAAGGCCTGATAGGGATAGAGATGTCTCTATGAACTCCTCCATGTCAAAGTCGTCTTCTATTGATGTGTCAGTTGATGTAGTTTCTTGCAAGAAGAATGACTTCTCCTGCAAGTCAATTTGCCAACAAAATGAAGTTAGTAAATCAAGTAGTTCATTTAGGAAGGAAACTTGTATTAAAAAGCATGTGAGATTCGTTGGGATTGAAGTAGTGAAGAACAAAGATGCTGGTTCACATAATTCTGAGTCTCGGGAACAAAAGAGAAGGCCTAGAAATACTTTTCCAGCCTGGGAACCATCACTTGATGCTATCAATGAAAGGGCTGATGAATGATGCTATCCAAGGATCTTACAAGACTAATCTCAAACAACATTTATTTATTTTGGACCTAAGTCCCAATTTTCAATATTCATCATAGTTGTTTATAGTCTAAAAATCATCTTCATTTGTATTTTTTTAATTCCTTTCTTTCTTTTTATATTTTGATTTATGTTGAAGTCATTTGCTGTTTGTTGACTCACCAGACTTCCACAGCATATACTTATCACATCCTTGAATATCTTGATGTTATCTCTGAATAGACCCCTTATAATACAAATCTTTTATTTGTTTTCAATTATTAAATAATACTATAATCAAACTAGACAAAAGATCCAATGTCATCATGATTTAATTTATTATAATAATATAAAAACATTCTACTAATTTTGATAATCAGTTCATTCTAATGTCCCAAATCACATGTTAAACAGTAGCAGAAAATGGGAACTAAGGTGAAGTTTGGGGTTTCCAACTTTTTTAACCTTTGGAGAGGTGGGCAGTTAAAAAACAGGTAAAAATTCTTGAATGTTGTCTTAAAAACTTTTCTGGGTTTTTGGTCAATTTTGTTTGGGGGACAGTTTATTAAAACAACCTCTCAAGTTTGAATTTAATTTAAAAGCTATCAAGTTTTAAAGTTTTAACTAAATAGTCATATTATTGATTAAGGGTAATTAAACTTGATTAGTGCTTAATTATGATTAAAGAAGTATTATGTAATCTTTTAAAAATTATACTATATTCCTAAAAACCTGAAATTCTTGCAAACAAACCCAAACGCCTTCTTCTTCCTCCTGCCATTAACGCATCTCCACCTTGGTTGCTGTTTCTTCTTAGCTTCGTCTACATCTTCTTCTTCGTCTGCATCTTCTTCTTCGTCTACATCTTCTTCTTCCTCCTTCGTCTACATCTTCTTCTTCCTCATTCCTCTATATCTTCTTGTTCCTCCACCATTAACAATTTCTTCTTCCTCCACCATTAATATCTTCTCCGCCAAAGATCCCCTCCTCCTCCTCCTGAAATTTCATCTAAGTATGTGTATCTCCTCTTTATATTTTATATTTAGATTTACAAAGATTTAATAATAGATGGGGTTTGGGTTATGATTTTGATTTAGTTGTTTAGGTTGTTGGGTTGTGTTTGATGTAATGCAAGTTGAAATGAGTGAAATTTGTTGAATATTTTCTTGCATTGTGAGTAGCTAGGGGTGATAGCACCGATTGTAGGTAGAGATGGCTGAAAATGTGTTTTGGATCTGATGGATCGCTTAAGCGATCTGGTATATGACATCAGATCGCGTAAGTGATCTGATATAAGTCTGGTATATGGTACCAGATCGCTTAAGCGATCTGGTATAAGTCTGGTATATGGCAGCAGATCGCTTAAGCGATCAGTCTTATTTGTACTAGATCACTTAAGCGATGCAGTAAGCTATATACTTCGGTAAGAAATTATATTCCATAATGTTTATTTAATATTTAGTCCTTTTTTTATTAATTATTAATTATTATTTTCATTTCAATAGAATATGAAAAGAACACTTCGGTCTTTGTCAATCAGCACCGTACATAAAACTGAAAAATTTATTGTTATTCTATTATTTTTGTTAGTTCTTAGCAAGAAAGTAATATAAAAAAATATAATATTGATATAAAATTTGATATAAATGAACTTTGCAACCATCTGCTCTGCACTCTTTAGACCAAGGCTAAAACACGGGATCGCTTAAGCGATTAAGGTAATTACTTCAATATTTATTTCCATGTTTACGGACATATGTTTAATATGATGTAAAGAACTAATTAATTAAAATATAATAACGTTTATAGTCCACTAATGAATCGTACACCTGATATGTTTAATATAGACGTAAACATTCTATACCATATATGTTTAATATAGCCTAAAGAACTAATTTAATTAAAATATAATCGTCATGGTCCACTGAACGAATCGTACACCTGATATGTTTAATATAGACGTAAACATTCTATACCATATGTGTTTAATATAGCCGTAAGAAACTAATTTAATTAAATATAATAACGTTTATGTTCTATTGAACAAATCGTACACCTGATATTTTAATATAGAGGTAACATCTAGACCATATAGTTTAATATAGCCATAAAAAACTAATTTAATTAAATTAATAACGGTCATGGTCCACTGAACGATCGTACACTGATATGTTTAATAAGACGTAAACATTCTACACCATATATGTTTAATATAGCCATAAAGAACTAATTTAATTAAATATAACGGTCATGGTCCACTGAACGAATCGTACTCCCGATATGTTTAATATAACTAAACATTCTACACCATATACGTTTAATATAGCCATAAAATAACTAATTATTAAAATATAATAACGTCATGGTCCACTGAACGAATCGTACACCTGATATGTTTATATAGACGTAAACATTCTACACTATATAATTTAATATAGCCGTTAAGAACTAATTTAATTAAAATATAATATGGTCATGGTCCCACTGAATGAATCGTACACCTTACATGTCAAGATAGCGTTAATCGCTTAATCAATCTAGTGAAATCAATAAAAATAATCCAAATACACTGGATCGCTTAAGAGATTTCATTTCTCGCTTAAGCGATCCTGTGTATTTAGACTTAGTCGCTTAAGAATCGGTTGTATTTATGTTCGCTTAAGCGATTCTATGCTTTTATACTTGGTCGCTTAGATATCCACAAGACAGAATCATAAGTGCCCAGACGCACGATCGCTTAAGCGATTTATTTTATCGCTTAAGCGTCCTTTGCTTTTAACCTTGGTCGCTAAGCGATTACAAATCGCTTAAGCGATCATGTCCGCTCCGCAGAATAACTTCTGCCTAGATGCACATTGCTTAAGCGATTAAGTGTATCGCTTAAGCGATTCTTCGCTTTATTATTGGTCGCTTAAGCGATCATGAAAAGACAATAAATAAGTGCCCAGACGTATGATCGCTTAAGCGATCCTTTGCTTTTAAACGTTGGTTGCTTTAAGCGATCATTCCGAAGCAGAATCAACTTCTGCCCAGTGCATGATCGCTTATACCAGATCGCTTACGGATCTTCTGTCATATACTAGATTGCTTAAGCGATCCTTTGCTTTTACTCTTGGTCACTTGGAATTTGTTAAGCAATTCTATGCTTTACACTTGGTCGCTTAAGCGATCATAGATCGCTTAAGCGATCACACGACAGATAGAATCAATAAGTGCCCAGCGTACGATCGCTTAAGCGATTTATTCTAGCTCTTAAACAATCTTGCTTTAAACATTGGTCGCTTAAGCGATTACAAATCGCTTAAGCGATCATGTCCGAGGCGAATCAACTTTTGCCTAGATGCACAATTGCTATCGCTTAAGCGATTCTTTGCTTTTATTATTGGTCGCCTAAGCGATCATGAACAAGATAATAAGTGCCCAGACGCATGATCGCTTAAGCAATCCTTGCTTTTAACGTTGTGTTGCTTTAAGCGATCATGTCCGAAGCAGAATCACTTCTGCCCAGATGCATGATCGCTTAAGCGATCTAAAATCGCTTATACCAGATCCCTTAAGGCGATCTTCTGTCAGCGATCCTTTGCTTTTACTTTTGGTCGCTTAAACGATCCTTTGCTTTTACTCTTGTTGCTTGGAATTTGGGTCGACATCCTCCTCTTCATTTCAATTTCAACTATTGCCCTCCCTTGTTCTGCCAATAGAATGTCTTCCGTCGATGTCTCTCCCTCTCCTGTTGGAGCAACTTCAGTCATTGGAGTTACTCCACCACAACTTCTTCTTCTCCATTTTTGGTAGACCAGTGGTGCCTACATTTGGGGAAGATGTGTTTTTTTTCTGTTTCTTTAAGGTCTCACCCATTATACTTAACAGGAATGGCAAGGAATGACAAAAATGCAAAGAGCAAAGAAATTGAGAATTGCAGAAAATTAGAAGAAAAAGAAGAGAGAAAGGTGTTTGAATCCTATTGTGAGAAAGAGAAGATGAGAGAAATGTGTTTTGCCTTTCAAATTTTGAATCAACTTCTCTTTATTATATTTTAACCCACAATGTTTAAATCTTTTTATCATAATCCTTTTTGCTGTTTAATTACACATAGTGTGTCACGTCATATTTTTTAACCAAAAAAATCAAAAAGATTTTTATGGCCATTTTGTTAAAGGAACTTGGGATGGCCTGGAGTTAAATTTCCTCTTTTGTTTGTTAGTGTTTGTTTGGGCTTTCAGACAGGACCATCATTATAATAAAAAGCAAACCAAACCCTTGAACACACAGAGAAAAGAGAGAAATGGGACATGACGAAGAGAACACAGCTGCTTCGACACCAACGACCACAGACCAAGAAGAAGAGCTTGGAACCAAAGAAAGGAAATCCTCATACACGACTTGTCTGGCTAATAAATGAGATCTTCCGACCCAAATAGAAGCTGCTAGAGATATTAGAAAAGTTGTCAAGAAATCTTCTGTTAAAACAAGATCAAAGTTCGCAACTGCTGGAGTTATACAACCCTTGGTCTTGATGCTTGTATCTCCTAATTTGATGCCTGTGAAGCCTCCTCCTTGCCTCCTCAATCTCGCTGTTAGAAATGACGGTTTGTTTTATTTCTCTCTCCCTCTTTTCTTTTCTTTTAGCATAATAGATTTCTTATAGTATCTTATGTTTCCAGATGGTTTTTTTTTTTTTTTTTTTTTTTTTGTTTTTAGTTTTGTTTTTAATAGATAAGATGGGGGAATTTTAATTTATATGGGTTTTAAAATTTTTTAGCTATCAAACAGAAGGTTATGTACTTTTTTAAGCTGAAATCTGCATAGATTTTATTTTCTGAAGAGATACCGAGAAGAAATGAATAATAACATTCTCATGATGAATGATAAAAGAGAAGGAAGTGTAGAAGTGAGAATATTATGTTTTTGGCCATTGAGGTTCTGGTGAAAAAAGCTCAAAGGGCAATAAAAATGGGAAAGAGAACAACGCGGTTTGCTATATGAGCTTTGTTTGATGGAAAAGGCAAGATTTTTTTTATCCAAGTGGATGCAATCGTGAGAAATTTCTATTCCTTAACTTTCGTTATTGTTTGGGGGTTTTAAGGTTTTCATTTATGGACTTGACTATTTGTGTAGATTGAATATATGGGGTTTCCTAGGAGATTTTCAAAGATGAAAAGATTGATTGTGAGGAATTGGTTTCTAAATTTCATGTTGTTATTGTGCTATAATGAATTTTTGTATGATGATGTTTTAGGATGATTTGTTTTTGACCAGGACCAAAATGTTTATGTGCCAGTGTGTGCATTTTCTTTGGACGGAAATGTCTAAGTGGTTCAGTGTCGCATTTTAGATTGAGATTTTTAGTTCCTGCTGACCTCATTTTTCTGTTCTGCGTTGTCCCCTGAAATGAAGGACATGCTTTTTGATTTTTCGATTTAGTTTTTCCATTGTAACCAGGGATTGTTTTTGAGTTGATTAAGCCATGGGCATTGAGCAATCTACAATTTATTCTGTTTGAAACTTTTCCTTTCTTGTATTCCTTTAATTCTTTTGTTTCCAGTGATATTTTTGAAGTTGCCTTTGTTATGTTATTATCCTCTCTTTTTTCTCTTTAGTTGATTGTAGTCAGTGCACTTTTGTATCTCATTCACTCCATCCCTGTTTATCAGAAACAAGGTCAAGATAGTGACAGCTGGTGCCATTCCCCCGCTTGTTGACCTTCTTAAGTTCCAAAACGGTAGTTTACGGGAATTAGCTGCCGCAGCTATATTAACTCTCTCTGCGGCTGCACCCAACAAGCCAGCCATTGCAGCTTCAGGAGCTGCACCTCTTCTAGTAGAGATTCTCCATTCTGGAAGTGTTCAGGGAAGAGTTGATGCAGTTACCGCGCTACACTATCTCTCAACCTGCAGAGAGACTTCCAATCCAATCCTAGACGCTACAGCTGTTCCCCCCCTTCTCAAACTCCTTAAAGAATGCAAGAAATATTCTAAGTTTGCCGAGAAAGCTACAGCACTACTTGAAATCCTTTCAAACTCTGAAGAAGGGCAAACAGCAATCACAAATTCAGATGGTGGGATTTTAACCCTAGTAGAGACAGTTGAAGACGGATCCCTTGTCAGCACAGAACATGCGGTAGGAGCTCTGCTTTCTTTATGCCAGAGTTGCCGGGATAAGTATCGACAACTTATTCTGAAAGAAGGTGCAATCCCAGGGCTTCTACGACTGACTGTAGAGGGTACCTATGAAGCCCAAGAAAGAGCTCGAACACTCTTGGACTTGCTCAGAGATACTCCTCAGGAAAAGAGACTAAGTTCTTCAGTTTTGGAGAAAATTGTTTATGACATTGCTACTCGGGTTGATGGAGCAGATAAAGCTGCAGAAACTGCTAAAAGGTTACTACAAGACATGGTCCAAAGAAGTATGGAGCTCAGTATGACACGCATCCAGCAAAGGGCTGCATCTTCTACACCGTCCAAGATTACATCCACATGATGTATCCTATGGCCTCAAGAAGGTTTTATACAAGAAAAAAAGGGTAGGAGTTTCAATTTGATATATAGTCTTCTCGAATCAGTTAAATCTCTTGTACCCTTTCTGGATCACCATTCACCACCCAAGTGAGTGAGAATGAATAGAGTTAAATGTTGATTTAGATTTCATTAGAACGTCTACCAATTGAGGTGATATTGTGACCTCATCCTGGTGTTGTATATCTTAAGCTTAACCTTGTTCATGTATATATAAAATCTCGCCAAGGTATACACATGTACATTTCTTATGATCACAAATTTTGTAGGAAAGGCAGCACAGATTTAAGGTTGTGATGACAATATACTTTCATCAACAAAAAAAATCAGCTTCTTGTGATCCTAGGACAAGAGTAGAAACTGGAAATTGTCCCTAAATGAATCTCTTGTTAATTTATTGTCTTGAGGACTGTTCCAACACATGTTGTTGTGATGTTTTTTCTGTATTTGCCTTTGTGAACATCATTATCTTCTTTACCCAGTACAGAAATAAACTAAATGACTAATCACAAAGACTTTTAATTGGTTGGGGTCCCTCTTTCCCTGTTTCCACTAATACAATTCTGGCTGATGGTAATTCTTGATTGCTAATCCAAAAAGGAAGCACTCGTACTATTTACTTTATATGGGGTGGTTGTTGAAGTAAAAGGAAACTTCCATGATGCTAAAGAGACTTCCACATCATCTTTGTTGGAAATGAGAGGGAGAGGTACACTGAATAATCAAAAGGTGTTGAGCACTTGTAATCATCACCAAATACTATTTGAAGTGATTAAATATAAAGCATTTCCCTAAATCATTCATAATATAAAGGTCAAAAGTAGACTTGGTTAAAATTACAGGTGCCATCATCCTTGCCTATGTTTATCTTCATCTTTGAAATCTTGTAAAATATATATATATAATATATTATAGATCTATTGACAGCACGCTAAAAAAACGTCGATTATTACAATTTTGCCACTGTCGGTGTATTAGTTAATACAAAAGCAGTGGCGTCCCATTACTGTTTCATCGTCCCATAATCCCAGATCCTGCCTTCAACGTAGCACAATTGACCACGTGTAAACATCACAATCCATACACGCAATGCGCTGCCTGCTCACCATAACAACTCCCCTTTCTTTTTGACCATCAATCAGTAACAGCTCACAAGTGTGAGTGAAACCACCTACTGAACAGTAAACACACTTAGAGAGAGACAAAACAGAAAAACAGAGAGATGAGTTGATGCTTCTTGTTAAGGTAAGTGAAATTGAAACCTCAAACTACTATTGCTGTCTGTTTTAAGTCTTCAATCAGCTTGTAGCTTCAGATCTTTCTTTGTTTTGGTTTGTCTTGTTAATATCGAGATCTGTGATTCCCAGATCTAAAAGGCATTTGCTTTGCAATTTTGTTACCTGGGTATATTTTGTTGGAGTTCTAGTTGCTAGATTTAGTTAAGGGTAGGAGTTTCGGGTTCAGGAACAATGTTGGGTCGGTCTCCTCTATCAAGAACCGGAAGTTTCCGGCCTGAAAATCTAGGTCAGAATGCACTTGCTATGATAGGCAACCTTTGCTTCGCTATGTTTGTGTTAGGAGTTTTAATCTTCACCATTATCGCTGCCACGTATGAACCTGAGGACCCGCTTTTTCACCCGTCAACGAAGATCACCACATTCTTGACATCAACTTCAAATGCCACTTTTAAATCTGATGACACTGTTGTTAAAACCGGTGAGGATTTCATGAAGCCCAACCAAACTATGGTTTCCACATTTATTAATATGACTGATGTTGAGAATGACAATTCGGGCAACGGTTTACAGGCTGAGACGGGGACTAATTGCGAGGGTAATGCAGATAGTCCTATTGATTGTACTGACCCGGAAGTGTTTCATTTATTGATGAGAAAAGCTATTGATCATTTTAAGGATATACATTTTTACCGGTTTGGGAAGGCTGTTCGTGGGGATGGGGATAATAATTGCGATATGGCATGGCGGTTCAGGCCCAAGGAAGGGAAGACTGCTGCATTTTATAAAGATTATAGGCGGTTTGTGATTGCTAGGGAAAATTGTACTCTTAGTGTGGTGAGTATTGGGGATTATCATTCAGGTGTGAATGGTAGGAAGAAGAAGAAGAGGCCTGGGTTTGAGAAGGCACCAACAAAGGAAACCCCTGGCTTGTTAGTTGTTGGGGAAGCTGTTAATGATACACTCCCTGTGGTTGAGTCAGAGAAGTCGTTTAGTCGTTTGAAATACTTGATATATATGGATGGTGGGGATAGGTGCAAGAGCATGAATCATTACTTGTGGAGTTTCTTGTGTGCTTTGGGTGAAGCACAGTACTTGAACCGAACATTGGTTATGGATTTGACCATTTGTTTGAATTCTATGTATACTTCATCGAAGCAAGATGAGGAAGGGAAAGATTTCAGGTTCTACTTTGACTTCGAGCATTTGAAGGAGGCAGCATCTGTGTTGGACAAGGAACAGTTCTGGTCAGATTGGAATCACTGGCACAAGAAAGATGGTTTGAGTCTTAACCTTGTGGAGGATGTTCGGGTCACACCAATGAAGCTTTCTGAGGTGAAGGATTCTTTGATTATGAGAAAATTTGGATCTGTTGAACCAGATAATTACTGGTACAGGGTGTGCGAAGGAGAGACAGAATCTGTTGTTCAGAGGCCATGGCATCTGCTTTGGAAGTCGAGAAGGTTGATGGATATAGTTTCTGCAATTGCTTCAAGGTTGAACTGGGATTATGATTCAGTTCACATAGAGAGAGGGGAGAAGGCTGGGAACAAGGAGCTCTGGCCTAACCTTGCAACAGATACTTCACCTGATGCTCTTCTGTCAACCCTAGCAGACAAGATTGAAGATGGAAGGAATGTTTATATTGCAACAAATGAACCTGAGACATCCTTCTTTGACCCATTGAAAGACAAGTATACCACCCATTTTCTTGATGAGTACAAGGATCTCTGGGATGAGAACAGCGAGTGGTATTCTGAGACAACAAAGCTTAACAAAGGCGTTGCAGTTGAATTTGATGGCTACATGAGGGCATCTGTCGATACAGAGGTATTCTTGAGAGGGAAAAAACAGATAGAAACTTTTAATGATCTCACCAATGACTGCAAGGATGGTATTAATACCTGCAGTGCTGCATCCAGTTAATCCTTACAACATGAAGTTTCAAATCTTGTGTTTCTAAATTGGGTTATATCCACATGTACTTCTAGTTATCGTCTTTTATCACTTTCCAGAAACTGCAATCTTTATTTGGTAGTATTTTGAGTTCTTAACTTGTAGAATATCAACAATCAATGTTTCATCACACGGGATCCTTTCAAGTTGTTATGGGGTTTATGTTATATTCTCTTCTCTATGTATGCAGCCATATCGAACTTTATTGTTTTTTCGTCATATTTCATAAGATGGACCTTGTTGAACTCAAGACTCTCAATGTTGTTCATTAATTTATGTAGTCAACTAGCAGTTTATGTTTGAGCAGCAATACAAGAGCAAGAGGCCTGCTGTGCTTTTCATTTACGTTGTTAAACTGTAAAAAACTCATTCGAAGTAGTTTAATAGCACTCCATCCTATTGTTCCGATCCGAAAACACCAGAATCAATAAGGAATCATGACTCATTCAACATCTGTCCCGAGGCTTAGAGTAGAAAAGATGAGTCATGATGCCTGGGAAAGAAGAATCAAAATCATTAACAATGGTCAAAGGTGCTTAAGAGATAGCCTATAGAAGGTACTTGCTGTATTGCAGTGTTACGCAAACCATTTCAAGATTAAAGCCGAAACTATATTTTCATCTTCATAGTTTCTAGTTTATTCGGAGTCCGGTTTTGTGGCTTTCATTCAAGGGGGTTGAAATCCATGCGTGAATCATGACATTTGACATGACTGCGTACTTTCATAAGAAACTGCGCCCACACCTAAACCCTAAATATTATCTGCATCATTGCATCCACGCCTAAACCCTAAATATTATCCGCATCACACACACACACGCTCTGTGTGTTTTTTCCAAAGATTTTTCTAAGTTGTACCAACTTTCAATAAAGAAAATATAATTTATACATAATTAAAAGAAAACGGGCATGCCTTTATTGTGGGTGTTAACCATCGACCAATTTGCTCACAGAAGGAGTTCCAACATCCAATTTGGATGATCCGGATTTATAAGTCCATTTGCTAAATTGCTAAATGATTAAAATGACTTCTATCTTTTGTTTTTTGTTTGTTTGTAGAACTCAATTGTAAACATAACATTGCTCTATTTATAAAAGCTTTGACCCTGAGGACAAAGCATGACGGCGACTAGGTCCTACAAATAGAATACTATGAACTTATAGGAGCTTGAGATGTTGATCCTTTAAATAGAAATTGAACAAGCCAATTATTGTTTGTAACTGCCGACAAACAATAAGTGTGACTCTACACTAGCTTTTCAAACGATTTCCATCAACATTCTTCCCAACAACAAAATTGCATGGCCTAGCCGTAGTGTACCAAACATTTCAACTTTCTGCATACAAAGGCATCAAGGTGAAGTTTGATAGTGGCTGTTCCTCACCTACTATCTCAGTCTGATCAAAGTGGCTTTCTCTTTGTCTGCACATTTTTGCACTCTCGATCACGTGCCTTCTTGGCTTCTCATGGATTAAGTACTTTCTCCTTTGTGCTTGATCAATGAAACCCGTTACTTTATGATGAAACTGATGCATTTGCTTCTTCCTGCACCCTCCTTTCCCCACTATAGATAAATGAATACAATTTCTACTTTACAGGGAACAAAAGTAAATCTGTTTTCTTTCATATCATTTTCTGCCAGCTTTCAACTTTTTGATTGGAACAAGAGTCACTTTTTTGCTGTTTTTTTTGGTACTGGCCTCTGCTGGTCGTAACAATGAAATGGCCACTTGATGCTGACTTTCACTTGACTTGTCATCTGTAAATGGTTTCACTTCAAACGCTCCCCTGCTGAAACCTCTAGCCACCTGATGTGATAAAATTCAATCGATTAGTTATTAGCACTGCAAATTGTACAACATTTAATAGAAATGAACTAATCATCCAGACAATTATTTCAGCTACAAGCAAATGAACATCTGCTGAGAGAGCACACACTTAATCTATACTAAGCATATAGACAATTATATATGAACTGTTTTTTGCTTAAATTATCAAGACTACTCAGGAAATAACTCATAGGAAATATAGAAGACAGGATGCTGTCACTGGAATTATACATTGCTGCTATTCCAATTCAACGTGAAAACATTCTAAACTATAAATCCAGAAATTATACTTGCTCATATATTCTACCTTCAGAAGGAGCCAAACTTTGAGGGAACTACTTAAGACTGCAAGTTTTGTCCTCTTCCCAGAAGTTAAATAGTTACACATGTGATGATCAATCCTCAGAATAAATCTTGGCCAGGACTTTGGGTTTTCAGGGTCTGCTTTATGTTGCGTTGTTGCCTGGTAAAGAGGAAAATAGCAGTAAGTTAATGTTGATGGTAGTTACACCAAAACAGGTGGACTGATCAGTATGACAGTAAAGCAAAACATAACTTGATATTAAAAAATTTCACATACAAGCAATCTGCAAATTTCTTGTTCAATTTTTGAGAATGAGGTCTCTAAAGCTTCAACTCTTCCAGTACCATGACAGCAAGTGCATGGTTCACTAATCATAAATGTCACACTTGGTCGAACCTGTCCAACATAGTGCCATAAGTTGATATGAAATGAAATAGAGTATAATTCTAACTAGTATTGTGCCACATACAATTTGCTATAAAGTTTTCAATACTTTAGTTTGTATATTAACATATCCCACTACAGATATTTCCATACTGCAAGTTATAGATGTGTATTTCGCCAAGGTTTAGTAACATATCTTTCAATTGGCATTTTGGGTCCCCCCAAGAAAATTTTACAGAAATGATAGCAAAGAGAATATGATCATCAGATAACATACCCTCTTCCTTGTTATTTCCATAATTCCATGCCTAGACAATTCAGAGACTTTCACCATTGACCGATCTCTCTCAACTGCTTTCTTAACTTCTTCGTAGACCAGTCTCTTATTTGCTGAAACATAGAGAGCCAAAAAGAATATTAGTAAGTTGGTAGTAAATGTTGAGCAGCAAGAATGATACTCCTCTTTTTAAGTGCTCATTTATATATTTTATACCACCAGGGAATCTCCCAAGTGTTGGTTCAACAACTGTACAGTATAGTTCCTTCAAACTGCTTCAAAAGCTCTCATGGTAAGGTTCATTGCCTCACTCCACTAGTCAGGTAGACCTATCCAAGGAAGGAACCTAAGACTGCAGTTATGTAAAGATGATAGAGCAACCCCAAACATGTCTTTGTGCCAAACATATATTACATAAAACATGTTTGTTTGTCTTGTTAATTGTGTGGGTGCTAAAGCTCAAGTCATCCTAACCTTATGTTTGTGTTAGAACCTCCATCCTACTCACCAGCAGAGCAACTAATAGTGTACCTCCTTTGTTTATAAAACACTACTGAGTTTTAACTGACATACAAGAATGAGGATTAAGCCAATTTTCAAGATAAGATAGACAAAAATAAGAGACAGCAGAAACTAGATTAAAATTTCTCTCTTGTACAATAACAAAGGGAAAAACAAGAAGTCCCCGTCTATGAATAATTCTAGGAAAGAAACTCACAGTCATCTGCCATATCAATAAAATCTACGACAATGATGCCACCAATATCCCTTAGCCGTAACTCCCTCGCAATCTGAAATGTACAATATGAAATTAACAATCTACAAGTTTTAATAGTGGAATAGACAGTAACCAGATAATTAACCCAAACTTTACAGATTTAAAAAAAGAGTTTGTTTGATAAATAAAATTTGTTAAAAAAGCTATTCTTCTTATTAACCTTTCCTTTAAGACCTTCTAACTGACTGCAATTAACTACTTAAAGCTCAATGCTAACTTGGTTGCTCATGTTTAGTGTCGGGATGATCAAAAGATAGAATTTACAGTGTTCAGTTATTGCATACTGCAATATGCAATCACAATGGAAAAGCATTACCAACCTGAATCTCATTATGTGAAATGTTAAAATTTGTATAAAACAAAGGAACAAAAACAGTATCTGGTAAATGTACTCTTAATATCTATGAAACAGTAACCAGATGGGCTGGAATAGCAGAAATGCCAACTTGGGAATTCATAATCTAGTATCTTTTCTGTGCAAGTTTGTTAAACAAATAAAATTCCAGTGAACATACTTGTTTTGCCGCCGCCAGGTTGACATCTAAAATAGCTTTCTCTTTTGATGTCTCATGACCAAACATCCCATGTCCCCCATTGACATCAATAGAGACTAATGCCTCAGTTTGCTCAATCACCAGAGAACCTCCATTAGGTAGTGGGACCCTAAAGCCAAGAAATGCAGTTGACATCAATAAAAATTATGATAAATATCCTTAAGAACTTGAACAGAAATAGTTTGAACAGAAATAGTCAAACTTTAAATCCATAAATCCCAAGTAGAAAAAAATAACTTCTGGAAATATTCTACAATTTCAGGGAAGCAATTGATTTTACTTGGTTATGACAAGTTCAACTCCCCTTCTAGTACTTACTAAATCCCACATTTCTCAAATCACTTCCACTTTTAAGGACTTTTGAGAAAGTTTAATCTAAGTAGCACCATTTAAGCTTTAAAAAAAAGGCCCACTGAATTCTAAGAGATGCATACTTACAGAACACAGAAACCAACAAAATTGATTGTCTATTTTCTAATCAGATTATCAGAATTAGTGTGGCTTTGCTGAAACCTAAAATGTTTTTGCGACTAGGTCCTACAAATAGAATACTATAAAGTTATAGGAGCTTGAGATGTTGATCCTTTAAATAGAAATTGAAGCAGCCAATTATTGTTTGTAACTGCCGACAAACAATAAGTGACTCTACACTAGCTTTTCAAACGATTTCCATCAACATTCTTCCCAACAACAAAATTGCATGGCCTAGCCCTAGTGTACCAACCATTTCAACTTTCTGCATACAAAGGCATCAAGGTGAAGTTTGATAGTGGCTGTGCCTCACCTACTATCTCAGTCTGATCAAAGTGGCTTTATCTTTGTCTGCACATTTTTGCACTCTCGATCACGTGCCTTCTTGGCTTCTCATGGATTAAGTACTTTCTCCTTTGTGCTTGATCAATGAAACCCGTTACTTTATGATGAAACTGATGCATTTGCTTCTTCCTGCACCCTCCTTTCCCCACTATAGATAAATGAATACAATTTCTACTTTACAGGGAACAAAAGTAAATCTGTTTTCTTTCATATCATTTTCTGCCAGCTTTCAACTTTTTGATTGGAACAAGAGTCACTTTTTTGCTGTTTTTTTTGGTACTGGCCTCTGCTGGTCGTAACAATGAAATGGCCACTTGATGCTGACTTTCACTTGACTTGTCATCTGTAAATGGTTTCACTTCAAACGCTCCCCTGCTGAAACCTCTAGCCACCTGATGTGATAAAATTCAATCGATTAGTTATTAGCACTGCAAATTGTACAACATTTAATAGAAATGAACTAATCATCAAGACAATTATTTCAGCTACAAGCAAATGAACATCTGCTGAGAGAGCACACACTTAATCTACACTAAGCATATAGACAAGTATATATGAACTGTTTTTTGCTTAAATTATCAAGACTACTCAGGAAATAACTCATAGGAAATATAGAAGACAGGATACTGCCAGTGGAATTATACATTGCTGCTATTCCAATTCAACGTGAAAACATTCTAAACTATAAATCCAGAAATTATACTTGCTCATATATTCTACCTTCAGAAGGAGCCAAACTTTGAGGGAACTACTTAAGACTGCAAGTTTTGTCCTCTTCCCAGAAGTTAAATAGTTACACATGTGATGATCAATCCTCAGAATAAATCTTGGCCAGGACTTTGGGTTTTCAGGGTCTGCTTTATGTTGCGTTGTTGCCTGGTAAAGAGGAAAATAGCAGTAAGTTAATGTTGATGGTAGTTACACCAAAACAGGTGGACTGATCAGTATGACAGTAAAGCAAAACATAACTTGATATTAAAAAATTTCACATACAAGCAATCTGCAAATTTCTTGTTCAATTTTTGAGAATGAGGTCTCTAAAGCTTCAACTCTTCCAGTACCATGACAGCAAGTGCATGGTTCACTAATCATAAATGTCACACTCGGTCGAACCTGTCCAACATAGTGCCATAAGTTGATATGAAATGAAATCGAGTATAATTCTAACTAGTATTGTGCCACATACAATTTGCTATAAAGTTTTCAATACTTTAGTTTGTATATTAACATATCCCAATACAGATATTTCCATACTGCAAGTTATAGATGTGTATTTCGCCAAGGTTTAGTAACATATCTTTCAATTGGCATTTTGGGTCCCCCCAAGAAAATTTTACAGAAATGATAGCAAAGAGAATATGATCATCAGATAACATACCCTCTTCCTTGTTATTTCCATAATTCCATGCCTAGACAATTCAGAGACTTTCACCATTGAACGATCTCTCTCAACTGCTTTCTTAACTTCTTCGTAGACCAGTCTCTTATTTGCTGAAACATAGAGAGCCAAAAAGAATATTAGTAAGTTGGTAGTAAATGTTGAGCAGCAAGAATGATACTCCTCTTTTTAAGTGCTCATTTATATATTTTATACCACCAGGGAATCTCCCAAGTGTTGGTTCAACAACTGTACAGTATAGTTCCTTCAAACTGCTTCAAAAGCTCTCATGGTAAGGTTCATTGCCTCACTCCACTAGTCAGGTAGACCTATCCAAGGAAGGAACCTAAGACTGCAGTTATGTAAAGATGATAGAGCAACCCCAAACATGTCTTTGTGCCAAACATATATTACATAAAACATGTTTGTTTGTCTTGTTAATTGTGTGGGTGCTAAAGCTCAAGTCATCCTAACCTTATGTTTGTGTTAGAACCTCCATCCAACTCACCAGCAGAGCAACTAATAGTGTACCTCCTTTGTTTATAAAACACTACTGAGTTTTAACTGACATACAAGAATGAGGATTAAGCCAATTTTCAAGATAAGATAGACAAAAGTCAGATACAGCAGAAACTAGATTAAAATTTCTCTCTTGTACAATAACAAAGGGAAAAAAAAGAAGTCCCCGCCTATGAATAATTCTAGGAAAGGAACTCACAGTCATCTGCCATATCAATAAAATCTACGACAATGATGCCACCAATATCCCTTAGCCGCAACTCCCTCGCAATCTGAAATGTACAATATGAAATTAACAATCTACAAGTTTTAATAGTGGAATAGACAGTAACCAGATAATTAACCCAAACTTTACAGATTTAAAAAAAGAGTTTGTTTGATAAATAAAATTTGTTAAAAAAGCTATTCTTCTTATTAACCTTTCCTTTAAGACCTTCTAACTGACTGCAATTAACTACTTAAAGCTCAATGCTAACTTGGTTGCTCATGTTTAGTGTCAGGATGATCAAAAGATAGAATTTACAGTGTTCAGTTATTGCATACTGCAATATGCAATCACAATGGAAAAGCATTACCAACCTGAATCTCATTATGTGAAATGTTAAAATTTGTATAAAACAAAGGAACAAAAACAGTATCAGGTAAATGTACTCTTAATATCTATGAAACAGTAACCAGATGGACTGGAATAGCAGAAATGCCAACTTGGGAATTCATAATCTAGTATCTTTTCTGTGCAAGTTTGTTAAACAAATAAAATTCCAGTGAACATACTTGTTTTGCCGCCGCCAGGTTGACATCTAAAATAGCTTTCTCTTTTGATGTCTCATGACCAAACATCCCATGTCCCCCATTGACATCAATAGAGACTAATGCCTCAGTTTGCTCAATCACCAGAGAACCTCCATTAGGTAGTGGGACCCTAAAGCCAAGAAATGCAGTTGACATCAATAAAAATTATGATAAATATCCTTAAGAACTTGAACAGAAATAGTTTGAACAGAAATAGTCAAACTTTAAATCCATAAATCCCAAGTAGAAAAAAAATGACTTCTGGAAATATTCTACAATTTCAGGGAAGCAATTGATTTTACTTGGTTATGACAAGTTCAACTCCCCTTCTAGTACTTACTAAATCCCACATTTCTCAAATCACTTCCACTTTTAAGGACTTGTGAGAAAGTTTAATCTAAGTAGCACCATTTAAGCTTTAAAAAAAAGGCCCACTGAATTCTAAGAGATGCATACTTACAGAAGACTGAAACCAACAAAATTGATTGTCTATTTTCTAATCAGATTATCAGAATTAGTGTGGCTTTGCTGAAACCTAAAATGTTTTATTTAACAGCTTTTTATCTCTTAAACTGATGTTCAGTTGCCTCAAATTGATGACCTCTGCTTGCTCTGTTGTTTATGATAATTTTGAAAAAACTTAAGTCAATAGGGTACAAGGGGTACAAGAGATCCAGAGTACTGTTTATAAAACAAGCAGTTTATTAACAGTTCTCTTCTGCATAATGAGACAACTGAAAAATAAACAATACCCACTGCTCACCTTTTGCTAAGCATATTATCAATCTCTTCTTCAATGTTAAATTTATCAAAGAGGGGAATTCTCTTATCATATAACTCAACCCGATCACAAAGATCAGGAGCGATATCCTGAAGGTAATTGGTAACCTGGAAAAAAAAAACATAGAAAAATAAATTTACATTTGTTGATATTCATGGGAAGAAGAATATGAGGTTCCCAACTTTATGTTTTTAACCTTTGGAAAGTTAGAGACATTCTTATAATTTATAGCATTCAAATGATATTTCAGATACCAAGTAAACTGATTAAGGTTTTTTTTACTTCTTAGTCAAATCCAACTACTTAATAACTTTTCCAACCAAAGTATAGAAGAGCTACCAGAAGAAAAAAAAAATAACAAGTAGACGTGTCTGAGTCTATTACCATAACTTCTCAGCTACTAATCTAACAAACAAGCATAATTACCATTAGCAACTTCGCACCAATATGCCTACATTTAAGGTTTTATCATATTAATATGCTTATAATCGTTTGAATTCAGCCTCTTCAGAAATGGACAAACAAATTCACACACTACCATTGCCTTTTTGTTCAAAGGCATAATCTGCTGACAGTTAACTGTTGCAATACCTCATGATATGTTCTCGGAGAATCAACCACCATCTCCTTAACCTGAAGTAAATTATATAAAATAAACAAAATTAGTAGGTAATTTTTTAGTGTTAGATCATCATGTGAATTTTTTGTGGAAATTAATAGAAGACGAGAAAAAAGGCACAGAAAATGGGAGATAGAGTTAGAATAAATGTCTTTAATGAACCTTTTCATTAAAATAATCTTGGACAACAGAGAGGGTTTGACCCATTGCCCTATGCAGTATAACAGGAATGGCCCCTTCCACGCCTTCATCTGCTGCAAGAGCAGCTGATTTTGCATGCTCCATTATACTTTTCCACGTTGAAAGCAATCCTTCCAAGTCCTTCTGCAATTCCTCTAAAGAATGGCCAGCAGCAACAGTTCTTACAGTCACACCAAAACCCTGAGGCTGCAGAGTTTTTGCAATGACTTTCAAGCGCGTTCGCTCGACACCAGTTATTTTTTTTGAGACACCAATTCTATCACAATGAGTAATTAGTATCTGCAAGCAGGGAAAATTATTTAAGAAAATAAGATAAGGATTAACCAGCAACTGAGAGGGAGATTTTAATTATTACAGAATGCAAGATTGAACATACCCAGAATCTACTTCTTAATCTTGGATAAGCAGTCAAAGTTGGGCCTTTTGTACCCAAACCCTCTTTGACAACTTGTACAATTACTTTGGTTCCTTTTTGAACTTGCCCCCACTTATTTTGCTTAGTTGATACTTGCTTAGAATCTTTCATATCCAGGGTATGAGACACTTCAGTGTCATTAGAACCTTTTGATTTCATAGGGTAGGGACCATTCATAGCTTCACCATCAAGATGGTGATCTCCATCTAAAAAGTCCTCAAAATCAGCTTCTGCTTCACCAAAATCATGTATACTACCATTCACATTCTTAAGAACCTCTGAAACATCAAAGTCATCATCAATTTCAGGTTCCTCATCTTCGTTGTGCAAAAATTGTACTGAATCATCCTGAGAGTTGGCTTCTGCAACATCATCAATGACTTTAATATTGAGAGATGTGTGGCTGTCCCCACTGGTTGCTGGATGTTCTTCAAGAGTTCCAGACACAGAACCATTAACTTGTCCTTTCTTAGTCCTATGACGAAATGGAGGGAAGATGAATGGTTCTCTGTTCTGCTTAATGTCCATGAGAGAAGGTCTAGAGTTTCCAATATTTACAAAGGCACCACCCATATGGGGAACAAGTTTTGTGACTACCCCTAGATATACACTATCACACTGCACATTGCTTTTAACAGGTTCCAGTAACAATTCAACCAACTTCCCATCTTCCAATACAGCAATCCTTTGCATGGTACATATTGAAGAATTAATCAGTATAACAGTCGAAATTGGATCCTCCTTTGATTTTAAATTCCCTTCTTGAGACAACAAATTGTCAGTAATTAGATAATTCTGATTATTAGTATCTGATACTGTCACCTCATCTTTCGCACTCTCATCTCTGTTCGACATGTCAGGCTTTATCTTATTTTTATATGCAAGGAAGACCAGAGATGATTCGAGTAACCAAGGTTCCTCAACAGGCTGGTCTCTTTCAAAAAAAGCTGTATCAGAATTTGAATCATCATTTGCAGCAGTAACCGTAACCTCATCATCAGCATACAATTGATCCTCAAGTGTGATATCATTCATGAACAACTTTGACCCATTTGAATCACTTTCAAGATGTTTTACAATCTCATCATCTGTCAAACCACTGGAAGCATTTAAGTGTTCAGAAACATTTTAAGCAGGGAAGTTTTATGTAGAAGATTGCCAAGATAGAGATATTACCTCTTGCTGGAGCTGAGATTGAAGGATTTACAGGAAGATAAGTCTCCTCTATCCAAGAACCCCACGCATAAATTGGAGACTTTTTGGTGTTAAACCTAATCCATGAATCTCTAACTACAATTTTTCTATTTTGTTTGACAGGCACTAATAAAGAAAATTCAGGTCCACCTCTCCAAATGATGTCATGTGAATCATGCGCTTCTCCTCTTAAGAAATAATTGTACTTGAAACTAACACCACAAGCTATCTGGCAAAAGTAGAATGGTGATCAGGCAACTTCATAATGAATTATGAATGACATTTTTGACATTTGTTAAAGGATCTCATTTATTTCCATGTGAGAGGGTAAGACTCAGCATACAGTTACTTATTTTATTAGAGATAAATTCTTGTCCTGAAATTCCTTTGAAAGAAAGAGAGCCAGAAACACCAGCATTGGTTCAGATAGTTCAGAAGACATTATATTGACTCAGTAATGTGTAAACATTTAGTTTCTCCAAAGATCTATCAAGGTTAACTAGACCACCTTACAGACAGTAATTTCGGATCCAATGAGAAATGTGCCATGAATTACAGCAGAAGAACTACAGATATCAAATAATTATACAGTTGATATCACTTTATGTTTGAAAGTTTGTTAACACACAACTTTCTTCATGATTCAGAGCTGGGTAAATTACCTTGACTTCAGCCTTCCATAAATGTTCATGCTCAGTGGGATACATCAAGACAGCCATATCTGGTTCCCAGCAGCCTAAGACACTGGGATCCCCAGTAATGTACAGACGCTGACCGGCAGCCAAATCAGCCTCTATAGTCCAGACTACCTCACATGATCCTTTCAAAGTGAAAGTACTAGTTGACTGGCCTGAGCAGCCATTTGAAAACGAAAAAAAAAAAAAAAAAAAACAAATTAGAAAAGTATATCCTGAAAGGAATAGTATGTCAAGCACTACTGTCTTACAGAAAAGTAAGAGTATCCCTTTAATTTAACAATATAATTGAATTTTTCTTTTTCTTTTTTATAAGATTAAATTAACGATATTAAATTAACGATATACTAATTCTCCCAGCGAAGATGAAGTATTGACATACCTTGCTTTGTGGACTTAAGTGGGGCTCTTACGAGAGAATCATGTTTCTTGACACAAAATGTGAATCTCGACATATTCTTTAGAGTTATGTGATGGCATAAAATCCTGCTTCAATTGTAGAACATATTAGTGCTTTGTTGAGACAAAGAAGTAGTCAAGATGGTAAGACTACATTAATGAATATATCAACCCAAGTTATTGCCATTTGACAAATTTCCATCATATGCAGAGTGTTGTTCTCAGTCTTTCTACTTGAATCAAGAACTTTGAAATAATTCTCCAGCCAAAAGAGAATAAGATTCCAGAACTACTACCAGTAAATCATCACAATCATCATGTCTTTATGAATTTATTGGCACTTCTGCATTCTACAAGGAGAAATTTCCTGATTTTTAAATATAAATTATTATTTCCATTTGTCCAGTGATTTATGCTCAAAACTATTGGAAATATACATTACATCAATTAAAGGAAATGATTTAGTCTTTGAAATCTAAATATATTGAATGGGGTACTTTCATTCCATGTTGCATATATTAGCCCAATTCACTTTACACATACAATCAATTTAGGTGTCATAGCCTTGCAAAATGGTCAAGTTTCAAGCTGACAAATGCAAGAGCACAAATTCTATCTTAAGAGCAGCTTCTCGATGCAAAAATTGCTTAACTACGAAAACTATATGCACAACACCCCTCCCAGTATCCAACTTCAGCAGAACCACCACCACTTAATGTCTTTATCGCATCTGACTAAATTAAGTGATCACAAAACAAAAAAGATGGAGTAAAAAAAAAAAAAAAATGCTAAGTGAGCAATTCTATTCAAACATACTAGATATCATACACAGATTTAAAGACAAGTTAACACAATAATGCATTGATTTATGAACCCTTCTTTTCGTACCCACGAGATTATAATTCCTTATACAATGGAACAGGCAAACCATACTTATAAATTATAATCACCATCCTTCCAATTAACACCTAAAGCTACTCAAAATTCTAACTTTCAAACATAAAACTGAATAAAAAGAAGAAATAAAGAAACTTTAAAAGTAGTAAACTTACGGAGAAAGGAAGTTGTTACAAGAGGCGAGAAGGGAAGTAGGGTTGCGGGCAGAGAGGAGATGGTGGGGTTTAGGGCGAAGGTCGGGGACATCCATGAGGGTGGGATGGAGTTCAGTGGTGTAGGGAGAGTGAAGAAGTAGCAAAGCCATCAAGGGTAATTCCTTCTTGGTTGGTAAATTTGAGGCGGGAGAGTCATTTGATGGGTTGAGCTTGAGCTCGAGACTGAGTGGGAAGGTTTGGATAGAAGATAGGTGGGTTTGTGAGAAAGAAGATAAATTTTGTTTTGCTCGCCCTTGGCGCCTAGTGTGGCGCTTCATAGCAAGGGGCCGGGTACCGGGTCTCAACCCGCCAGATAAATACTGGGTTTCCATCTTCAAATCTCTTTCATCCGAATCTCCATTTTACAACCTAGTGGTGTCTACCTTTTTCTTTATTCTATTATTCTACTTGATAATTTTTCATGCAACATCAAATTCAAGAATTCTCTTGATGAGTCCAAATTTTTTCATAAAAATCCCATTATCTCAATATTTTTTTTTTTTATGATATATACTTTGTGATATCGATATAGATGATAAGATGATTTGATAGTTGATATAATTATGTTGAAAATATATTATTTAAAGATGAAAATTGTGTGATATAAATAGATATTAACTCTAGTGGAGATGTATATTATTGTCTTGTTGATTTGTGAAGCTGCAATTGTGCAAGCAATTTGGCATCCGTAGGTTCCCAATTCCATAGCACATTTCTGGCCTTAAGAGAAATTGTTAATGGGTATGGGGACTACTAATAAATCAAGTGATACAAGTTATATTACAATCAGTTTGTGTACAAAACCTGCAAGCTCCAGATAACCTAATAAACTTGAATACCTTGTTCGTTTGGGCATCTAATGGCGTAGCCCTCTTTGTTTATGGACCACATGGGCTTTTTAATTATACGAACATCATGAAACAGTTTTCTCCTCTGAGAACCAGGAACTGCACTGAACAAGGACCACGTAATTTATGCAGTTTCCGTGTTAATAATCAAATTTCCATTTCTCCAGTCTTATCCATCATACAGCTATGATCCAAGTAATGCATTTCCTTTTCACACTTTTGAAACAATTGCTTTTGTGATAACATGTCCAACCAAATCTCAGGTTGTTAAGCGAGTTCTTAATCATTGTCATATTGAAACATCAGTAAATCTCAATGTAATTACATTCCTAAATTCATCTTTTTATCATCCCACCAGGACTTGGTTGTAGTTAGCAGTCACTTTTATTAATCACAAAACATTCTGTAAAAAGGAACCAAAAACCTCAATACGAACTTTAAGATCACAGTAAAGATATATGCCATAAAACCTCACAATATATACAATAAAATTTGGTTTCCCAACGACCCATCAAAATATCAAGCTTCAATTCGCACATAAAACATCCATCACACTACACCCAAGCCGTTACATGTGCAAAGGTAACTGTACACTACACGCTGTACATGAAGTTTCCTCAGACTCAAACTCAACCAACTACTCAAAACACTTTACCAGAAGCAAGAGGGGTCCTCTTCAAGCTCAGGAATCAATGGTGTCCTGCAAAGAGGGCATGTTACATTCCAATAGTCCAGCCACTTCTCCAAGCAAACTTTATGAAACAGATGACCACAAGACAGCCTGTTTATCTCCGATTCAGGCTCAAACTGTGTCAAACATACAGAACACTCATGTTCAGGATGTTTACAAAGGCACAATGTGTCAAACTTGATTGCAGGGTTCTGGCTCCGAAACTCTTCAAGGTAACTAACTGGAGGACTTAAACATACATCATATGATTCGCTGGTGGGTTGAGGTGAATCCGACGATGTGGATGAAGGTGATGATTCGGAAAGATGGATACCAACAACTTGGAGGATTGATCGGACTATGCCTTTAACGATAGAGATTGATAAAGCAGTGTTTACTAAAATTACACACAACACTCCTTCTGATGGAGCTGGAAGACTTGAGAGGCCCATTTTCTGAGATAAAATTTATGTCTTTGAGGAACTCAGCTTGAGATATTGAATCAATTTGCGGGCAAAATGTTGTCTTTCCTTCCTGGATATCTGAAAAGTAATGAATGGGTCATTAGAATATCATTCAAAGGCCACAAGTCAATGAGAATAAACTAAATGGAGATGCAGAGAACCCAAATTAGACAAACATCATCTCAAAATTTTTAAAATTACATTACAAGAGAAGTGAAAATCTTGAACAAGACTAATGGGGACAACAAAATCCCAGAAACAAGCCAGAGAGGTAAACAGATCAAAGCCGCAATAAACCCACAACAGAATCAACGGAACATGAATATTAGTATAACACACGGAGGATGATATCATATTACAACCACAATTACTGTAAACAGTAAAATTACAAGGAAAATATTGATGATGATATGAATCAGATGACTATTTATCAACCGCCAAACTGCCGGCATATAATAAGCTATTTTCAAGGATTAGGGGAAAACCTATAACATAGGCTTAAAACGATCAAAAGTTTATAACCCATTTTTGACAATTATTGAAAATGGAAATATGAATACAATTAACCAAGTTAGATAAATCATCTTAAAATGAATCAAAAAGATCCAAAGCCCATGAATCACAAAGTTCAAGGATTAAAGAACAGCGAAGGTAGAATCCTTGCAAAAACTAATGTCAACATGAACATCCCTTTAAACCAATAACAAAAGCATGATCAAGATCTAACTGAACTAAGACTCAGAAATTGATATCACAGTTGGGCAAACAACGAAAATGCTCAATACTGTGATAATACAGGAGATCATCCTCACAGAAAAAGAGATTGAAACAAAACCAAATAAAAAAAGAAAACATAAAACGCTCATAACTTTATAACACCAAGTGTGACAAAAGACCTAACATTTTTTCATGTAACTCCCAAAAAAGCACAGCTTTCATTAAATCAGTTGATGAAAAAAATGAACATTTCAAAGAATACCCACAAAGGAAAAAACACAAGGGAAATAATTAAAGAGACTTACACAAAGTAAAGTTGAGGTTGAAATATCAAGAAGAAGAACTTAACAAGATATTCATAAAATCAAGAGTAATTGTGTATAGCTTGCAAGTATACAATCACAATAACATAAATGTAAATTTGTTTAGGTTGATAACAGCAAGCAACTCTCCTCTTCCTTGCTCTCCTCGTCCTCTTTATATACAAACCAAAACAAGTGGTCCCACCGCAAACTCCTCTTACTAGTTACTACTGTCATCAAGTTACTTAACTTAACCATGATTAGTCTTCCGTGTTTTGCGGACTCTGTTGTCTGCTCTTCACTAACCATGGTTACTTTATATCATTACCTTTCTTTCTTTCTTGTAATCTTGTTCTATTTTGCCTCTTTTTAGGTTTTATGTTTTCTTTTCCTTTCTTCAAGTTTCCTTAATTTTTCAGTTACTTTTATTTTTATTATTATCTGTTTTGACTTTGTCAAACACAGTCTTAACAAAATTCTACCATTTCACTTCAAGTCTTTTCAATCGATTCACTTGTATAGTTAAAAGATAATTTTAAATGCACTAAATTAAAAGATATTGCATAACCCAGTAATAATTATAAGCGAGGGTTTTAACCTTGGAGGGTCATTTATTTTTACACAAGTTTCTACCCTCACAGAGGCTTCAACAGTTAGTGTAAGACTGTCAGCAGCAAGTTTGTCTTCTTCACAACAACATTAAATGAGAAAGTTGGTCTCACCGAACTTCAAGGTAAGATATGAATCAATGCAGGAAAAATGACAAGAAGATTTGGCCTTATTTGACATAGTGAAATTGAATGATGGTATTCACATATCTCATATCTTACTTGTACAATGACAAGTGGCATTTATTCTCTGATTAGCTGTCGCCTACCTAGACATGTCATGTTTCTCACATTCAAAGCCAGTTGCCAATGTGTCCCTCTTCTATACCACGCATGCGTGAACCTTTATGCACGTGTGTCAGCTAAATTGACATGCTTGTTTGGGTGAACAGATATTCACTCCTTTGATTGTATTTTTGTTGGGTACGTGTCAACTTTCCAATGGGATAGACCAAGATTGGGACAGTTCCTGGGCCTGTAGGTCACCCCTAATCAGCAGCGTTGTAATCCAGGTGGCAAGTGTCCCTGAAATGTGACAATGTAATGAGCCCATGTAACGAAGATTAAAGCATGTCATGTCCCATCAACATTGGATGAAATGAAATGAATCCTAACATCCATTATTAGATTCTTTTTCTCTCAAGAGTCAAGGTAATGTATCTGTTTTTTTCATGTCCCCATCGTTATATGTCTTATATACATAGAGTTTTAGCTAGGGTAGCCTCATCTTTACAGGAATGAAGGAAAAAAAAAATACATTTGGTTGGTATGGACTATGGAGTTGTTATATAATGTAGGCAACTCTAGAAAGAGCAACCCGTTTGGTTAGTCGATACATCAAATCAAAGGGTTTTTTTGTCTGTATGCAATTCTATATCTGATTGTTTAAATGTGAATGAAATTTTTATAGTGAGTAGACTCAGTAAGAGAGAGAAAGCAATAGAGGTTGGAATTCTCAAATATAGAAGAAAGAGATACTTCACAGAACAGTAATACAAATTACATATTTTGTCAAGTAAGAGAGTTTTTTCTGATAACTACAAAAAAAATTGCTAGCTTGCTTCCATATATAACAAGTGGGGGTGATATTGACTGTTAAATGAGGTAATAAAACTTGTCTCTTAGTTGCCTAACAAACCTAAAGCCAACTGGAGCTACCAAACACTAATTTAAATTATCTTATCTCATCAACTGATGCTTCTTGACTTGCCTCTTGTTTCTTCAAAAATGACTTTTATGTATATACACGGCAGGTCGAAACTCCAAGATTATTACTTGCTATATTGAGTTTTCAAACTCCGGTTTATATAATATTAATGTGAATGTGATGAGAATTTCCAAACTTAACCAAGATTTTTTTTCTTTTTTTTTTGAAATCCGATCTGCCTTACTAATTTAGAAGAGATCTACTTCTCAATGTTGATTGATAGCGAAAGCATAACTACAACTAATTTTAGGTTTGTGAATATAATATTATGAGTTGAGTTCCACTTCATTCAAGATCTTTATCAAAAACTTTAATTATCAGAAGCCTCTAGGTCTAGGACATAATCAAACTAACCACGTTCTGTACTCTAAACGAGTACACGTGTTATGATATTTAGTTGTGAGATAGATGCTTAATTATGGATGTATGAAAACATTATTTTATTATAAAAGGATGAATGAATTCACCGACAAAAGGTTTATAAAGCAGAGACGTAGTTGCGTGGGTTTGTATTTTGTAAATGAGAAAATGGGGAAAAAAAACAAAAATAGGGATCCAGAATGCAGCAGCAGGATTGAAATGTGTGTGTCAACAACGTCGAGAACAAAAGTTTTGGGATAAGTAGCTCTGAAAAGAGAAGAAAGAGAGTTACTGTTAGTTAAAAAGAAAAAAAAAAAAAATAGAAAACATGAAGAGGCAAGGCAAGTGCATTGAATGCGAAGCAAAATAAGAGACAGATAAATGAGGTGATGAAGTTCACGTGCCCACCCATCTGTTGCCATACACGTGTCTGATTTTGTGGGTTAATTTTATGCTGTGCCTGTCTGAGAGTGTCACCATGACCATGCTCATCAACCACACCCACTGAATGTGACATCTTCACAAACCAACAATTATATTATTTCTGTATAATTATAACAATGTCTTGTCTTCACTTCACTTGTTAAAGCAAATACATGCATTATTTTCTTAAATGATTTCTTTATATAGAGTTTATAAACCCAATTTTTAAATCACATAATAAACTCATCATGATTTTACAACCAAACGTAATGAATTCTATAACAAAAATGTATTAGAGAGGTCTTGAGTCCCTCCACCTAACCAATTACCTTTTAAGTGTGAAAGCTCGGGATTGAGTGGGAGAGAATGTAACTAATCCCACACGAAGCATCCCTAGATTTTAAAGAGATTTTGAAATTAAAATTTATTATTTTAAGCACTATATTTTCGATGTTATTGAAACTTATACCTCATTGAAGCATACGATGTCGTTCTGGTTGATATAATCTTATTAAAACCAGGATGTGCGAATTTTCTGGGCCCGGCTATAGTGTGGCCCAATTTTTTTTATAATTTCACTTTGGAGGCTGTAGCCCAGCACCGAGCCCTAATCTCATTGTCATCTATTTTGTTTTTCTTCTACTACCGTTCTCAAGCCCCCCTCTCTTCTTCTTTCTTCTGTCTCTCTAACCGCCGGTATGTCTCCTCAGCTTCTCTCAATTTCGTTTCTCTGCCTTTGTTATTGTTGGTTAGCTGATTTAGTACTTGCTTGTTCAAATGTTTACACTACTTTAACGTGTTTGATAAAAGGTTTGTGAGAGTAGTAGCTGCTAGGTTTATGTTCATATTCATGTTCTGTCATGTTGTTTTATTAATGAGTATCTTCTATTTTCATAAGCTACATAGTTTTAATTGTTACTTATTATTAATAGGTACTTGTACTTTTGGTTTAAGGAATGGGCTGTTTCGTAGCTGTGTTGACTCTTTTAGCGTGTTTCTTAACTTTGTAACTAGTTCTATATGAAAATTTGATTAACAACTATTATCAAACGGGGTCATTTTTTCTTTTATGGGTGTGTACTTATTTTATTGAAAAGAAATTGATTGTCTTTTTAGATTTTGTTGATAGGTTTGGTTGAAAATTTTTACCAGCAGCATTTTCAGTAGTATTTATCCCAGTTAGAGTTTATTGTTATTAGTTGGCTTGAATTTTGGAAGCAGGATGTATTTTAAAATCTGTTTGAACTATGATATAAAAAGAATCAAGAAGAGAAATTGATTATTTACTTAACAAAGTATGTTATTGTCACAGTATTCTGAATGATATTTTCATTATTACTCTTTTGGGGTTAATGCAATTTGATTACTTGTGTTCGATTATGGTAGGTTAAGAAATAGAAGCAGACCATGGCCGAGGAAGTACATATGCCAGTAGTAGAAAGAGGTCCAAGAAAGAGGAAATTAGGTAAAAAGGGAAGTAAGGCAAAGAAGAAATTAAAGGTGATGCCAGGCAGTGGAAAGAAGGTTAAAATAAATCAGAAGATGAGAAAACTGTTTCGCAAGAGGGTAAGAGAGTACAATTCAGATGATGATGGAGAGGAGCCAGCCGCCTCTGAGATCAGAGGCGATATGTCACTTTCTTCTCACAATCATGAGGCAGAAGGTGGGGATTCTTCTGAAGATGGAATGGATATAAACTCCGAAAATGAAGAATTTTCTGATGATGAAGAAAGTGCTGAAATTCAGCCTGGAATTGCAAGTTTTACAGAAGGTTCTAGAGCGTTCAAGATGGCATTTAAGAGCATCATAAAAAATAGTGTAGCTGAAGATTCACTTGTAAGCTACTTTCTTGATTGACTTGTGATTTTAATTTTTTTTTAAGTAAATACATGGGAGTTGTATGAATTTTGTTGGCTTTGCAGGGTCCTGTGTTATCAGCACACAAGAAGCTTGTTGCTGAGAAGCTTGCTGAAGAGGAAGTTGAGCGCAAGGTCAAGGGAGAGACTAAGAAAGAAAACCACTTGGTAAGACAAAACTTAGTTTCAAAAATACTCTTTTCTGATTTTTTGAAATGGCAGTATGTGTGTGTTTAATTTCTCTTTTTATTGCAATTAGATTGATATTATATATTAGCTTTTCTACCATGATAGGCAGGAGAGAAGGGGCATGTGAAGCCTGCTAATTACTTGGACTCACATGAAAAGTTTCTCATTGGTGTTGCTACGAAAGGAGGTACAAACTGTTGTTTTTTTTTTTTTTTGGTCTAGTAGTCATGACAAATGCACCTTTTCTGCTCCACGTTTATTGCATTTCTATACTAACTTAGTATTTACATGTGTGTTGCTGGAGTTTCAGTTGTCAAGTTATTCAATGCTGTAAGTTTCTTTGTGAAGATTCACATATTTTCTTTTTGATAGTTATCTTCATTTACTTTTTGGGTTAGGTTTGGCCTTTCATGCTGTATTGAGTCTTGAACTCTGCTATTGGTAATTATGCAGGTAAACAAGGCGCAAAATGCTCAAAAAGGGTTGAACTTCGAGGTCTAAAGATGCAAAGGTATGCTGAATGACATGCTCTACAATTTGTACCACTCTCTTTTATTGTGCCATTTTTCTAGTTAAGTTTCAGAATGGATTTGAATTATCATACCAGAATCGATTTACAACTTAATAGTAAATTATACGGGTCTCATGTTATGATAGTTTTGTTCATTTCAATAGACTAGGTTGGTGCTTGGGATAAGTATGATCCAGGCTCATGCGCACTAGAGAATGATACATGCTACTTCTCATGTACCTCATATTACTTCTAGTCTTGCAGAAACCATGTTTTGCTGTTGTTAATGGTTAGCTTGACTTCACAATATCATTAAACATCAGCTAATTTGTTTTTCCCATGATTGACCCTATAGTTTTGCTAAGTATTTGAATTGCACTTCTTGTGTTGGTGTTATTTTTTTTTTTTTCATCATCTTCATCCAATTCTAAATGTGTGTTGTCTAAATCCTGCCAGTGATAAATAAGCGAAGGAAAGAAGCATTCCTTTCAGAGTTGGGCAAGACATCAGCAACTGATGCTGCCTCTAAGGTTTGCAAGTTCTCCATTTTTCTTTTACATCGTGTCTAGTTCTTATGGTTGTAACTGCAAGGAAATAACAAGTTAGAACCCTTGAGAAAAGAATAGCTGTTAGACTTGGTTTTTGAATTTTGATAACGGATAAAAAAGATATTCAAGCATGGATATAGTTGGTTAATGGAAAATTTGACTTCGTTCCACAACTCCACTTAATAGTTTCATTGTTTTATGATATGCAGGGTCATGTCTCATCAAGCAATGCAGAAGGAGAAGGGCCTGCTTGGGCTCCATTACGTGATAATTACATGCTAACCAGTTCCAAATTGAAGGATTGGGATAAGATGCCTGTAAGAACTTTTGTGCTTGCTAAATTTCTAGACATGATACTGTATAATCAAGCTCCTGTCCGTTTTCTTCCTTGAATATTGATGTCTTGCAATGTCCTTGCAGGATACTGCTGCAGAAGATGATGTTGGAAGAATGTCGGAAGAGGATGATAGTTCTGATGCTGATTGATTGTATGATAAATTTTGTTTTTTGGGTGCTAAATTTTGTTTGGAATGTGTAGAATCAAGTTTTGTCACTATGACATTTAATCGGAAATGTAAGCAACAATTTATCCCTGAGGTGAAAAAAGAAAAAAGGGGCCTCCTCCATCAACAATAAGCTTTTAAATATGCGTCCGTTGGTTTAGCTTAATTGGTTGAATAGGTTCAAATGAAGAAATCGGGTTTTTGGGAGTCGGGTGGCACGGAGCCATGAATTCTTGCAGGAGATTAGAGAATGTACGACCCTTTTTTAATCATATTGTTAATTTGTTATAAGGATGGTTATTAGTATCTTAAGATAGGTGGTACGTATCCTACGATATGATTCGATACTGGTTGTCAACAATACATATCAGAGAGTGTATTATAAATCTTTCGATATATTGATATGTATTTACGATACGATATGTATTCATTCGTTTTCCTTAAAAATATTGATACGGTTTTATTAATTTGGGTCAAAGGCCCAAAAAAAATTTGGGTTGGATTTGGGTCACCCAACCCAGTTTATTAAAACTTGTTCAAGTATATCTATGTTGTATGAAGAAAGTGAAAAGGAACATATGTTACCTATTTTGTATGATAATAATAATACAAGTGGAGACATAGATATTGACATTGATCTTTGAAATAATATTAATGGTTGAGAAGAAATGATATATATTCTTAATTTTGTGATTAATTTTGATTACGTAATACGATAATTTAAAGCTGATAATGTCACAAAATTCTTTAATTAATCTTTGGAATGATATTAATTTTTAGAAATTTTTTATTATTTTATTTATTTTAAAAAAAAATGTGTATCCTATAATATACAATTCGAAAAATTAAATTTTTATTACACGATAAATCATGATTGTAAGTTTAATGCCAGCGGACCCTGGTCTGATCTACTAGATGAGTGAAATGTGTTTTCATGTGAAATATATGAAGAGCCGCCATGTTATCGAATTGGAATTACAAATTAAATGTAGATATGAAGAAAATGGTAATGGGATGATGAAAGCCAGTTATAATAGTATAATGAGCTGTGAAATTTTGCATCAACCTTTTCATTCCATCTCTAGAACAAGAAATGAGTGAAGCATCAATTTTAAATGATCAACTCACCTCCACTTTATAATTTTGGATCTTTGCTTTCCCTTGTGTTTAGGAGGAGGGTCATGATATTCTGGATTGAAACCTACAAAACCAGATGCGTCAAATTTTCGTTCTAAAAAAGATCATTCCTCCTTTCAAAGTCTCACTTACCATCAGAATGAATCTTGATCAAAACAAGATAAATTTATAACAAAAATCGCTAGAATAATACGGATATTCGATTAACAACAAAAGATAAAGTAATAATAGCTACAAATCGTAGCATTTTATTACAGTAAGTAATCCTTTAGTGATGGCAAGTAAAAACAAAAATAACAAAGGCTACATCCTCATCCTCTTAAATATGCATATACAATTATATCATGAGCTATACACGTCCATGAAAAACCAAACAGAATAGTTCTTTGCCCAGCTTCATCCCTGCTCTCCGACCAGGCATTAATACTCTCTCTCAACTGCATATATAGATTCTATTGCTATACATGTTAAATGAAAAACAAGAGTTAAAACTACAGCTATCAAGCTTTTTGCCCCAGACTTGGCAACTGTGAGATCGGCTGCCCACCATGGTAGTTCCTTTATAGACGCGCCAGAGTGCAAACAAGTAGAAGAAAGATTAACAGTAGAGATAGTGAACAAGGAAGCATAGATATGACTGAAGCAGCAACAAACATCCTCCTCCTAGTAAAGAATTGGGCAGATGAACTTGCCCAAAGACATAGTGGAAATGATTATATCGCATAGCCTCAAGCACTCTGGTCAGAATCTGTATTGATCCATCCATCTTTTATGGTAAGGGGAATCAGCCATCTGCACTTGAATTTTATTGTTGACGCATTGGAAAGCGGATATTTTTACATCCACCCCTTTCTCCTCATAAGAACCTAGGCCCTGAGATACAACCATGCAGTTTTGTCATTTCACAGTAAAAACATGCATCAAGTCATCCATTACTTAGGCAATAATAACTGACGCTTTTCAACTAAACATTCCTTGTTTCTTTCCTTTTTAAAGAATGGTTAAAAATTGTACTCAGCAGCTTCTGGTATGGTTGAGAGGATCATAATCATAAGCATCACCAGCTTTGACGAAGCGCCCCTTCACACGTTTTCTGACATCAGCCCTTGCTTTGCGAGAGGCATACCTAACTCTTTTGTCAAACCTATCACAAATACAAGACAACTGTCAAGCAATTAAATTCCTCATGTGTTATGTGCAAAATTCAACCTTATCATCCAGATGGAAGTGAAACATAAATAAATATTTACACATCGTTGCAGTAAGTATTTCATGTATAAACAACCACTGGTAAACACACGAGGTCATAATAATTTTCTTCTCACCCATCAGACAGAGCAGAGCATGGTCACAAAAAGAAATTACTTCATGCCATAAACAAAACTTCCACTAAAATTCAACCATGTCATCCACATTAAGAAATAATATCAAATAACATATCCCTATGAATGAACAGGAAATCAGCCATAAACACATTCATCTATATTATTGATTATGCATTCATCGCTTTATACATTGAAATTTACAACCATAGTTGACTGACTAAAAATTCATTCTCAGAAAATTGTAATACTATTGGAAAAAAAAAGAATTGAGGGCACAATATCGTTAAGCCAGTAAAGGGAAATGCTATAGTATACAACTAAGAAGGAAATGCAGAAAGAAAAAGCTGCAAAAATCTGCATCCAAAAGCCTGCAACACAATAATTCTATAAATAAATAAAGCAGCTAAAACCACAATTGTTTTCAGAGTTATTATGTTTAACACTGAGCTCACCACAGTAGTTATGTCTATATACTTACTTGCGTGTCTTCTTCTTTTCCTTGTAACGCATGACTGCTTCACTACGGCTTGCTGATGTAAAGGAAGTCTCAGGACAGGGAGGACACCATGGAGGCTCCCCCATGAGAAGCATTGAAGAAGAATCACAATCTTGATAATCACCAGCATTACTCTCACCAGTAAGGCCAGAAAAAGAGAGGCTTGAGGGTGCTTGCTTTCCCGTGAAACAAATTATAGGTTCAGTTTTTGTACTAACCATGGAATCAGCAGATGCTGCATTGCTGCATGCTGGCTGCATTGTGTTTACAAGTCCAATTGATGAGCCCTGAAAAAGAACATTGGATTATAAGATCATTTCGGAAGTAAAATGCAAAAACCCAGCTAAAATGGAATGGTATGGCTAATATGAGAGAGAGTGAGCATGTTAGCACAACAAGCACATCAATTGGCTGACAGTATTACACATGTTGAAACATGCCAAAGAAAATCACAACTAATAAATTTGAAGGAGGGTAGCGATTAAAAAATAAATTTGCTATATTCTGCAAATGGTTACAGTTGAAACTTCTGGAATAAAATGCTAAAATTCTGAAGGGCACTCCAACTACAACTACAGGAGTATTTAAGTAGTAGTTCATATTGATAAACATGGCTAATATATCTATAAATATTAATAGAATGATCATTTGAAAATAAAGGATGCACACTAATAAACAGGAAATATATATGTACGTAAAAGGATTGGGTTATTAGTCACATTGACAACTGTTAAGAGTTTAGTTTATCTTCCTTCGTTTGGGGTACTGTTGAAATTGTGCTGTTATTCTCAAATTATAAACACAATATATGGTGTAAGGTGACAGTGATAGTGTTGAAAGAACAAAGCAAGATGAGAAAACCTCAGCAGCAACAGCACCCTGGCAGTTGGAATCTGCAGCAGACATTTCCTTTGCCCCAAATAAGCTGTCAATCCCCCCATTTTCAAAAAGCTCCTCTGAATGATTAAGAGTTACACCAAAGAGTTCTTCATAATTCTCAAGATTCAAATCCATTTCATCCATATTGAAGTCCTCATAGAGATCATCATCTTCACAGAAGGCAAGAACTTTTGTTCCAGGACAGCATAACTGCATATTAATGAAGTGAAAATTTGCAAGGGTCCTTAACAAATCAAGATATCATGAAAATTAGCACATACACTTCCCAAACACTGTACTCATTAATTTAGTGAACTAGCTTCATAATCAAAACAACTTCCCAACACAAAAAAATTGTAATGCATACTGGAAATCTGAATATGATGCCATTCCACATTAAGAAAGAAGTTTTAACTGGGAAATTAATAAGCTCTGTATCCATTAATACGCAGTTCATCTCAAATACATAAACCAAATATTGATTATGAATAATACATCAATGAATATAATTTTCAAATACAACGGAAATCAGATTCACTAATATCTAGAAGATCATATTAAACACAGAAATCATATTTCTCCACAAGTGACTAGCAATAATATTTTCCCAGTTTTCAATAAAACAGACTATAGATTGGAACATATTTAGTTCATATAAAGGATTAGGGCATACCCAAGGGAGCCACAAAGAATAAAAAACCTATACAGCAATGTCTTAAAATCTGCTACATCTAGCATTTTTGTATGGCACAAGACAAGTCATGCGATAAGTTCAAGTTAAATTATGTTCCAAACAGTACGGAACTATCATAACCAACAAATTTAATCAACTCTTGGAAGCAGTATATTTGGGAGGTTGCCATATCTTTCCAGTCAAAAAAATATCTGCTCTGAAACTTAACCCTAAAATGTTTCAACCAACTTCTTGCCTTTTCTGGATATTGTTAAAGAGAAAAACCCAGAAAAAAGCAATTATCATCAAACTGTTCTCCTATGGTTCAGTATTTGGCCACAAATGGATTGTTACATCAAAGGAACTCAGTTCCCTGCATGTTAGATGTTTATTACAGTGCTGTACAGCACACTGTTGAGAAAGCAACATGCTAGATACATGAATTTCCTAAGAAAAAGCTTATTAAAACTGAAAAAATAACGAACTCAAACAAAACTGGCATTTACCTTGGGCGAAGATGCATTATTAGCTGATCCAGGCGCTTGTTCAAGATTCTGTGTTGAAGAGTTAAGTCCAGGCATGGACGAAGACCCAACCCAAACACTTGACTTATCAGCATCACGCATATTATTAGTCTCAACACCACCACCTGATGCATTTTGGGTGATAGTATCTTCATTATTGCCCCAGGTATTCTTCATGCTGTTATCAGTAATACTCATCAAACCTAATTCCTGCTCACAAGCAGATTCACCGACAGATGGAAAGTCTAAAACGAATGACCAAATTGAAGACAGTTCAGAAGCTGAAGGGCAGCCAGAATAACAGTTGATCGTTTGCCTCTTATGTGCAGAAGCCAATGTAGAGGTTCCATGACCGCGCCAATCACAACTCTGACAAAGAGAGACCCTCTCTTCAGCACATCTAACTAACGCCGGCTGTGAATTACATCTTTCACATAATAGGGTCCTTGAATGACGTTTGGACAAGGCATTAGCTGAATGTACATTTCGATCACATGATAAACATAAACATGCTGCATCAGATCGGCAATACACAATGGATTTTTGAACTCCACAAAAATCACATATGCAACTCATTTTCTCAATTCAAGATTTCTTCCAATCACAAACTTCTAATAAAGCTATGTATCAATCAATCAATCAACCTACAGGAATAGCTTCTTGAAGTGTACCAGAATTCCCCTAACTGCAGTCTCAACCTTCAAAAATATCAAGCAAAAACAATATTTAGTGCAAATCCACAAAAAAATCATCTTAAACTGAATCGTAATACTGCTGCAAACATACAAAAAAAAAAAATAAAAACAAAATCTTGTAGCTACATATCAATCCCGCTGTTGCATACTCAAAAGTAACAAACCGATAAATATAACTAAACAAATAAATCCAACTAACTAATAGAGCACAGCAGAAAAATAAAAACACAGAGCAATTTCAAGCTCTAAGAAACAAACATACGACAAGAAAATTCCACATAACATGAGACTGAGAAAAAGAGAACGGCGTTAGTGAATTATGCAAGCTGATCTCTGAAATAAACCAGGAGAAATAGATTTAAAAAAAAAAAAAGCTTTTCTTTGCTGAAATTTCTTTAAAAAAATAAGTTCTTTGTCTCAGAATTATGAGCTAGTAAAGTGGTAATATTACATATAAGAAATACCAAACAAAGGAATCAAACCTACAGGAACAAAAAAGGAGTTCTCGTCAACAAAAAACACGAAAATCTTAAAGAAAACAAGCCCACTAAAAATCATTTAAATCACATAAAAATTTGTCAAAAACCACCTAGAAAAAATAGTAAAATCAATATACAAAGAACAAACACCATATTCTCAGACAAACAGGCAGAGAGAAGAGAAACAAAGCAAATCTAATATCAAAATTAAAAACTTTTACTTAATCTACAAACACCCAGAAAAAAATATAAAAAAAGCAAGGAAAAAATAAGAAATTACCGTGAGTAAAAGAAAAGACAAGATCGGTAAAGAGAGTGTGTATTATAATAATGAAAAAAAGATGACAAAAATTGTTATAAGAGAAGAAAAACCATTAAAGAAGAAGGAGGTTTCCAGAACCCTGTGTGTACAAGAGAGATAGATAGAGTGGGTCTTGTGCATATGAAATGTGACATAAGCTGATAAAAAGTGCAATGAGAGAGAAATAGATTAATAATAAAATAATAAATAATAATTTTACTATTTTAAGGTTATTTATACCCTCAATTTGAGTCCAATTTATGAAATTAGAAATTTAGAATGAAAATAAAACCTAAATGTGGGTGGGGGAAGTGGGGCCAAGTCCTTTTCATAGTGAAAGGAAAAGTTAGGCCTTTTTCTTTTTTGTTGGTGCATCCTTTTATGAAAAAGGCTAATTAATAATACTATTTTTTTTTTCCATCTGTTTTATTGTTTTTAATACACTCTCTGTGGATAAATAGTTCACTCAATGTACACGTGTTTCTGCTTTTGCGCTTTTGGGGTATTTGATACTTGGCGGCCTCAAGGGCTATCTAATCTATCACTGTGCGAATTGTTTTTCTTACTTTAAATTATTACCTTAAAATTCTCAAATCAAATCCTCTTCTTAGAGATGACGCAAATGCAGTGTGTACTCCACATTCATTAGTGCCTTCAAAGTTAAATTCTTTTAATATTCACACTGGATATGTTATTAAATACATATACTTCTTCAATTCTTTAATGGTCTCCATTTGGTTTCACAATTCTAAATTAATCATTCCTCCATCTTCTTTGTGATGATCATGGTAAATGGTACAATTTCCTAATGAAAGAGTGACAAGGAAATTCAAAAAAAGACAATTTTGCTTTTTGGAATTTAAATGACATATTCTCACCCAAGGTTTGACAAAATCCCAAGTTGGTACCCCAAGTTCCATTTATTCCACATTCCCACCCTTAAAATAACAATGTTAACAATTTTTAGGTTAGTGAGAACGCAATTATTATAATGCCCTTAACCTTAAATTAATAAATTATGTTTTAACCCTTAAATTACTAAAATTAACCATCTTATTTTGAAATTATTTCAATTACACCCTCAGTGACTGCGCACTGTTTCGGTTTTCATCAGATCTGGGTTGTGTTTGATGGCGTTGAACCCCCTGGTCACCTCCATCACCTTCCCCATTGTTCGTCGTCCAAAACCTCTCTGGTTCCTGACTCATTGACCCCTCCAATCGCCGACGCTGTCAGGCTTAGATTTTCGTCGTTCTTCGCTGGATTCCGGTCGATTCCGATGACAAAAATCTAATTGGACATCACCACTGCAACCAGCGTCTCCAAATCTACAAAACCCCTATGTCCCCAGGAACCGTTTAATGGCCATTCATCGGTGGAGACCGATGAAAACCAGTCACATGTGGCGGCTATCATGGTTGGCGATCAGCAAGTGATGAGGGGTTGTGAAGGGTAAGGTTTTGTAGAGGGGAGGATGATGATCCAAATGGTGGTGACAAGAGTGATTTTGGGTGGAAGAATTGCCGAAAAAATGGCAAAAAACGTTGGCGGTGATGTTGGGTAATGTGCGCCGGAGCTTTGTTAAGGGCGACAATCTGCTAATGTGCACTTCCTCTGTAAAATGACCAATTTACCCCTGAGCTATTATATCTAACCATTTTTCATTACTTTAAGGGTAGGAATCTGGAATAAATGAGACTTGGGGTACCAACATAAGATTTTGCCAAACCTTGGATGGGACTATGCCGTTTACTCTTTTTAAAAAAAAAAAAAATCAAGTGAAATGAAGGAGGAAAAATAAATATAATATACTTCATAAATTTAAAAAAAAAAAAAAACAGATGGCAAGAAAGAGGTAGAGAGTACGAAAAGTAATGTGTAGATGAGAAAGTGTGAGGGAAAACTATTAGTTCGGATAAGGCATTTGTACGTGAGGAGGCACTGGACGGACAAAGAAAAGACATGTCAGATTCAACCCCACATGACAGAAAAGTGCTTCGCCCTTTTTCTATTTATTTTTTATTTAATTACCTAAACTGCCCTTCTCTCTGTTAAATGATTGAGCTTCTCAAAGCCCATATGTGCCCCACTTACCTACATTATGGTCAAGGCTACGGCTCCTTTTTCTAATTTTTATCTCTTTTCTATACACTTTTAGCAATAATAGTAAAATGTTGACCAACCACAGTAGTACTTCAGACCATCAAACTTGGGGAGCAAACTAGGAAATAAAAAAATAATTTTTTTTTTTTCAGTTTTAAAGTGTGTCTAGTTTTCCCCCGAGATTATAGGGTCAATTTGTTTCTGACGCCATATAAAATTTACCAATAAAGACATGATATATATAATATTTATAAATGGAAAATAAAGCATTTCAGCACTTTGCCTCTTCAAATTGGGTCTTAAAATATAATTTTCTAATCACTAAGATGATTTCTTGAATGACACCAAATGATGTAAAAAATAAAAAGAATTGAAGACTCTTTAATTAGTAAAATGCACTTAAAATATAAAATATTAACCTATTATTTTCTTAGTTTTAATATTGTAACTTAGTATCTTTCACTTGCATCTTTTCAATAAAAAAAAAAAAAATCAGAAAAAGAAGACAGTATCTCCCATCTACTTTTCATGTTTTATTTATTTTCCCTATCTACATTGAAATAATGTCGTGGAATCCACACTTCTCAACTACTATTTGCTTTGCGGAATCCACTAGTTAGCAAATTTGAATTGACCGGTGTTGTGGAATTTTAGTGCATAGAATTAAACAGCTATAGTTGCTTAGAGTCAAAAAGTACACGCCAGTGCTGTGCCAGTCAGAGCCTTGGTAATGGGCATGAAAGAAAAACTTTCAATACTTCTAATTGAAAAAGTGCACTATAAGCCCTTTTAAATGACTAAAAGTAATTTTCCACTTTTTTATATTATTTAATTTAAATTTCAAGTAAAGAATAATACAAAATATATTTTAGAAGCAACACTTGATTTATGCAAATAGTTTTATCTTTATAAGGCATCCATAGATGTGGCAACAACAGGGACTGATGGATCCTGGCAAAATCTAATAAATATCAGAAGCTCCTTTTGTTGAGAATATTGCTTTTAGATATTTAAATCATAAAAGGGATATACCTGGACAGGTGGCACAGAACAGAAATCCACTTGCACAACTAGCAAGACAGTTAGCATATGCCCAAAACAACATTCGTCTTCATCCTAATAGATGAACAATATGAATTTCCTTTCAAGGGAATTCAATTTCTGAGAAAAAAACATATAACATCTAATGGTCCATCCATCATGCCATACACACATACACACTCCTAGTGGTCCTAATATTTACAATTCAAAACACGACAATGACCGAGACAGTTTAACTACTCAATCTAAATTTTCTTTAACTCACCCCATTTTTGTAGATAATATGCTGACCTCCGACACCAAAAAACATGTCATACCTTTTTACCGAAAATGTGTAACCTTGCTTGCTTCTTTCTGGAGTTCAAAACAGCGAGGTCGGAAACAAGCTGACAGTCTTCAATTATTTACATGTCAACTCCGTTAATAGGAATACAGCTCACAGTTCTACACTTCAGATCTAAAAACAAGTTAACTATTCTACATACTAAATGCATGGACAAATGTTAAGGGCAATCAATGAAATTTTGCTCCTAATTCACTCTCCAGATAGATTGTCTTTAGGTAGAAATGCAGGAGTTGATGGTCACTGTTATTATACAAATAAAAAAAAAAATAGGCCCAACTCTCACCAGGTTCTAAAACGGTCTACAACCAACCACTTGAAGATTGAATCACCTCAGAAACAAGCCGGCACAGTCTAATAATCCTTGAGTAACCATTTGTAAGGTTAGCAATTGCAGCATTTATTTCAGCAGACAGTGACTCGGGCAGTGAATTTTGCATCTTAGTGGAGGGAAACTGTAGTTGATAAGGGAGAATCTCCGAAGGATAAATCCCACTGTTTCAGATATCAAAATCATTACACGTCAGTATGACTATAAATGCATATCGAAGACCATTTGCTGTCTAATATTTTCAAAAATGATAAAAAAAAAAATACACAACAAAAGGCTAAGCTCAATGCCAGCCAAAAAGATCATTTTACTGTTACCTGAATTTCTTGCAGTGCTAAATAAATTCAATCAATAGGAAAATGATCTGTAACGTGCATCAGAACATTTATGAAAACATCTGCCAAGTATTCATCACCTAAATAATCCAAGTGTATCCTTTTTGATTGAGTACAAACTTATTTAGCTTACAGATTACGGTAATTTCATCTAGAGAAAATTAATCTAAACATAGTGGAGCAAGACCTCTAAAAAAATCTTTATCCAGCAATATCCCAGATGAAAAAGTCAATTTTACAGGATTTCAGTAGCCACCATGACCTCAATAATGATTAATAAATTTAAAGATGCTCCATTTGCAACAGGATTTATTCTCCTACCAGTAACTTTATAACAAGGAAGGATACAAATCCAAACCATCAGCTATGAGGTCAGACTTGTAGAAAAGCTAATCTAACTAAACAAATCTCTACTCTTAACGTTTTCCACAGGGTTTTAACAGCCAGAGTGAGTTAAGCATCAAACTGTCAATGAGTGTGAAAAAGCAACAGAGATACATGCAAGGCACAGAGCAAGAAACGACACTTTTCAAAAGAGAACACTCAATAAGTTCAGAGGCTGTCATTCAGAACAGGATTCTCCTCAGGCAACATATTAATCGCATAGGGATGACATCCAATCTACAGAATTTAACTAATCAGCCAATTAGGGCACTTATTGGAAAGGCTCCACAGACAGTGGCCTCATCAACATATGTTACAGGTCCTATCATTTAACATAAGAAAACAAAAAAGGCTGATCCCAAGACTCCATAGCTAACACCAATATTCATGTAAAATTGCATTAAACTTCAAAAGGAAATGATATGGAGAGCTAGATATCTCTCGAAACTGAATAACAACATCATGAAGTTTTTCCAACATAATTAACATTCAGGACATCAAATTCAATTCAAAAGCTTCTTTGAATAATATACGATAGCTCTAAGTTTGCGACATATATAATGATCAAATAAACAATAAAATAATGGAGAACTTTACCGATTCAAGCAAGTCATATCAAGAATCATTGTTACTTTTGCACCACTATTCAAATCAATGAAACAAAGGTTCAAATCGAGCTGCTCAACTGCAAAAGGAAGAAAAACAGCAAATGAAATGATAACTCCAGAATACAATACTGGATGCAGACACTGGTTAACCTTAAGTTACCCAAAAAAAAAAAAAAAAAAAAAAGGAAATGCAAGGGTGAATATAAGTCTATTTATAAATTTTAAATGAAAAAACAGAAATGTACCATTACTTGGGGCAAGTTGTCAAGTGGGTTATTATATTATGCAATTGATAAAGGTTATAAATTTCAAGCCTATAAACAATTAGCAAAGGAACGAAAGGAGGCAACAGAAATGTTTTTTACCGGATGGAGAGTTAAAGCTTGTCAGTGTCAAATTCCTAATCTCTATCCTTGCTAGCTGTAACTCTGCAACCACTGCTAGAAGATTACATAAAAGTGAACTGGTTTTCTGCAGAATCAGAAAATAATTAAGTGAAAGGAATTGTCAATGATCTGTCCGGTTTTAGAACTCAGAAAAGAACAATTAATCCATCAATGCTCACATATATCCAGCAATCAGGTACCCAAATAAAAAACTCAAGAAACCAAAAGATCAACGACTTGTAATTATGCGTTATAGCTCATGGAACAAGCAAGACTCTCATTGGTAAGAATGTGAAGAATATTACCTTAAAATGTTAAAATATAATCATTTCAATTGTTTTTACAGATTAAACATATATCATTTACTTTTTTGGTTTCAAGACTTAAAGTTTACAACAAATAACTATGTAAAATTTTCACATGCACATTTGGTACTTTCAACAATTAATTCTAAACCAAGCTCGAGTATCTAGTTGGCTTGACAAGGAATGGACAAGCTTAAGCAGGTGTCATAAGTCTCAACCAAAACTCAAGCTGAGATTGAGCTATATAATTGGCTCTGATAGGCCTTTTGAATCCAGTATTACTCAAGAAGGCAGCAGAATACAAAGAGGAAAAAGGAAAAGAAGACCTAGTTGCAGAGTGAAAAACAGAACAATGAGATGCAGCAACTTACTTGTGTTTCTTGTGTCAAACTCTTGGAACCAACTGTTTTCTTGGTGGACTCAGCATTAAATACAAATGCAAAGGCTGTGCAGGCATCCATGTTCGGAAAGTTCTAAACCAGAATCACGCAATTTAGAAATCAACACAACTAAAAGAACAAAATGAAGATTTGGTAATTTGACTTAATTACCTTCTTAATATTTATGTTATTCACTTTGTTTGAGACTACCATGCTTGAAACTGGACCAGCAATTATTGTGAACCTTTATTTTGTCAAACAAAAGAACAAATATAAAAATGTGCTGGCGTTTCAAAGAAAAAAAAAGTACCTTATAGTCTCTATTACTTTCTTGTTTTACTAACTCCACCAAAAAATAAAAGATAAATAAAGAAAAAAATTCAGCAAAGTAGCAACCTTTGGCAGATGAAGCCACGGTAGTTGAGGACAAGATTGTTGTGACCATGTGTTCTTTCCAAATCATCAATTTCCCACAGCTGAGAAACAACATACATGATATATTCATCAATCACATAGAAATTTTCTAGTACATATTGATGAGAATGCAGCAAGCATAGCAATACCTGCAGATCCTGGCGTATGTATCTGCACAGCGCTCTCTTCTTAAGATGATCATTAAGTAATGGAATAGTGTCAGCACAACTTAGATCACCTTTCATCTTACAATGTGTGTTAAAGGATTTAATTAAATTCTTTATTTTCCGATCTACAGCTTCAGCCTCCTGTTTCCTTGTGATCACTTTGTTGGCGACAACCTGGCAAAAGGAATAACCTGCATTTTCTTAGAAGCTTGAAACCCACCTGATACTTCTACCAAAATGTCTTTCAACGTATATGACCATAAGTGGCACATGCGCACACAAAAAATGGAAAGAGAGAGAGAGAGAGAGAGAGAGAGAGAGAGAAGAATAAAGAGCAATGCAGGAAAAAAAATGAATTCAGGGGATCAAAGGAAATAATCTTATTTCTGTACGGAATGATTCAGAAAACAATATTAATCAGCATATTATATGTTTTTACTTTTATAGAAAAAGATGAATCTTATAATGAAATCATGTAGCAAAAAGGATTCTGCACGATCTTATAAAGCTGGACTTACAAGAAAATCCACATCATAAAACTGGCATGTACCTCATGTTTGCCAACAAAATTTGCAGAAGAGGAATAATAAAGTTTATCATTAACAGCTTCTCTTTCACCAGATGCAGACAAATGTCTAGCATAATTCAACTTCAAATTGTGAAACTTCTGTATTCCTAAGCTTAATAGTTGTGCACTTTTCTGCATGTGAGAACAGAAGGTAGATAAGAAAAAACAAGCGTTTATCTTGAAATAAAATTTAATAAAGAAGAAGAAGATTTAAAATACCAGCAATTTTTCATGCTTCACATGCAATATCTGCAGCCTTGCCTTCTCGTATATGATTTTATGAAGCAACAATTTTGTTTCAACCACTCTGCAACAACATCAATTCATCCATGTCAATACTTATCATGCTAAACCAGTTTCCACAATGACATATGGAAAGGGAAGAAAGCACCTTTTATGCCTAATATTACTGGACTGATCATATATTTTCTGCACACAAAAGAAAAACAGGATTAACAGGATGATGACTAATACATGTTGGTTAAAGTGTCAAAAGAAAAAATGAATACCATAAAGCAATAATCTAATGATCTTGTTTTCCACTTATTCAGCTCACCTGAGAAAGGATTTCTGAACAAAGCGCCCCATATTTATTAACCTTCTGAAGGTGAACCAAAATATCTTCAAACATGTCTATCTACATGTTGCAAATTGAATAAAAAAGATATTACAAAAGTTTAGGATAATAAGAAGAACAAGAATAAAACCAGCAACTATAGTTAACCATATTTATATTGAATTAAAGAAACTAAAAACAAAAAAAAAAAAAAAAAAAGTCAAATGGCTACATACAGCTCTTATATTGAGTTTATCAATCAATGGAGAAAGAATTTGGTTTGTTTCTGTTGAGAATTTGTGCGAAATCTGCACAGTAAAAATTAAAAAGTTATAATAAACAGGTGAATATAAAAATCCAGCCCCAAGAGCGATTTTAGTTAGGCAAACAAGAGAGCATAAGAGATCAGTGGCATGGTATACATACATCAGTCCAGAGCTTCAAGATTGTGTCAACTCCAATCTTCTCATTTCTGTTATCACTTCCATTAGAATGTTCCGGCTTTAAATCCAAATCATTATCTCTACTTTTATGAACTTTTGGGCTTCTCTGCATCCAAATGATTTTATAATCATTATCTGCATCTCCAATAACTATTTCTTCACTTCTTCTTTTCCGTCCAGAAGAATTCTCAAAATCTTGCAGCTGAAACCAATTATGTGAATTATCAAGCATCTGACAAAAATCATCATTATCATTTTCATCTGAAATGGACTTGGAAGATAGTCATCTTTCCCAACCAACAATAATGTTAACTTTCTACGCATCCAAAGAACACCTAATTAACATAAACAAACAGCCTAGAGATTTCACAACATCTCAGTAATGCCAGAATAGAGATTGTGTGAGTAAGAACATGTGTGGGTGAATAGAGGCAGAAAAATCAATACCTTCAAAAATGATAGCTCATTCAGGCTTCTCTCAACATGTGGAGAAGCATGCTCATGGGCTGAAGCTTTTATACCTTCTCTAGCAGGTTCCTCTTTTGTTCGGATTGTGTCATTTGCAATTTGGCAATTCTTGTCTGGGCTTAATGGCTGATATTTCAGCAAACCTGTATCCCTTGAAGGGCTTTGCAGGTTCCTTACCGTTTCTGAAACATTTTGTAAAGCGGATGGAAGGATTTTTCTGTCATCCTCTCTCTTTACTTGAGTAAAGTTTCTCATATCGTTAACCTCACGAAGGGGTGAACTAGACTGTGCTCTCCAGTCAACAAACAAGGAGTCCAATTTATCAGCCATTTGAGTCAAATGGCTTCCAGTTGTAGCATATTCAATTGAATTCCCATCTGGTCCACAACGAATGACAACATTTCCCTGGGGCTGAACCTGCTGCTTCAAATCAACAAAGAGACTGCCTTGTTCTGCTGGTGACAACTCCCGGTCCAACCTCTTCAATGGAGGAGAAACATTCTTATTAGAATCATTGGTTGTCTTCTGATCTTTTTTATGATCAAGTGTGATCTCCAATGAGAAGGATTCAGATCCAGTAATGTCTGACATGACCTTCATGGCATCATTTGGCACCAAGTGTTGATGCATCACTATGCCTGCCAACATCTCAGTTCGTTTATCTTCATGAGAAACGTTATCAGACAGATGATCCAAGGGTTCTCCATCTTTTCCAGGGATCATGGTCTCTCGATTTTGGTTCAGGTTACCAAAGTACTTTGTTGTTCCATTACCATCTCCACACATGTTGACTGCCTTTTTATGTTCTCCATTCTTCCTATCAACACTAAATTGCTTCTCTAAATTCATAATGGGAGTATCCACAAGCTGGCGCGAGAGATCTCTGCTGGTTTCTTCCACAACAATATGGGAGGGAGAAGTTGCAGAAAGGTACTCCAATAATTTCTGTTCAGATTTTTCAAGTCCATTGCCCAAAGTAGATGTATGTGGTGAAGACTCAATAAGTTTAAACTTTGAAATGCTTTTCAGAAGAGATGAAACGCTCTCACCTAATTTTATGTTTTCCTTCCTCAACAATGAACCAGGCTGTTTAGGGGAAGGAGTTATACATGGTGAATGTCTAGATATATTAGTAGCATCCAGAATTATTTGCTTCTGTTTAGCAGATAACATGGTCATAGGCCCCACTAAAGGAGATTCCAGTTGCTGATCAAGAGGCTGATCAATATGGGAATTTTGCTGTGCAGCTTTTGAAGAACTTTTTTTTTGTGAGTCTTGAGTTGAAAATAAATCAGCAGGTTCAGGTTGTGAGAACAAACTCAACTGACAATCATTACCATTCAGATTTACATCTGGTGGGGTGCCACTACTTATTGTATGCAACTCAACATTGTTTGACCCAGTCACAGCTTTAATAACCACCTTGTTTACCTACAATTGAACCCCAAAACAAGTGCCAGAATCAGTGCTTCAATTTCCTGTAATGATAATGAGAAATATTGTTTGAACATTGAACCAATTTCCAAGTTTCATTGACCAAAAATAGCAATAATGCATGCCATCTGTTGACAAAAGATTTAAAATCATATTAACGCAGAGCTGCAAGCCCTGCATCACCTTTGCAAAGCCACAGGCATAGCAAGTCATGGGTACCAAGGAATATCAATCATGTCTTCTAGCTGTAGAACATGTAGAGTAAATCTATAGCAACACCAAAAAGAAAATGCCATAAAAATTCCATAAAAAATATCATCCCTAAATTGTCAAAGATATAGGGGAAACAAAAAAAACGAAAAACTTGCAGCTACAGGAAATAAAGGTTTTGGTATTGAAGTGAAAAGAAGTATAAATATCAAGTGGACACCTAATCAATCATATGAAAATCTCAAAGTGGTCTACTTAAAAAGTATCAATCCAAAAACCAAATAATTGTGAAACAAATCAAATCATAATGCCATAGGCAAGACAGGTTCTTGCCTTATCAAGCTGATTAGGGGTTTGGACTTGGTGATCAATAAAGGCATCAGCAGCTGGATCATCATTTACATATGATAAGGAATCACAGGTAGTCTGATCCCTATTAGTGGATGTAGAACCACCATTTACCTCACCAAATTGCAAATTAACCACAGAAATCCCCTCTTGGGAAATATTATCAGGGCCAACGTTGCACATATCTATATTTCTGTTACCCCTCATACCCATCATGCCACTGCCATTCTCATTAAAAATGGAAACCTCATTCCTCTCCAATGACTTTGCGTCAACTATAGGAACAGCATGAATAACCTCACTACCTTCTGCCAAAAGAGCTTCTAATGTAGGAGATAGTCTCCCATAATCATACCTATGTGGGTTCTCTCCCACAAGACTCATATCATTTGAATCTCTACTGATACTAACTTTACCAACAGGTGGCAATATTGGGCTTATAGGCTTCTTAGCTTTTGTTAGTACCATGAAACTTCCTGAATCAGATGGAGTGCCAACCTGGGAAGGTGTTTTCTCTTCAAAGGCAAAACAACTCCCTGCTGGGGTCTTGATGTCTCCTAATTCTGACATAACAAGACTACGGTAATGCATTGAAAACGCGGTTGAATCCATTGTGATATCATGGTTATCATCTGAGGCAGCAGAATCGGACAACCGGCCAGGTCTAATAAATCTGGCTGATACAGGACCAAAAAAGTTGTCTTCTGCACAATGAAATAAAAACAAAACTTTCAGTACTTACCCTGACAAATTTAAACTTCATAGCACAACGACAGTAGATCTAATATTAACCCCTCTTCAATCTTTTCTCATTACTTCTTCCCCAATTCATCATTAACCAAACACCATTAATTTTAAAAAAAAAAAAAAAAAAAAAAAAAAAAAAATGCACCAAACAACCTAAAACCAAAATTCAACTCCTTAAGCACGAAAACACTAATACACTAGCAGTAACGGAGAGTGCTACCCATATAAACTCTGGTATACAAGTTGACATAGAACNACAATGAAATAAAAACAAAACTTTCAGTACTTACCCTGACAAATTTAAACTTCATAGCACAACGACAGTAGATCTAATATTAACCCCTCTACAATCTTTTCTCATTACTTCTTCCCCAATTCATCATTAACCAAACACCATTAATTTTAAAAAAAAAAAAAAAAAAAAAAAAAAAAAAATGCACCAAACAACCTAAAACCAAAATTCAACTCCTTAAGCACGAAAACACTAATACACTAGCAGTAACGGAGAGTGCTACCCATATAAACTCTGGTATACGAGTTGAAATAGAACTATTCTTTAAATTTCCATCATTCATCCTCATTAATTATACTGATCCTTTTACTTTCACCTTTCTATTTAATGTGTGCCTCGCCAATTTCCATGCAAAGTTTGTAGCCTACTTTTATTCATTAGCATTGTTACTTAGCACAAAATTTTTATCTAATATCTCAGAACTGCAATATGCAAAAGCATAATTAACCAAAAACACACCGTTTGTGAATATCTTAAAAAAAACTCACCGTCATTAGAAGTAGCTGAGCCAATGATACTACTTCCAGGAGACGGCGACTCAATTGGCCTTAAAAAAGACTTCGTCGAAGCGATCTCTTCGTCATCGCCCTCCTCCGGTGACATTTCCCTGGAGTCGTCGCTATCTGCTGCCAAGTCTTTGAAAAAGCCAAGCACCTCATTGTCTTCGTCCGCAGAGCTCGGTTCCGCTGCGGACTCCTGCTCATAGTCCTCGTCTCGGTTGAAAATGTGCACCGAAGTGATTTCTCGGTCGGCAAAACTCACGCGCCGCAACCGTTTCTTCCTCACAGCGATGGTTTCTTCGTCGGTCTCAGTATTGAAATGTTCTTCCTGATCTTTTGAGGCCATACGATAGATGTGATTTGGAGAAATGTGAAATTTGTGAAGGACCTTGAATCTTAGGGTTTTTGAATTGTGAACCTCGCTCTGTTTGCGGGAAAGTTTTTGTGTGGGAATTTGAATTGAACGGAACGGCTATTTTTGTTTTATTTCATTTTTACCCTCTTGTTTTAAGTATGTAGCGAACGCCAAGTCTTTGTGCATTTCTCACCATTTTTTTCTCTCTTTTATTTTTTATTTTTTATTTTTTTAATTTAGATTTGGGGAAAACAAAAATGATGATTATTTCCAAAAGTTTTTTTCAAAATATAAAATAAAGTGTGAAAATATAAATTAATACTGTCCAATTTTGATTAAATTTTCTTCTTAATACAGTATTAGATAGTTGTTATTGGCATACTATTATTCTTTACTTATACTCAATTGCTTTTAAACTTTCTATAATCATCCTCAGCCCAAAACGAAAATTATTCTTAATCTTTCATCCCATACGCGTCTATCACTTAAAACTTGTTTAGCATAATCATTATACGAAACTAATTCTATTTAATAATGGATTTGTGATCATCATATAAACAGCGGCGTATTTTAACATTACTTGTAAAGTTGTAATAACTAATGATAAATTTACAACAATTAACAATGACGGACAGTCTATTCAAATATTTACTAGATGTTACATTAAAAGTGATTTTGATTTCTATAACTATTTAGATATATACTTTGTGCTTAAAAAATAAGATATGTATTCTACTTCTAAATAACTATGATAAAATAATTCTAATTTTAATTAATAATGTTATGTTTATCTCAAGAAACGCTTTGGGAGCTGATATATAGATAGAACACAGTTTCCTCATTTCAATTCTTCTGCCTCTGCGTGAAGAATATAAAACAAAGCATTTCACATTCAAATTTCTGAAACATTCTACGCTTACATCAATATAATTGAAGACAAAATGTGGAAAAAAATTTGTCAACCAGGTGCACTAAATGATAAGTCATATCTCAACTTTAATGCTCAAAACACAAGGATTCAACCATACAAAGCCCGCCATGGTTCTCGAGCATCCTTTGATGTCTCTGTCGGTTTCCACAAGATTTTGTCTCTCAAGAAGCACAATCCAGTATTGTTTGCCAAAAGCTCTCCAATCTCATAAAGAATCTGGAAAATCAACCTTCAAGATTTTGCCAATAGATATATGTTTGAACAAGACCAAGAACAAAGAGACAGATGACTCTACAGCGATAAGGAAAATTATTAAACAATTTTATAATGGGAATAAAATTTAAAAACTATCACACAATCTCTACCTCGGTCACTTCGACAAAAATTGATTACCATTTTCTTTAAAGCAGAAAAGAATACTGTGGCTTCTATGCCTCACTCCAATCATAAATAACATTCCAATACAGTATAAATCACAACAACTAGTGCTAGTCAAGAATGGATACCTCAAGCTTTCCTTCTGAAGACTTATCAGAATGGCTTGTACTTCCTTGCCCAATAAGGATTAAAGTTGGCAACTTCAAGACACGGACCAGCTGCAGAAAGCAGGCTAGAGGTTCATAATGAATCTGCAATGAGGCTGCTGGCTTCTTGATTCTGGCAGTCATGGCTTGAGTTATGTTTGTCTCTGGACCAATCTGCAAGCCATAAAGCGAAACCTTGCTTCCACTAGCCTCTGAAGTTTTATTGTCCCCCTTAAGCTTTGATGATTCCACAACAAAAGGGGCTAAAAGAGTGGGCACAGTTGATGTTTCACCAGATATATGTGCCAGAACCTCATTTATGGCACAAACCAATGAAGGTGGCTCATAATTTTGCAGAAGCAACACTGAAACCTGAGCAAATAAAAGGGAAGAAAGATTCCATAAAGTCATTATTTGCTAAATTAACTATGAACTTTACTTGGTAGACAAAATCTACCTGTCTATGTTTCAAAGCAGATTTTTTGTAATGTAGCACAAAGATCTTGATTTTAATTGCTTAAATTTAGGAAAACCCTTAATTTTAATTGTTATAAGTCAAATTTGGAGCACTAAGTAAACAAGCAAGAAACATAAGATTGTTTGGACAGAGGAAACAGCATTATGAAAACGACAACAGAGAGAAACACCAATAAGAAATGATACAAAACCACAACCAGGATTTAATTTCAGTAAATCTAACATTTTGATTACTCCCCTGCAAGATTCCATTCGTGGTTACAAGAAAATCAATTACATTAATCATGATTAAAGGCCGTGAGGGAGATCACAGTCTGCCTGTAGAAGGCTTCACATGTCATATCTACACAAACGCTTAACTGGAATTCTTCTTTTGCCATTAAATGGAGTGGCAGACGTAAAACTTTTTCCCCTTTTCTAATTTTACAATAGCTTTATCTGAAAACTTTTAAACCAAATTCGTTTTCCTAAAAAAACTATTGTCTTCTACTTGTTTACAAAAACAAAAAGATAGAATTGCATTTAATAACAGTTAACGCAATACCTGATAATTGCCCTTATCATCGAGAAAGTGAACGAGCTCGCCACGGGCTTTCTTTTCTTTAATTCCATAATGCTCCAGTGACAACTCGAATGATTCATCTCTGCAAATAATAGAACAAACGCAATGATTACAACTTCTTTAAAAATGATCGATTGATAAACCCAAAAAAACCCTACTTGCTTTGTTAATGTTGATTAAATTGGAAGTAACTTACAGTCTACGAAGAGAGGAGTTAGGGTTAAAGTGGAGAGCGTTAACGATGGGAGCAATTAAACCTTCTGGGTCTTTCAATAGGAAGATCATTTTAGAAGCTACCTTCATCTTATGATTCTCTGTGTTTCTGCGTTAGACAAACAAAGCGCCGGAGCGAAGGATCTATATAGTTAAAAGAGTAGCGACCAAGGCATGATAATAATAAATAAATATTTATTCGTATAATTCTATATATTTAAAATTAAAGAAAAAGTTGCGAATCAACATTTTTTTTTTTCAAAATTTTATAATTTTTGTTTAACAAAAAGAAAAAAAAAATGTTAATCTAGAGACGGGTGATTCTCAATTAAAAGCCAAAGGGTTTAAGTGATATAATATGATTAAGATAATAAATGACATTTATAAAATAATCATATATGTTAATAAATTTTGTTTAAGCTTACCATTTTAATTTTGCCCACCTAAATATTAATAAGTAACTTTGTAAATATAAATTAAATCAAATAAAGAATAAACAATATTTAATGCATTGCAACCACTATTAATAGTTAACGGTCAGTTAGAGCTTTTAAATGTATTATACAAGATATATAAAATGCCAGTGCTTGCTCAAGGGATTACATTAGTATAGAAAAATAGTTTTCCAATTTTAGGCAACTTCAAAATTTCTATTTTTTTTATTTTTTTTTAAATACAAAATTTGAAACCTTGTCACTTACATCCCTGCGCTTTGAAATGTCAAGGGATTTAATTATAAAAACAATTAACAGATTTGAGTTTACTAATTTGATAAGAGAATTTCCAAGCTGGCGCGAAACCGCTACAGTATCAGATCCATCTCTGACACTCAACCGCACAATCACAACGCTTGCTAGACATGCAGAAGACGGCACAAGCATGGTTCACCGGAGGTCCGAGCACTGCCAACTCAAACGACCACCAACAAAAGCCTTCGTCTCTGCTGGCTGATTGGAACTCTTACGCCTCTTCCCAAGAATCCGATTCCTCCGCATTCGATCTCGAGGCTGCCGTCCTCACCACCACCGACAAAGTCAGCGGCACTTAGCGTGTAATTAAACACTTAACTCGTTTTTTTTTTTTTTTTTTTTGGTAACTCATTCTCATATTCTCTTTGTGTTAGTAGTGATTTGAATGAACGATCCACGTTATGATATATTGACTGGATCTGACTAAAATCGTTTCAGATGACTTTGGTGGACTCACCGTGAAATTAGTGAAATCATGTCAAAGTATTGACTGAATATAATCATGTGCAACATAATTATTGTGATTTTACCAGGGGCAGGACAAGTAGTTTTTTTCGAGGAAGATGCTAGAGCGATACAGTAGATTTTAAGTTAATCTTTATCATCAATAATGTTTATCTCTCTGTGCTTGGCTGGTATCGTTACTTGGAATAGGTGATTTTAATAATACATAGTTGCGTAACATTACTGGTCCAGTACCATAATATAGTATGTCACATGCTTGTCTGTTGTAGAGATTGAGAAGAGGACAATATCGTTTGCTAGCTGTTCTCTTAATGGAACGAATCTGTTGAAGGTAATACTGTAAAATAGAGTATGTTATGGAATTAAAATGGATGTGGAAATCGAGATGTTAGCCATAACTGTTCAAGAAAAAGAAGACCTCCAATTCCTTCTGAATTCAATTTCGTAATGTAAGCAATGTTTTCAAACTTAGATTTAGAAGTTTTGAATTGACTCTTCCTCACTTATTGGGGTTATTGAAATGGTTATAGAGTCTCATATGGATTCTTAGTTTACCTGACCGCCCAAAGGTAGCAAGGTTCCTCTTCATTAGAAATTAAAGGAAGAAAAGGAGTTGAGACAAAAAGTTCGCTGATACTGTTGGCTTTTCTTTGATTAATTTGTTGGGAGTTTGGCCTTGTTTGAGTAATGGTAGTTGATTATATTATAATAGAGTAATGCTTGATTTGGCTTCTTCTTTTTTTTTTTTCAAATTGTTTTAGGGTTTCAAAAGGAGTCAGAGAGCTACCAGGGAGTTTTCAGTCTGCTACTAGCAATGTCCCTTCAGGGAAATCTCTGATGTACTTTAGCTTACTTCTAGCTGCTGGCGTGTTCTTTGTCTTCATTGCATTCACCATGTTTCTTCCTGTCATAGTTTTGGTGCCTCAGAAATTTGCCATCTGCTTTACTGTTGGTTGTGCATTGATTGTTGGTTCATTATTCGCTTTGAAAGGTCCTAAAACTCAGCTTGCTCACATGTTCTCTAAAGAGGTACCTTATCTAGCTGCATTTCTTCGTGTGTTTTGCTTAAATAGAATTAAATTACAGTCAATCCATGACTTAATTGTAAAAGTATGTAATTTTTCTTCACAGTTGCTCCCTACAGTAATTCTTTCTGTTTTGCTGTTTGCTTTCAGAGACTTCCGTTTACATTGGGATCTATTGGTAGCATGGTGGGAACCATCTATGTCTCTATGGTGCTTCACAGTTACATTCTTTCCGTGCTCTTCTCTGTGTTTCAGGTATTGTAATCTTTTCATTCTGGTATATTTTCTACAAAATCTCCACTTATGTGATGTAGCTTGATCTCACCTTAATTAAACCACTATTACAGTTGCAGTGATACATGGTTTTATCTGAAATTTGAATATCTATTCCTCACTTATTTTGTATCAAAATTAATTTGGGCTTTGCTAGAAATTGAAGTCCTTTTTATCTTGTTAGGTTGTTGCACTGTCATACTATGCAATTTCCTACTTCCCTGGAGGATCATTTGGACTAAAGTTTATGCCTTCAAGTCTTACCTCTTCAATATTGAGATGTTTTGGAAGGTGAAATTGATATCTGGTTTTCTGCAATTCTTTTAATTTGTAGAATTATTCTTTAAATTGTTTTGTAGATTCAATCTTTTTCAATATAAACTTCCGAATAACAACATTATCAGTTTGTTTATTATTTGGAATTGAATACTTAGTATATTTATACCTCTGAAGAAGCATTCTGAGCTCTCTAGTGGCAGAGCATGTCACAGACAAGAAAATCCCTCTCCCTCTCTTTACTTTTCTGAACTTAGGACTGCCGCCATAAACAATCATGGTACCACGGAAAATAATAACAAATGTTGATCATAGGAAGGCTGCTCCCAGAAAAGATCATGGAATNCTTCAAGTCTTACCTCTTCAATATTGAGATGTTTTGGAAGGTGAAATTGATATCTGGTTTTCCGCAATTTTTTTAATTTGTAGAATTATTCTTTAAATTGTTTTGTAGATTCAATCTTTTTCAATATAAACTTCCGAATAACAACATTATCAGTTTGTTTATTATTTGGAATTGAATACTTAGTATATTTATACCTCTGAAGAAGCATTCTGAGCTCTCTAGTGGCAGAGCATGTCACAGACAAGAAAATCCCTCTCCCTCTCTTTACTTTTCTGAACTTAGGACTGCCGCCATAAACAATCATGGTACCACGGAAAATAATAACAAATGTTGATCATAGGAAGGCTGCTCCCAGAAAAGATCATGGAATCACCATTGATAGTAATCGAACCATGTGGATCCCTATCTTTTTGGATCCCTATCTTTTTGCTGTATAAGTTGCCATTCCTTGATTGCATTTCTGCGTGTTTTTCTACAGATATGGAATATTATTGCCAAATTGTCTGGAATATATCCTCTGGCTCTGGGTATCCAGTCCTTATGATTCTATTCCTTGTAAGGGTTCAAGTTTAGTAGATTTCATCTAAGCAATTGTTCCTTTGAGTTTTCTTCAGAATGTTGTCCCGATTGCATTTTCTCTGTTTATTGGTCTCTCACGCATGAACGGAGATATTGAGGAAAGTAGACAACCATAAGGATGAAATTAAGCTGTCTTCTTTCTGAAAGGATTTTGCTAATCTAAAATAGTTATATTAGAGAGAATCAAGCCGAGCCACAATTAATTTTGCCCATTAAATAATACAGTTGAAATTGTTGGAGGAACTCAAATATTTCCCAAAAAAGGTTGTTTTGTCATGTAAGGATAATCCTGATTAATACCTTGTTGTGTCGATCTCAATAACTTTTTTGGCAACTTGTTATGGTCCTAACTCCTAAGCATAGTGTTACCTCTTTCTGCAGTCCCTTGGCTCTTGGTCAGCTTGACCCAAGTGTCTCAACAATTTAATGTGTGACCCATATTTGTGTTTAAATTACGTCCCTTAAGAGGCAAATGACTTGTCGTCTTCCTCATTATTAGATGATATATGTCGCTTATATATTTCGAAACAAAACAGCGGCGGATTGTGGGTATTAGATATCGGTTTGTTATAAATTCGGCTACTTGTCAATCGCATTCTCGAAAGCAAACGACGGTTCATTCTATTATATTTATGACTTAGAACTTGGCCATCCTCAACCATTAAGAAACTGTAAAACAAACTGTCCATTCAAATTATAATCAACGTAATTTACAGCAATAAAAGTGTTGATATCACATCTAGTGAATTAATGCAATAATCAAAATGTTTACTCAATCTTCCATGCATAAAGAAACAGGCAGAACTCTGAAGCTGTAGAACTTTTAGTTGAATGGTACCTGCTTCCATTACTGTTATCACTGTCACATCCTTGGCTGCTGCCTTCACTTTCTACTTCCGGTGCACTTGGCTTGAATATGAACAACCCATGACCCGTGCCGGGGCTACTAAACAACCNACAGACAAATTATAAATTCATCAATACTATATCTTAGGGTGACTGACCCCTTCCCACCCAAGGTTTGGCCTAGTGACAAGTTCCCACCCGAAAAGTTTCAGAATGACAGTATCGCACCCATCCATCCAATTTCTCCGTTTTTTTTAACTGCAGAAGGATAGAATAGTAATTTCAAAAAACAATTAAAGGATAATCATGTCATTTTATGACCTGTATATAAACTTTAAAAAAAACAAAATCCCTAATTTTTCTTCTCCTCTTTCCTTCTCTTTCCTCTCTCAATCGCACCAGACCGCTTTCCTTATTTTTTCTCTCTTCCCCTTCTCTTTTCCCTTTCCTTTTCTTCTCTTCTTATCTTTCCTCTCTCTCTGGCGGTGGCCATTGTTGGCCAAATCTAGCCGGCACCTGAGGCCCTTGTGTTGGCTAAAGGCGCGGCGCAAGAGCCACATGCCGACTTGATCTGTCCGGCTGAGAAGCTTCATTTTTTGGCCAAACTGAGTTAAAGCGGAGTTGATTGAGAGAAGACTTGATTGTTTGATTGCTTTTTTGATACAATTTTTCTTGATTGATGATTGTTGTGTGTTGCGGTGATTGTGTTGAGAAGGAATTGAAGTTTGGTAGTGTGTTTGGGTCGGGTTTTGCTCACGCGAAGAGGAGTATTAATGCTAGCCAATGAGGGCGTTATGAGTATTATTGTTTGGGGGAGTGAAGCACTTTGTGATTTGGCTTGCTTGCAGAATAGGCGCTGCACATTTGTTTTTGTGTTGCTTTATTTGCAAAGTTATTATGTACAAGTTTTTTCTTGTCCAGGCAGTAGTGTATTTGAAGGTGCAGCTTGTCTTTTGCAATTTGAGGTGGCAGTGGGATAACTGGACGAGTGTGTTGGTAGTAGCTTTAGTTTACGGCATTTGGCATCTTAATAGTGGCAGGGGAGCTTTTTCTTGTAATGATGGTTACAGTCGTCTCAAGAACATTTGTGGTCCTAGACAAAAGTTACTTTAAGGGTTTTCTAATAATATAAACATATATTAAAAAAATTATTTCAAATTTAATCTTCTTGTTTTTTGAGATGCAAAATCATTAGTTGAGAAGTCACGGCCCAAAAGACATCGGTGGTCTGCGATTTGCAGAATAAACAGAATAGGTATGATAGGGGTTTTGGGGTTTTGGTGAGAAGGCAGAGGGGAGGAAGATGGTGGTGTTGGGGAAGGCCAACGATGCCAAGTACACGCTGAAAAGGCCGGAAATGGTTGTCGCACGCAGTGGAGCTAGGTTGCGAGATTTATAAAAAATGGCCAAATTGAGGGCTATCAAGGTTGGAAAAACACTTGGAAAACGATAAAGTGATGGTTCCGATCTATTTTGGTGAAAAATTCGATCGAAATTAGCTCCAAACGGTCGACGGCGGAAGAGAGGTGGAGATGATTTATGTGAATGTTAAATTTTGGGATTGAATTGGGGATGAGTAATTTGAGACAAGTAAATGACCATTTTAGCCTTTCATTGTTAAAAGAAATTTAATGTGTTAATTTAAGGGTGTAAATTAAAATATATGAAACTATTTGGGTGGGAATATAATATATGTAAAAAGTTAATAAAATCTACTCGTATTCGTAGAATTATCAATAATTGTTCGAAAGTCTGTTATTAAAAATTTTCTACTTCGTTTTAATGTATTTCATTTGATGCTTAAAAAATCCCTAAAGTGGAAGTGTATCAAGATGATCAAATTGGTAGAAAAGTAGAGATACAATGGATAATGATAGTGAAATTTGTCTCAAGATATTAACAGAAAAGCTAATTCCATCTTGAAAATAAACAATAGAGCCAAAAATCAGAGAGAAAAACTCACAGCAAAGCAGTGGTAGAATTTGTCCGTAACATTCTCTCCAACAGCCTCAAAAGTTGCAAACAGGGGAGTGAAAAATCCATAGCTTATTCCACTAATAGACTTCCAATATTCCAATAATGGCCAAAGAATCAGAGGCAGGGGCAACACTATTAGCACCACAATCTTCAGAACTGGCCAAGCCTCTTGGTTCTGATATTACAACCCCAAGAACCGATGAGAACACGAGATAAGATTACGAAATAAAAGAACTTGAACTGAATTAAACAAGTATGCTTGAATCAAAGAGTGAAAGTCAGGCCTTACCTCACAACAACGTAGTAAGTCCACAGAAAATGTGCAGGCCAAAGGCCAATTACAGATGAGTTTGAAATACAACGATTCCTACTGCAATAGGACCAACAATTGCCGCTGTGATAAAAAAAATATAACACACGATAAACAGCAGTTTATATTCCATTTTAGTAATAAAATATGTACTTGTAAATGTCGACTTATAATACAAGAAATTATGACACGAAACATATACATACTATCACACATCCATTCACATAGAAACAACTCAACTTCATCACATTACTCATGTCTCACTCCAGGATGGATGAACTTTATATGTCCTCAATTAGGCCTACATGGGAAGATTGTAGTTGTAAAATGAGCTATAAAAGCGTAAAGTTTAAGCACTAAATCAATACATGGAGGTAAATAATTAAAAAGATACACATGATATCTAACATGATGATGATACCTGAGAGGCCAAGGATGAAGAGCAAAAAGAAGTAGGGCAAAAACGACACAAGCTCATAGTGTTTCAATAAACCCTACCGGAACCTTCATGATGAGAAAAATTTGGAAGTTACAGAAGGGCAAAATGGGGAATGAAATATTATCTTGTAGAAATGCTTCAATGCTTGTATAATTATAAAGATTGCATTTATTTCTCTTTGTTACTAAGGCTTAAAGCTAACAAAGAGAAGCTCTTTTGTTAAGATTTGATAGGTGGGGACGCGTGGCGAGAGATGGTGAGTTAGAAGGACACATGGCGAAATGGTTTAGTGTATGCATGGAAAAAGATGTGGACAGAAAAGAGACAGCGGTTTCGGTTTTGGCGGTTGCGGGAACCAACCGCCTTGAAGTTCCTTGTGGGTCCACTCCAGCTGATCTTTTAACTAAATTTTAATTATAATAATTTTGATAATGATGTTTTAACTGTCATGTATATCGAAGGGTGAAGTATTAGGTTTATTTAGTAGAATAGTAAAAAGATTATAGAAAATTCCTAATATTATTTATTTGTCAAATAAAATGATCTGGGCTGAGAGAAAAATATAGCCCATTTTGATTAAAAGGGTCCAAATCTGCACTCCAAGCCCAAAGCCTAAGGCTAGTCTTCTTTATTAACATTTGGGATTTCCAAGAGTTTCTGCATCCGCTCATATTTTCTAACTTGCAAGGAAAATGCAATTAATTGTGTCCGCAATCCCAGCAAAAAGAAGTCATTAATTGTGCTCAAACCGTCCATGATGGCTTATTAATGAAGGAGTATTGGATCAAAAATCCAGAAGGCTGGCTCTGCATATTCCACCCTCGATCTCTGTTTCATATTCATGATCTTGGAACTGATATATAACGTTCAATTCATCAACTTAATGCTACATCTCCAGTTCCATAGCGCTTAGTATAAAATTAATCAATTAACAGTTATGAGAAGAGAAATTAACACAAGATGACTAAGAAAAACGGTGGGAAAGTGAGATGGATTAATCACTACAACAGGAACCAAATGATATTACTTGGTGGTGAAGGGGACTTTTCGTTTTCTGCTTGTTTAGCTAAAGCTTTTGGCTTGCCACTAACATGGTTGCAACATCCCTCAACTCCGAAGTACAATACAAGGCTAGAATCCTACCCATTCTAAATGTAGAGATTATTCTGTTTTTATAAACTTAGATTTTATTAACCGTTCCGATGTAGCAGAAACTTTAGAGACAAAGCATTGGACCATACAGCAACTTGGAGTATTGAAGAAGAAAGGAGTGTCAATCTTTATGAAGTGGATGTGTATGACATGAATGTCATCCAACTTTAATGTACAAGTTCGATGTATCATTTATAACTTCCTCATGCAGGCATTCTGTGAAAGGAGTTTCTCAGTAGTATGAACAGTGATAAGTCACATTAAAAGTTTAATTTGTTCCTGTTTTGTGAATTTTTTGGTTTTGATGCAATAAATTGAAAAGGAAGCACAAGAGGCATTCTTCAGAAGGCAAGGAGATGTTTGTGAAGGTGGGAAGTGCATGTTACACAAAGGGATGATATCCTTCAGTGAATGGAATTTGGTGGAACTTGCAAAACAGTCAGGCCTTGTTTGAAAGAGAAAGTGGAGTTTAGTAAAAAAGACTAGAGCGGTGGAATTGAGAGTAACAAACAATTCCCTCTTGACAAACCTTTACCTTCAAATTCTCGCTGTACCAAAAAACTCATAAACTGCTGTGATGATGTGACTAGTATTACAGCTGATTGATGATTTACAGAATTACAGTTACACATCTAACTGATGAATGTTAATTAAATCAGGGGCTTGCTACTGTTTTGTTCGTAACTCCAAGTATTTTACTGTAATGGAGATTACTAGCTGGGTTTTCTAAAATTTTGGATGTTCATATACTCGGGATCATTTCAAGTACAATTCTCATTATGCACTGACTTTTTATGTTTACCTCACTACTATGTGAAGCTTGAGATTTGAGGCGATATTCGTTTGATCAGTATACTAAACTTAAATGGTACCCTCACTTGGTGCTTCATAATCTGCCAAAACTTCCATAAATTTCCAGTTTAGAATCATATTCATTTCATAGAGAGGAACACGGTACGGGAAAAAAAAATCTGATTTTCTTATATCTGGCCATCATTGGCTATTATGTGCCATTTTTCTTTTGAAGGGATTACACAACGATTGTCGTGGTTTAATTTCTTAGTTTTACGAAGGAAATGGATGCTGCCCTGGAATGAACTCTTCTTCATTGTAACCCCTTAATTATGGAATCAAATGGTCAATAGCAGGTATATGATACGAATCACCTCTGATATCTCTGATTAATTACTTCAAATCCATAGCCCTATATTACAGAAACTCTGGTGTCACTGAAATGAAATCAAGTGTTGTTGAAAAGCTATTCTAATTACAGGAGTCTGGAGTGGATATGTTGATGGCAAACATTACCCCACATTAATCACTATATCAGCTCCCAAAACATGATGACGGCAATGAAATAAGCGAACCCTTACATGGCCTGCTTCCATCTTCCCAAGCGCAAATTGAACACAACCATCATTTAACTAGAAAATTACAGCGACCTGACTGATACTGGTTTGTCATACTATAGTACCCCAATTAGCAGTGGCAATCTTTCTGTGGTACCTAATCTACTATCATGTACAATGTATGGGGAGAAGTGAATCTATACAATATTCCCATTATCATGATCCCTACGACCTGATACATTTACAGTTTCAACACTGTCTTTCCAATCCCCACTTCCAATTGACCTAGCGCCGTCAATTGTGGAATTCAACATTCCTCCAATATGATTAGCCGAAGCAGCCGCCTGCATTGCCTCTATATACAATATCCTCACCAAATTTCTGAACCGACGCCGAAACGTTGGTACTCGGGACATTGAACCTACAATCCCCTGCAGTCTGTCAAAGACAAGAAATTCACAATCAATCAGTCTCCCGAAAACTTTCACTGTCAAAAAAATAGCTACAGTTGATGAATGCACCTTCTAATAATGGCTTGCAACTGTGCTTTTCTGACATTGTCACTGGATGGGAATTCACAGGCATCCCAGTCCTCAGGTTTATCATTTTTGCACTCCATACTAATCATTCTAAGGGAAATTTCTTCGTTCACATTTAACTGGAGATTCTTTATTTGCTCTTTCATTATCAAGAGTGGTGCAATGAACCAGTCAAATACCTTATCTCTTGGACTGTTGAACCTTGTCAACTCGAAATCATCAGCTGGAAAATTTAATTGCATGATATGATTATGACTAAATATGTCATATGTAAAGAGAAGGTCAAAAGTTTGAGATGATCAAACGTACAGATCACCAACCCAGATGAGTCTGACTTTGCGGATACTAGCAGACACTGTAATATGGACCAAGCAGGTAGTTTAATGCCCAACTTCTTACAATTCCCCTTCACAATGCATTCCTCGATATCCTTAATGTTTATCAGACCTTCACGAAGGATTATCCTACCATTCACTTCACATGATTTAAACAACCAGTCCCACACCTGTATCATTGGAATTTAAACATTATAATCACAAACAGAACTTAATAATCTGAAGTTCTGTCTGGAAGAGCACTTACCTGCACAGGTTTATATTGTTGGATTGCCCGCTTCAATGTTCTTGATCGTTCTGAGATGAGTTTTGTACTGAGTGAACTTTCTCTTCTAATCCTTAGATCATTGTCATTGTCACCAAGCTTTTTCCTCCCATGGCTAGTGTTCATGTTTCTACGATATCTGGGCCTAGCAGACACAAGGATTCCCCAAAATTAAGTATCTGAAAAACATAATGTCAAGGGACTGGACTTTTCAATATTACCTTCAAAAGGAACACATGGTTTTTACTCTTATGAAGCAAAAACAATTGCACATTTTGTAATGTACCTGGGCAAGCATGATCCTTCACTCAAGTAGAGTAAATCATTTACGTATTCATCGAACAGAGAAACTACTGAAACAACGTAGGCAAGTCCCATCTGGAATGAGTCTTCCTGAATATGTTGTGATTATAGTTTAGACAAAACTGTAAGACCAATACAAATTAAAAAGGCAAAATGAAGAGCTATAAACTTGCTAATACGAAAAAGGCAGCTTCTGAAGACCTCTTGAACAATAACTCCAGCATAAAGTCCAAGAAAAAAGCTGGAGATTATAGCAGCTGTCACAGCTCCCACAACAGCCAGAGGCCATAAGAGAATTGCAAGACCAGCAAATGGGACGCAAACCGTCTCCAAGAATGGTCCTTCTCTGCCAATCAAGTCCTCCAATAGCCTCTTCCATCCTTTAAACAACATGTATGGACTTTTCCACAAAGCAATAGCTGTAATCAAAGGCACATCTACCAGCACTCCAACTAGGCTCACCAAAATACAACTCGGCAGTTTCTCTAACCTGGTAAAGACAAAACAGAAAATATCTGAAAGATTTATTAATATCTTTTCTGCTCAGTATGTAGGCCATGATGAGAATGTTCTTACTTTATGTCCACGGGCATTTCATCCTCAGGCACTTTCTTACTTAGCTCATCCATGTAGGAGAAGTATGAGTGGAAGCAAAAGTCTATAAAATCCTGCACTACTGTGCAGCTTCCCTTGATAGTGGATAAACAACCATCCTGATATTCAACATTAAGCCGCTAATATGGATGCCAAATATCAAATTACATTTAATTCAATTAAAAGCTTTTCCCCAAATATATAATGTGGATTAGTTAACAATTGATATCACACAAAGTTTCTTTCGCTTTTGGTGATCTGCATATACAGTTAATTGAATCCCATTCCCATGGCTACAAATGACCGTATCAAGAGCTTCAAAATCTACTCGTATTCGTAGAATTATCAATAATTGTTTCGAAAGTCTGTTATTAAAAATTTCTACTTCGTTTTTACATGTATTTCATTTGATGCTTAAAAAATCCCTAAAGTGGAAGTGTAATCAAAGATGATCAAATTTGGTAGAAAAATGTAGGAGAGATGAAAAATTCAGTTATTATATGGATGGAAATTAATGATAGGTGAAATTTTGTACATTGACACAAAGATATATTCAACCAGAAAGCTAATTCCATCTTGAAAATAAACAAATAGAGCCAAAAATCAGAGAGAAAAACTCACAGCAAAGCAGTGGTAGAATTTGTCAGTAACATTCTCTCCAACAGCCTCAAAAGTTGCAAACAGGGGAGTGAAAAATCCATAGCTTATTCCACCTAATAGACTTCCAATAATTCCAATAATTGGCCAAAGAATCAGAGGCAGTGGCAACACTATTAGCACCACAATCTTCAGAACTGGCCCAAGCCTCTTGGTTCTGATATTACAACCCCATAGAACAGATGAGAACACGAGATAAGATTACGAAATAAAAAGAACTTGATACTGAATTAAACAAGTATGCATTGAATTCAAAGAGTGAAATGTCAGGCATTACCTCACAACACAGTAGTAAGTCCACAGAAAATGTGCAGGCCAAAGGCCAATTATTACAGATGAGTTTGAAATAACAACGATTCCTACTGCAATAGGACCAACAATTGCCGCTGTGATAAAAAAAATTATACACACGATTAACCAGCAGTTTATATTCCATTTTAGTAATAAAATCGTGTACTTGTAAATGTCGACTTATAATACAAGAAATTATGCACACGAACACATATACATACTATCAACATACATCCATTCACATAGAAACAACTCAACTTCATCACATTACTCATGTCTCACATCCATGGATGCATGGACATTTATATGTCCTCAATTAGGCCTACATGGGATAGATTGTAAGTTGTAAAATGAGCTATAAAAGCGTAAAGTTTAAGCACTAAATCAATACATGTATGAGTAAATAATTAAAAGAATACACTATGATATCTAACATGATGATGATACCTTTGAGCAGGCCAAGGATGAAGAGCAAAAAGAAGTAGGGCAAAAACGACACAAAGCTCCATAGTGTTTCAATAAACCCTACCGGAACCTTCATGATGAAAAAATTTGGAAGTTACAGAAGGGCAAAATGGGGAATGAAATATTATCTTGTAGAAATGCTTCAATGCTTGTATATAATTATAAAGATTGCATTTATTTCTCTTTGTTACCTTAAGGCTTAAAGCTTAACAAACAAAGAGAAGCTCTTTTGTTAAGATTTGATAGGTGGGGACGCGTGGCGAGAGATGGTGAGTTAGAAGGACACATGGCGAAATGGTTTAGTGTAGTGCATGGAAAAAGAGTGTGAGGTGACAGAAAAGAGACAGCGGTTTTGGCGGTTGCGGGAACCAACCGCCTTGAAGTTCCCTTGTGGGTCCACTCCAGCCTGATCTTTTAACTAAATTTTAATTATAATAATTTTGATAATGATGTTTTAACTGTCATGTAATATCGAAGGGTTGAAGTAATTAGATTTATTTTAGTAAAAAGTATTATAGAAAATTCCTAATATTATTTATTTGTCAAATAAACATTGATCTGGGCTGAGAGAAAAATATACGCCCATTTTGATGTTAAAAGGGTCCAAATCTGCACTCCCAAAGCCTAAGGCTAGTCCTTTGATTAACATTTGGGATTTCAAAGAGTTTCTGCATTCCGGCTCAATCTTTTCTAACTTGCAAGGAAAATGCTAATTGTGTCCGCAATCCCAGCAAAAAGAAGTCATTAATTGTGCCTCAAACCGTCCCATGATGGCTTATCTAATGAAGGACGTATTGCATCAAAAATCCAGAAGGCCTGGCTCTGCATATTCCACCCTCGATCTCTGTTTCATATTCATGATCTTTTGGAACTGTATATAACGTTCAATTTCATCACTTAATGTTCACATTCCTCTCAGTTCCATAGCGCGTTAGTATAAACATTAATCAATTAACAGTTATGAGAAGAGAAATTAACACAAGATGACTAAGAAAAACGGTGGGAAAGTGAGATGGATTAATCACTACAACAGGAACCAAATGATATTACTTGGTGGTGAAGGGGACTTTTCGTTTTCTGCTTGTTTAGCTAAAGCTTTTGGCTCTGCCACTAACATGGTTGCAACATCCCTCAACTCCGAAGGTACAATACAAGGCTAGAATCCTACCCATTCTAAAATGTAGAGATTATTCTGTTTTTATAAACTTAGATTTTATTAACCGATTCCGATGTAGCAGAAACTTTAGAGACAAAGCATTGGACCAATACAGCACACTTGGAGTACTTGAAGAAGAAAGGATGTTCAATCTTTCATGAAGTGGATGTGTATGACATGAATGTACATCCAACTTTAATGTACATGGAGTTCGATGTTATCATTTATAACTTTCCTCATGCAGGTCACTTCTGTGAAAGAGAGTTTCCTCAGTAAGTATGTAACAGTGATAAAGTCAACATGTAAAAATGTTTAATTTGTTCCTGTTTTGTTAAATTTGTTTGGTTTTTGATGCAATAAATTGAAACAGGAAGCACAAAAGGCTAGAAGAGGCATTCTTCAGAAGTGCAAGGGAGATGGTTAGTGAAGGTGGAGAAGTGCATGTTACACAAAGGGATGATTATCCTTACAGTGAATGGAATTTGGTGGAACTTGCAAAACAGTCAGGCCTTGTTTTGAAAGAGAAAGTGGAGTTTAGTAAAAAAGACTACCATAACAAGACAGGTGGTGGAATTGAGAGTAACAAACAGTTCCCTCTTGAACAAACCTTTACCTTCAAATTCTCGCTCGTACCAAAAAACTCATAACTGCTGGTGATGATGTGACTAGTATTACAGCTGACTTTGATGATTTACAGAATTACAGTTACACATGCTAACTGATGAATGTTAATTAAACTTAGGGGCTTCGCTACTGTTTTGTTCGTAACTTCCCAAGTATTTTTACTGTAAATGGAGATTACTAGCTGGGTTTTCTAAAATTTTGGATGTTCATTATACTCGGAATCATTTCAAGCTACAATTCTCATTAGTGCACTGACTTTTTATGTTATAACCTCACCTACTTATGTGAAGCTTGAGATTTGAAGCAGATAATTCGTTTGATCAGTATACTAAACGTTAAATGGTACCCTCACTTGGTGCTTCATTAATCTGCCAAAACTTCCATAAATTTCCAGTTTAGAATCATATTCATTTCATAGAGAGGAACACAGTTTACAGGAAAAAAAAATCTGATTTTCTTATATCTGGCCATCATTGGCTTATTATGTGCCATTTTTCTTTTGAAGGGATTACAAACGATTGTCGTGGTTTAATTTCTTAGTTTTACGAAGGAAATGGATTGCTTGCCCTGGAATGAACTCTTCTTTCATTGTATACCCCTTAATTATGGAATCAAATGGTTCAATAGCAGGTACTATATATGATCGAATCACCTCTGATATCTCTGATTAATTACTTCAAATCATAGCCCTATATCACAGACAAATTATAAATTCATCAATACTATATCTTATTATATCAGTGGGTGACGCTTAACAAATTGCAATCAAATTCTCGTGCATATCTTTAATATCTCAGTCTTCTTGTTGTATTATTGGAGTCCATAAAATGCTCAACCGTTTCTTCAAATCTGGTAAATTTGATAAATTTCAGAGCATTGAAATCAGGAACTACTTAACGTTTAAGGAGTTCAAGTATTTGGTATATTATAAAATAAAGGAAAAGTATATATATATATATATATATAAAAGAGCACCTGGGAGAAATACTAGGTCTTGGAATCTTACATACTCGACATTCATCATAATAGTATATACAATTCTGAGTTTGATGAATATTTTACACCCCTTCCAAAACAAACACACCCTTCATCATGATGTTGTTATTCGCAATTAAGTAGTGTCTTCTTTGTTTTTATTTTGTGGAAGTGGTGTCAATCAAGTGGAAAAAGACTACAGAGAGACTAACAATATGCTTCCTCAGAAATTTATCATCATTTTTGAACCAAATTATTACTTTTCTTTTTATATACAAAATACAATATAAGAATGAATAAAAATAGTAAGATTAGAATATAAGAATGAATAAAAAAAAAAAACATTTGACAGATCCAATAATAATGATAATATGGAAGAAGAAAGCAAAGTACGGAAGTGCCAATATGGGATCAAAGATGTTCGTTGTCTCAATGACCAAAATCTCATTTGCTGTGAATGCGTGACGGAGACGACACTATTACTCCCATCAAAACTTTACTTTGTCTTTTTCAAAGTCTTTGGATACAATTTTAATCCGGTTCTATCACGTCTATAATTTATGTATATCCTTAATTATGGCCATGTATAATGGTTTCTACCAAATTACCAATTAGTCAAGTTGAATAATGAAGGAAAGTATAACTTCTTTCATAAGGTAATACTGCGGACTTTCTCAACATCCTTTCTTTTTTTTTTTTTTTTAAATTTAAAAAAAAAATCAGAGCCCTTGCATTTTAAATCCAAGGGCAGTAACGAAGACGATATTATATACCCTTACCCTGAAATATCCCTGAAAGATATGTATCAGCAGCTTACAAACTGGATATATTTATCAATATTCACCACCTTCGCTATAACGAAAATAAACAAATCTCTGTCACCACTCCACATGATAAAAGAAGATTCAAACAACTTCACAAAACAAAATTCCATCTTGATTTACAGTGGAAAGATAGCAAAAGCTTCTTTGCATGGGAAACAAAAATGTGGCCAAAGTTATAAGAGCCACACAAGGAATATTTCTTATATGCAGCAAGGAATAACTACCAATCAAGCGATGAATCCACTTCTGTTCGGTTGAGTCCTCATAGATATACTACTTCGTTTTTTTTTTTTTTTAATATATATAATATTTAATTGTGGAAGGTTTTACTTTACTCAATCTTTGTTTTCTTGTTTCATTAGGATATCTTATTCTGGAGTTATTGAGAAAGAAGTTAAAATCTAGTATAATAGATTTGTTCAATGACTTGTTCATAAAAATCTGAAATTTTCTGCTGTGGATTCGGGGTTTAGTGTTTGAAAGTAATAGTAATACTGATCATGATCAGTAAAGAGGCGAAATCCTCTTTATCATCTTTCTGGTCTTCTTCATCGTTCCTTGTTTTGTTAGCAGTGATTGTACCTTTAGCTCTGATCTCAGTTCTTGTTTTTACCTTGGGTCCGACTCAGTACTCTTCTTGGTCTCCAAAGCCGTCTCCATTCACCTGGAGACTCGGTTTCACGGGTTCTTATTCTTTTGCTTCTTCTTCATTAGTAGAAACTGGGACTCCTCCCCATGTATTCATCGCAAACGAAACCATTCAACTGGTAATCAGAGTTTAATATTGATTCTTCCATTTTCTTTACCTTGTTATTTTCACTTTTATAAATTGTTTGGTAAGCATTATTTCCTGACACTGTACATTATATGATCCATGCAATTGCTTGACTAGGGAGAAGACGAAAACATATTAAAGCATAACCAATCTGATGAAACGACTCAAATGGTTAGGAGATACAGTAATTTGGAGAAGCTTGAAGCAGGTTTGGCCAGAGCCAGGGCTTCCATTAGAAAAGCTGTTTTATTTGGGAACTTAACATCAACCCGTCAAGACCCAGACTATGTACCTCAAGGCCCAATTTACAGAAACGATAATGCATTTTATAGGTACAATTACTTGATTAGTATTTATCTTTCTGGGATTAAATGTGCACAAAACTCGATCATAATTAATTATGCATTTCTTGAACAGGAGTTATTTAGAGATGGAGAAGCTTTTCAGGATTTATGTATATGAAGAAGGTGAGCCACCGATGTTTCACAATGGTATATGTAAGAGTATATATTCTACCGAAGGAAGGTTCATTCATGAAATGGAAAAAAGCGATAACATTTTTAGAACTAAAGACCCTGATAAGGCCTTGGTTTATTTTCTTCCGTTTAGTATTGTGATGATGGTTGAGTACCTGTATGTGCCTGGAGCCCATGACATCAAAGGCATTCGTCGCTCTGTTGTTGACTACATCAATATCATTTCTACTAAACATCCCTTCTGGAATCGAAGCCTTGGTGCTGACCATTTCATGTTATCTTGCCATGATTGGGTAAGCAAATACTAAAACAATTTCTTTCTCCTTCATAAAGCTGTAGATTATAGCTAATTAATACTTGTATTTAATCCATGTTAGAACACATACAGGATAGATTTTGATTATTTTCTCAAGAAACGCCTTTCTAGTTCATTATCGATAATTCAAATTTTGCCGTGCAACATACTGTGCATACATCACTTTCGACTTATAAAATCACCAACATAACTTTATGACTTGACATTCAAACTGCTTTTTAGAACAAGAAATCTTCCAAGGGTACCATATGTGCTTGTGCATTGGGTCAAGCCCAAGTAAAACCAAACCTTTAAAATTAATATGTAGTCGTGTGTACAAAATGTTAAAAGCATAGGTGTTTTTCTTTTGAAATAAAAATCAATTTCTACATGTTTATTTACAGGGGCCAACAGCATCAGCATCGGTTCCTGAGTTATCCAATAAGTCCATTAGAGTTTTGTGCAATGCCAACACTTCTGAAGGTTTTAATCCTTCCAAAGATGCCTCATTTCCAGAAATCAACCTCCTGACAGGGGAAACCACTGGACTTATCGGCGGCCCCTCCCCGTCTCGCCGTTCCCTTCTTGCATTTTTCGCCGGCAGGCTACACGGGCACATTAGGTACCTACTTCTAGAGCAATGGAAAAACAAAGACCAAGACGTCCAAGTTTATGACCAACTCCCTAAGGGTGTATCATATTACTCTATGTTAAGAAAGAGTAGATTTTGCCTGTGCCCAAGTGGGTATGAAGTTGCAAGTCCTAGAGTTGTGGAAGCTATCTACGCTGAATGTGTTCCGGTGTTGATTTCAGATAGCTATGTGCCTCCTTTCAGTGATGTTCTGAATTGGAAATCATTTTCTGTGCAAATAGCAGTAAAGGATATACCTAATATTAAAAATATACTTATCGGCATATCTCAAAGGCAGTATCTGAGAATGCAAAGGAGAGTTAAACAAGTGCAGAGGCATTTTGTGGTTAATGAGTCTCCCAAGAGATTTGATGTTTTCCACATGACTCTTCACTCCATTTGGCTCAGGAGATTGAACATTCACATCAAGGATTTTGATCAATCTTGATTACTTCAAATGAATGTTATCAATTTTTCCCTTTTTGTGGGAAATGATTCACTATGTATTCAAAACAAAACAATAAAAACATTAGGCCTTTAAATTCTTTAGTGGGGTAGAATAATTTTTTTCTTGTAAATAGTTAAATATGTTGTATCCTTTATACATCTCAGTATAATTAGATTGATCAATTGGCGGTGTTTATCGCTTTAATATACCCCCTTTTTTTTTTTTTTTTTTTTTTTTTTTTTTTTTTTTTTGTATATGTAATAAAAGAATTCGATTCTCTTTCCTCTTTTTTTAATGTTGGCATATTTAGAATTTTCAGGAATGTAAAAAGGGCATCGTCCATCACGGTTGAGCATACAAAGATAAATTCAAGTTATTGTTTTTAAAAATTAGAGTAAATGACTTTTTCTTACTCAAATAATGGTTTAATGACATTTTCTCACTCAAAATAATTCAAAATATAATTTTACTACCCAAATAATTGCCACAAGGGAATGGGAAAATTTTGTTAACTTCTATGAAAATATGATACAAGGAATTGGAAGGAAAATAAAATTTGTCACTTCGCTAGTTCCTATAGGTTTGAAGTCCAATTAATTTGGCAAAAGGAAAAAGAAATGTGAGTGAGACTCCTTGGAAAATTCACCACAAAAATTGAATGTTGGCAAATGGCACTTCTTTGGTTCTGTACATTCATGATTGAAGCTGTATTGAACTTATATTGACAGGTGTGGAATCTGTAGCAATAAAGGAAACGAGAAGTTGTTAGAGGTAACAGGAGATGGCATGGACCTTGATGCACTAGTAACTTCGCTAAATATTAACTTAGCGCCAGCAGAGCCGCTCAGCTTAAGCATTTTGGGTGGCCGTCAAAGTAACTAAGAAGTAAAAAGAGATCAAACTGTGCCAAATTTTGACAGACCTCGCTTTGGAGGGACCATGCGGACACTAAGGGTGGCATAGGAAATGGATTGGCTTCTGCGGGTCTAACTTGGGTCCCATATCAACCAAATTATATTGGGTTTGAGATTGGTAAACCCCAATCACGCCCTAATTAGGACTATGTTGGTTAGTACAACCCAAAAATCTATAAGCTTTACTTTATATACTCAACTAGATGGAAGGCCATGCGTTGTAGGTATGTTTATAGATGTTTTTGAAATAGATTATAAACAAATTTATTGTAATGAAAAAAATTAATCAGATTCAGACCTAATAATTATTAAACAATAAAAATTTAAAAGTATATAATCATGCATTGAATCCCACACATCCACCGTGTCATGTATAAAATTAATAAACAATTACAATATATGTATCATGCACTGAATCCCACACATCCACTGTATCATGTATAAAATTAATAAACAATTACGATATATATAAAGTTATGTTAAGATAAAATTAATAATTATATATATATAATTATTAATAGCAATTCTAGGTAGATGTCATTAAACCACACATCTAATGTGTCAAAATGGAGCAATTGTAGAGTCACAAAATAGAATATGAAGTGACTAACTTCAATCTTTATATCTTTTTATTTAAACCTTCGGAATGCCAACGGAATACACTTATATAATTGTTATTATACACATCCAACGTGTCAAAATGGTTAGACCTTTGGAATGCCAATGCAATGCACCTATATAATTATTATTAATACTCATCTAACATGTCAAGATGGAGCAATTAATACAAACCCAATGTGTCAAGATGGAGCAATTTTAGTAGGCTCATTAAACCGCAAATCCAACGTGTCAATCCAAGGTGTCAAGATGGAACAATTATACACCCAAAAAATGAATACTAAATGTCAATCAACCAATGAGTAACAGTGAAATCAAGACAAAGTCGAATAAAGAGAATAATACTTTTATTATAAAGGAAATAAGTACATCGGTTTTTCACTCCATGAAGTAGGTTTGGATGATGTAGGTGGTGTTTATTTTCTATTTTTCTTAAGATTTTTTAGTTCCTCTACTGCAAATGCATACTCCCTTTTGTTTATATTATAAATAATATCCATGGTAGATTGCATGATGTCTAACATCTAGTAAATGACTTCTTTGAATTTTTGTTTAGTAGCATATAGATCGTCTAAATTAGTGTCAACTTTTTGGAGAATGCCTGTCAATCCTGACGTTGCTTGAACAATTGCTAAATCAATTGGGGAAACAAAATACAATCAAATTTTATAAATATATGAAAACAGTAACATGAATTTATAAATATAATCATGAAACGAACTTTCAACATACCAAAAAAGTTTTTTTTTTTGGATTTTATATTCTTGCAAATATGTATTACTGTTTCGTTTGACATTTTATAATTTTGTGTTCATACCTTTTAGTTCCTTTGGTGGAGAATTATTGTTGTTGACGTTGTTATTGATATTCATTGCACACTCTTTTGGTTGCGATATTGTGTCAGCCATTGTCAAATTAACTTTTGGAGAAGTAACGAACAATGAAAGTGTATAATATTTGAAGCAATTTAAATGGGTGATTAATGTCAAAGTAATATTTATAGGAGAATAGGATACAAAGAGGTGGAAAGTTCATACCTTTTAGTTCTTTTGGTGGAGAATTATTGTTGTTGACATTGCTGTTGATATTCGTTGCAGACTCCTTTGGTTGCGATGTTGTGTCAGCCATTGTCAAATTAACTTGGGAGAAGCAATGAACAATGAAAGTGTATAATATTAGAAATTTAATGGATGATTAATGTTAGAGTAATATTTATAAGAGAATAGGATACAGAGAGGTGGAAAGTAAATAGACAACTGGTAATAAGTAAACATGTTGATTGAAAAAGTGTTTATAACTCTTTAAATAAGGAGATATGAAACACTAGTAGACTATTTGCCCAACATTAAAGAAAAGGGTAATAAATATTTTGTTAAGTATGCAAGTAAGAGATGTCATGACAATACTATAATATATTGATTAAGTAGTGAATGATGGTTCGGCAAGATGATTTTAAATCAATTATATGGTTCGGCCTGGGATTTTATTTAATTAATAATGGAATGGAAGTTTTGTTAAATATGTCATAGGAATGGTTATTTATAGATTTTGTTAATTTAGGTTATACTATATTTAGATTGATGTTTGTTGAACGTGTTTAATTCTTTGACATTCTCATAATTATTGTTGTCTAATATTCTCATTAGATATCTATTAATTATTGTTTATGTTTTATTGATCATTGTAATTTTGTAATTAAAATTTTGTTAATTTGATGAGTGATGAAATGATATATATGTTCCATGATTTTATGAGTAGATTGTAGGGAACTTGTGACTTTCATGGATTATTTTTATGCAAGTTTCTTTGTATATTTCTATTTTCTAGAATCACGGGTATGTGTATGAGTTTCAGGTTTTTAGGCAGAAAAAGTGATGAATTTATGTTCACGCGGTGGTTGGAGGCTTTGTACGTGCTAAAGAGAGAAGTCGGATCGTCAAGCAAAAGAAAGAATGTGAAATTGTTGGATGGCGCCGCAACATGAGTTTTCTGCACCGCGGCGTGAGAAGCTGAATTTGGACAAAAAAGTTCATGCTGCGGCGTGAAGAAGTTGGCGCCGTCGTGTGACAAAGTTTTATGTTTGCAGAAGAATTTGGCGCCGCAGCATGGATCGCGAGAAAAATAAAAACCTCACCTTTTCCAATTCCGACTTGAACTTGTATTTTCCCAAAAACACCCCTAGCAAGGGAAAAGTATAAATAGGACTTTGTAATTTATTTTAGGGATATACTTTGACCTAAATTGAGAGTTACTTTTTTATCAAGAAAGAGAAGGAGATTCTTCCTAGGGTTTGGATTATTCATGCTTTTGGGGGAATTTCAGGTTTGCTCTCTTTAATGTCAATGTGTAACTAAACTCTTATTTAAGGATCCAATGTAGCCCAATTGGAAGGCTCTATGTTTAAACATATATTTATTGTTATCAATTCAATGGAAATTTGGATTGATTCATGTATTTATTCTGCCTTTAATTTTCAATATTGTGTGATGACACTTAGTGTGAATTAGTAGGTTGTTTGTGTTGAGATTATTGAATGAATGATTAGTATTTTGTGCATACGCCCTGGCAAAATATTAGTTGGTTCATGATTTCTTGAATAATTAGTGTTTGTGCGTACGCCATGACAGATGCGCATTTGTTCTTGATTTCGAGTATTCTTGTGTTTAATGAATTTTTAATTCATAGGCTAGATATACGCCCTATCTAGTCTTGTGTTAAAAATACTAGGTTAATCCCGAATGTCTTACTGTAATACCTTGATTTAGTGAATGCGAACCCTAGAGACTGAATTGATAAACAATAGAGAAATGTTTGACATAGAGCTGGATAATTATGGTGAAATTGGAGCCTTAGGTTTTGGTCAATTGGGTTTTAGATAATTTTAATAGTTGTTTAATTTTAGTTTTATCCAGTTGTTGCTTTTAAAGTGATCTTCCTTAATTTCTCATTATTAAGTCTTGTTTTTTTAGTTTTAATTGAAGCATAGTTATTAGGATTAGAATTGCTTACAAATCTCTGTGGGATCAACCCTTGCTTTTGCACACTAGACTACGAGAGCAATTCATGCATTTGCGAGGTTATAAAATTGTTCATCAAATTTTTGGCGCCATTGCCGGGGATTTGTTTTAAGTTATTTAGTTTTCTTGATAATTGTGCTTTAATTATTGTTATTATTGTTATTTAATTTAATTTGTATTATTTTTATTTGGGTTATTTTTTTTCTTTTGTTTTTGTTTTCATTGGTGTGTTTGTTTTTGAATGCAAGGTTGCTGATCACTGGATAAAGAATTAGTTCCTTATGTGGATATAGTGGATTTGATTGGTAGAAAAAGGAAGGAACCAGAACTTCCTGAAAAGTCATTAGATTTAGAGTTGTCAAATTCAAGTCAGAGCTAGAGATAATGGCGGAACTACCTTGTCCTATGAAGGAGTATGTACGTCCTACCATAGGAATGTCGCCATCTTGTATAGTGCTGAATGATGCAGCAAGGAATTATGAGCTGAAGAACATTCACTTTCAAATGTTACCTTCATTCCATGGCATAGCCACAGAGGACCCACTTACGTTT